AGATGCCCGGTTAAATGTATTACAAAAAAGGAACAAAGACAAAAAAATAAGGAAAAAAGAAAAGAACAAAAAAAGACAGAAGAAATGCCAGATCTGATTCCCACAGAAGAGGATGACGAAGAAGACATGGCGATGAAAAGGGCGACGGTCGAGGAAATAGAAGATGAAGAGTATCCTGGAGAATGGATCAAGTATAAAGCCTCGGTCGCCACGGAGCAGAAGGTTGCAGAAGAGGCAACGAAGGTGAAGAAATCGGTCGAAGAGATGGTTCCCAATTGGCTTCACGATTACCTGGGAGTTTTCTCAGAAGAAGAATCTAAGCGCTTTCCCGAAAGAAAGAAATGGGATCATGCGATAGATCTTAAGGACAATGGCGATCTTCCGCCAAACGCGAAACCCTATCCCTTGTCACCCAAAGAGATGGACACTTTGAAAGATTGGTTAAAAGCTGAAACCGCACTGGGACGTATTAGAGAGTCACAATCCCCAGTGGCAGCACCCTTCTTCTTTGTGGCCAAGAAAGATGGCAAATTAAGGCCGGTGATGGACTATAGAAAGCTCAATGAGAAAACGGTTAAAAATGCATACCCGCTACCGAGATCTCAAGATTTAATTGACGCTTTAACCGGTGCCACGATGTACTCTAAAATGGATGTACGATGGGGGTATAACAATATTCGCATGAAAGAAGGAGACGAGTGGAAGGCGGCCTTCAAAACGCCGTTTGGTCACCACGAACCAACCGTTATGTACTTCGGTTTAACGAACTCCCCTGCCACGTTTCAAACAATGATGAACAAGATATTCAGAGATTTAATTGATGGAAAGACCATAGTGGTCTATATTGATGATATCCTCGTATTTACGAATGGCAACAAGGAGCAACACCGAAAAGTTGTACGAGAGGTACTGAAACGACTGAAAGAGAACGACTTGTATCTGAAGCCTGAAAAGTGTAGCTTCGAACAGTCAGAAGTCGAGTTCCTCAGGTTGATAGTGGAGAAGGGTGGTGTTCGAATGGACCCTGTGAAGGTAGAAGGAGTAATGAAATGGCCTACACCCAAATGCGTAAAAGATATACAGGCATTTATGGGCTTTGCCAACTTCTACAGAAGATTTATCTTCGGGTTTTCGGACATCGCTAGACCGATGAATGATTTATTGCGGAAAGATGTCAAATGGGACTGGACGGAGAAACAGCAAGATGCTTTTGATGAACTGAAGTCAAGGTTTACATCAGCTCCGATCCTAGTCATGCCAGACATTGAGAAAAAGATGAAAATAGAGACCGATGCTTCCGATTATGCAACTGGAGCGGTTCTATCTCAACTGATGGAAGATGACTTATGGCACCCCATGGCGTATTACTCTAAGTCAATGAACGATGCAGAAAGAAATTATGACGTCCATGACAAAGAGTTACTCGCAATCATTCGAGCGTTGGAGGAGTGGAGGCACTATGTGCAGGGAAAACCTCATCATGTGGAGATCTGGACAGATCATAAGAATCTCGAGTATTTCATGACGAGCCAAAAATTGACAAGAAGGCAAGCCAGATGGAGTCTGTTCCTGGCGGAGTATGAATTTATGCTCCAACATAAGCCTGGTGTAGTCAACGATAAGGCAGATCGTCTATCTCGGAGAGAAGACCACAGAGGGGGGGTAGAAAACGACAATTCTGATCGTATTTTGTTGAAACCGGAATTTTTTGTTGTAAAAGCTGCTAAAAGAGGCCAAGTTCTAGTGCAAGGAGAAAAACAATTGCTGAGAAAGATAAGGCAATGCACAGAACGAGAGCCCGAAGTCGCTAAAGCATTAGAAACGCTAAAAGCAGCACCGGTACAATTGCGTAGAGGAGTCGAAGAATGGAATGTGGAGGATGGATTGGTGTTGTTCAGAGGATTGGTTTATGTTCCAAATGATAAGGAAATCTGCCGAGAGATATTGGAGCTGTTTCACGACTCTCCACCGGCTGGACATCCAGGACGTGCCAAAACCTTAGAACTAATTTCCAGAAATTATTGGTGGCCTTCAATGACGAAGTATGTCCACGATTACGTAGATGGCTGTGATAGATGCAGAGCAACGAAGATTTACCCAACGCAACCACATGGTCCGCTTAAACCAAATGAAATACCAGCAGGACCTTGGCAATCAATCACTTGTGATTTGATAGTAGATTTGCCTAAAAGTGAAGGGTTCGATTCTATTTTTGTTGTCGTTGATCGATACACGAAACAAACGCACATCATGCCCATGAAAAAGGAAGTTGACGCTCGAGGAATCGCGAAACTTTTCTTAGATAACGTATGGAAACACCATGGAACTCCGAAACAGGTGATATCGGACAGAGGAACACAATTTGTCTCCAAGTTTATGGGACAAGTGTCGAAACGCCTAGGCATAAAATGGAACATGTCGATGGCTTATCATCCTCAGACAGACGGACAAACGGAAAGAATAAACCAAGAAGTAGAGCAATATCTAAGAATGTTCACGTCTTACCGCCAGAATGATTGGGTAGACTGGCTTCCGCTAGCAGAATTCGCTCACAATAACTCCGTCACTGTAACCGGTCATAGTCCGTTCAAAGTACTCTACGGATACGATCCTGAGTTCACCTTTTCACCAATTTCCAATTCTAAAGTACCTGCAGCCGATGAACGAGTGGATGTAATGAAAGAGGCGAAAGAGGATGCAGAAAGTATGCTGCGAATGGCAAATGAGCGGATGAAGAGATTCTACGATAAAGGAGTAAAAGACGCACCACAGTTTAAGAAAGGAGACATGGTCTGGCTCAATGCCAAAAATATCCATCAGAAAAGACCGAATAAGAAACTCTCCGATCGAAGACTTGGTCCGTTCGAGGTGCTTGAGAAGACGGGTGATGTAAATTACCGCCTAAACCTTCCAGCAAAATATCAGATTCATCCAGTATTCCATGTAGAGTTACTCATTCCGCATTCCCCCTCGACCTTAATCCAAAGACCTCCACATCATCGTCCGCCGCCAGAGATCGTATCAGAAGGCGATTCCGAATGGACAGTACGAAAAGTCCTAGACTCGAGACTGCACAGATCAAAACTCCAATACCTAGTAGAATGGGAAGGATATCCGATAGAAGAAGCAACATGGGAACCTGAGGAAAACCTTGAAAATGCACAGTTGAAAGTTCAAGAATTTCACCGGCAAAATCTGAAGGCATTAAATCCCCGCAAAATTAACAAATCGGTGTTTGAAACCCAAGAGTTTTTGGAATGGCGCAAGAAGTTTATTCGCCCTAGTTTCATTCGCGATGACGCTCATCCTAGAGAGGGGGTAATGTCACGAGTTCCAAATACGAACCATTATTCATTCCTAAATTCTAAGTCCTTTAAGCGCCCAGTCATAGCGCCTGTCCCTAAGAATACGTTTACTGTTGAGGAAGTTCCTATTATTGCGTCTATTGTAGAATTACCAGAATCACGTGACTTATCGGACAATGCCGAAGAAGATGTAGACATGATGCCACGCGATACTCTTGGAATGTTCCAGAGCCTTACTGCGACTGCGGCACATGTTATGACATCATAGTTATATATAGAATCGTACGATACCTTTAATTATTCTGATTGGTTAGTTAGTTCATACTCAGTTTCAGTCTCAGTTTCAATATGTGTATATAGGTAGCTCGTCGTAGTCAGTAGTTCTTTAGTTCAAACCTCTTGTATCTCCTAGTGGACAATCCAAGACGTACCTGCTGCCTTTTATCTTTTGTGATTATCCTCGTTTGAGTCCTAGTCTCTGCCCCTACGTTAATTCGTTATAAGGGTTGTGACAAATACGAGCGGGAGGTTTACGACGCGCTAAACAAAGGTATGAATTCTACTAGAATGTTAGACTTAATGTCGAGCGTTACAAAAAAGGCTTACTCACATCTCAGTATTCGTGTCGAAACTGAGATGTTTGGTTGAGAGTACCTGGACTTATAAGGTGAGCGTCCCAGGTACAGTTATGTAGTGAAAATGAGCTAAAAGATGGACAGCGCACGAGCCGACCATGACACGTTGTGCTCGTTCTCCGTTTGGATGCGCTCGCACTCGACATCCTCTCCACTGGGTCTATCCTTCGGCCGGTTGCTCCATCTCTGCCTCGGCTCTCCTCCCTTCGGCTTTCTTTCCTTCGGATTCGTCGGATCCCAACACCGGAGTATGTATCGGCATGTTCACAGGGCAACAGATAAAAATATAACACAGGAATGTTGGCCTCGAAATCGCGTGCATCAGATGGCATGGCTGGAGAGAGATGGGTGGAACACCATCAACAGGTGGGCGGAAAAATATGGCATTTTTTGTCCTAGGACGAAAAATTACGGTATGATCATTAATTTTCTCATTCAGAAAGAAAACGTACATATTTCCTTCTAGGTCAAACATGGTCCCTTCGACGCATATAGATGAGTGCAACAGGTGAACAAAAGAGTACGGCATTTTTCGCCCCAGGACGAAAAATGATGGTATAAAATGTAAGCGTGATGACAAAGGATTGCCGCTTGCGTGGGGCAGGTCAAAATAATGGAGGTTGTACGAGGGAATTAAAAAGGTGGTAAGTTTGACCACTTAAACTGGGCGTATCACTTATAAAAAAGGAAGCGCTGAAGATGGAGGGTACAGGGATGCCCGGAGGGCCATTGTGAATCGTATTTCTGCTGACTCTTGACCTACTGCCGGCAATTGCCGCTTGGCAATTGCCACCGGTAGCATTCTGCCAACAACATCAGGGTGACTCGTTGAAATTTTATTGCGAAACCGAGAGACAAGGTACAAGACACGATGGCATAGAGTGTAAAGCCTGCGATTATTACGACCTCCGTAGTCAGCCAATTCAAAATCGTTTATAGTTTCGTCCGGGAAATGGAAACTCTAGGTCTAGTCTACGTGTGGGTGCGGTCTGGGTCCTGTCTGGGGGTGTGCTAGCTACCTGGCTAAATTTGATGCGTTGATACAACCAATACCAGGAAGCCACAGAGCGCATTCATGGCGAAACTGCACGGGTGCGCTTCACGTCCCAATCTGAGCACCGCGGCTTTGGCACGTTCAGCGGCACTGCCATAGAAACCTTGCCGGAGGTACGTTTCCCGGCTCTATTTTTGTCTTTCTCTGACTTTCGAAATCAACTCTATCAGCTTCGACTCGGATGGTCCACATGTCGCAGTACGCCTTATCTCTTGTCTGTTGCTACGGAAAAGCCACGGTGAGCTGCCAGCGCTATGTCCTGTGCTTCGCGAGCTCGACATAACTCACTCCGCTGTCAGAAAACCAGATCTCAGTTTCACGAATCAATATTTTCTCGCGCGCTCTCTGATTTCTCTCCTCGCCTCCTGTTATTATTACGTTCGTGATTTTCTTCGTGTTCCTCTATGTGCTACATAATGTGGTGATTTATTTTTTATCTTCAAGCGTTTGCTGCACATGCGACGCCACTCTGCTGCTCGGCGACGTACAAGAAAGTTTCGACTGAACACGACGACGACTTCCTCGATCGGGCCAATGATGATATGGGCATTATTGTGTGTTGCTTTCTATGTATCTCAATCCAAATCTCACAGGTGTATTAGGCTGGTCTGTTCTCAGTGGTCAACTCCACCTTTATCGTCAGAATGCAGCCTGATCCAGGAGACACTACCAATGCCCTCGTCCCATCCACCACCTCTCTCTCGTTCTCATTCTCCTCGTTCTCTCCTTCCCTTCTCCTGCTCTCGTCCATCGTCCGTATTCGTCTGAGCCACGTCAGCAGTTGCCGACGTGTGCTGGGCGTTTGCGCGTGATGTTCGTGGTGTTGGGAACGGCATGGTGGAGCTCGGACATTGATTACAAGCACTTCAGCATGTGGGCCGCGGCTTGCATGGGCCTAAGCCCCGGCTTTGGGCCGGCTTGGGCTCACGGCTCAGGCTTGAAATCTGGTGAGCCTAAACCCCCCTCAGGCCGAGCCTAAGCCGAGGCTTTGAGCCCAAGTGCACGAGTGCGCATCGCAAATTAGTGGAAGTTGAGATGCCTCACACAGGAGAGAGACATTGCCTCCATTCTCTTTCAATCCTGCGAGGTCAAGCTGGACCGTCAACCGAAAGCATCTTACCCTGCGACCAGCTTATGCCACCACGTTCAACGGATGTCAAGGACTCACGCTTGAGAAAGCGGTACTGCACCTACGTACAGATCAGTTCGCGCACGGTCAGCTTTACACTGCGCTATCGAGAGTTCGATGTCGAAGAGACATTCGGGCGCTATTTCCTGCTGGAACCGAAGAAAAGACGATGGCGAATGTAGTATACAGACACCTGTTATTGTAGTTCACTAGGAAAAGACACGCAACGTCCGAAGGTGTTCGGTGCTCTTGTATTTATTATGTCGTCGCTTTCGCGCTAGTCGTTTCGCACATGGTTACCAACCGCGTTCACAACTGAATCCCATACTCTGTCAATTATTTACACTATTCTAATGTATGTAGTGCTCAAATAAGACATCAAACCTGGATCATTATCAGCAATGAACTGAGAGCCCATACGAGACAATTCAGGATGTCGGATGCAACCATTGACAAAGGCTTGTGCTTTAGCGTTGCTGAGAGATAGAGAGAGCCGTACAGAGACAGGTTGCGCTTCGTCTCCTCTCACATGGGCCTGAACGACTGAGAACCACTATCCACGCAGATGATGGAATGTCGAGGTGAGGAGAGCGGTATGTCGCTGGGAATGAAACCCGCCAAGATAAGTTCTTTCGCACCGTCGAAGCCGTATTCGTACTTGATACACGATTGGGAGAGCGCTGTCTCGGAGAACAAGGCAAAACGGTTCATGGAAATGACTTCGTCCATCTGGAGAACTGAAACTTAGGCTACTAACTCACGGGTGCATGGTATAGATACGTACCGTCTTACACGCCGTGCGGAGGCAGGAGTAACAATGGTAAATGTGGCCCCAGGCATGCAAAGGCCATTCCTCACTGCTGGTCTCCTTGAAAACCTTGCTCCCCAAGACCATCACGTAGTCGCCTTCCCTATTGACCCGCAGAACATGGGAGCAGACAATGAAGACAATAGGCGTGACTATCGACAACAGGTAGTACAAGACAAAGTAATCGCCTTGCTTGAGTGGATGATTATATTTAGGTCAGCCGGTGTCCGAATCAGCATGACGAGATTAAAACTCACTTCTTGAGTTCAGTGCCGATCGGCGTGCAGCCAACGTATCATGCTCGAGCCAGACGTCAACATCGCGAGCATGGCGAGCATGAGTGATATAAAGAGAAGACAATAGGGAACGGGTGACGTGTAGTCGAAGTATGACACAGGAGAGCCTGTGCTGACGAAAACACCGCTTATAGCGAGGAGGACACTTGCCTTTATGAGAGCGTGTCAGCGTCGGCTTCAGTTCGTGACGAGTGTGGAGTTGGATAGCTTACCGTGGTGATAGTACTGGCCAGGATAGAGCACAACATGCTCCTAACGGTTTCGAAGGCTTGTTCTGATTGCAGCGACTTCCGATGATCATCAAGATTTGGGCGTCCAAGTGCCAAAAAAACAGAGAACCCTCATTACGAGAGACGTGGAACGAAGGGCTTCGGGGAGGGTTCAAACACTCTTAGGTCAGTAATCGCATATGACTGGAAAGGGCGGCGTAATTGAGTCATACGGCAAGGATTCCCAAGTTTTGAAAGCGTACCTGAGTGGAATAGAATGAAGCCATGGCGTGAAACAGAAGAGCGAAGAGAGACTAATGCTCATAGTGAGAACAGGGAGATGCAACCTATTATAAAGGAACGGCAGAAGGGTAGGGACAGGGATTGTGTATTACTAATAGTCTCAGTCTTTGCAATTGCACTGGATTTTAGCAAAGTTCAAACCATTCTTACTTTGAATACCATTACTATGCCAGCTACACGCAAAGTTGTGCCTCGCAAGCGCGCTCAGTTATCCAATGAAGATTCAGAGCCCGAATCTCTTCACAGCGACGCCCTCGACGACCTGCCGCCCAAGAAACGCATCCGTTCTTCCAATTCCAAGTCCAGCTCGCCTTCGAAACCCAAACTCAAGCGTAACAAACGCAAGGCCAAGGAAGATGATGTGAAAAATGAAGAGGATGTAGATGGTAGCGATGTAGACCCGAAGGAGGGGCAGCAAGTCGTAGGTCGCGTTGTGCAAGCTCCAAAGACAGGCTGGGGTAAGTCGGTCTTTTTCTGCCTCAGGGATGATCAACTTACCGGTTTTAAAGTACCTCCCGGCCAGGTTTCACAGAACACGCTTGATTTTCTAGCGAAATTCAAAGACCCTGCGTGTAATGACCGTGAATGGTTTGCACTTCTATCACGGCCTTCGTTCATCCATTCTTGACTGAAAATCATCCTGCGCTTCTAGGTTTAAGCTACACGGTATGCAGGGTTTATGCATCAGGCTGAAGCTCTGAGCTTATTTGTCAAACAGAACCAGTTTACCGTCGCGTAGAAAAGGAGTTCAAGGCGTTCATCGAGGCGTTCACTGACATGCTCACAGACGTTGACTCTGAGATTCTTCCGTTACCCCCTAAAGACGTCACCCATTATAGAGATGTTTGTCCCTTACATGTTTCCTTCCGTCGATCTGCGGACCTGATGTCGTGTGGGTAGGTCCGCTTCAGCAACGATAAAACACCATACAAGAAGGGACTGTCTGCAAGTTTTTCGAGGAGTGGCAGGAAGGGGATTTTTGCGTTTTGTGAGCTTCGCAGTATTTTGCTTCTGCTGCAGATATCTAACTGTTCGTGGATCACGTGTAGTACGCACCTCTTGGCATGAGAGTCGGACAAGCTGACTGGATATATGCACGTTGTTTGCTCACAGAATGAGTCAGTCGCAGTTGGAAATACTGGATCGGTATATGCTAACATGAATGACAATTAGTCAAGCCGGGTGACAAGAGCGTCATCACTGCAGGTGCACGGTGTCCTGGGAAGAACGAACTTTTGACTCTCAGGTACGTCTCGTCTCCGCTTTGTTTCCGTGGTTCTTTTCATACTTTCCATTACCTAACATAAATCACCTACTTCGTTCCACACCCGCCGCCAAGACTCTGCACACCACAATCCTGGCTTCTAAAGCATTTACTACCCATTTCGGCCCTCCCCGCCCACACCCGCATGGAGATTGGTATATGGCTAGCGGTTGCGTCCACCACTTAAGCCACTTTAATAAGCATCTGATAGGTGAGTCAGATGAGTGTGGGTCCACGGGCACTACCGCAGACATGAGTCACCATCTTGTTGGCGTCTTCGAACTTATCTGCTGATGTGCGCCCGTGGGTGTTCCTCCAAGTTTGTCGAACCAGATCCTCTCTTGATCAACGTACCAGTGGCCCAGCGCCTTTTGATATTTTTTTGCAAGCTTGTAGACTTCATCGAGGATCCGGGGCTCTCTCTGGCGTGTCTCTTCTGGCCAATAGAGACACTTTTCAACCACGGGCAGTTCACTGGGTTCAGGGTTCATCAGAGATTCCCATACCAGAACCGATAGTGCCTTGCTCTCCACTGGAAACACACTGGTCGCACATTCGAGTGCAAATGCAATTCATTCTGTGGTGGGGACTCGGATCTGAATGTGTAGCCATCGTCGAATCTGTGGACCGCTTTTGTGTTACAGATGAGCTACCGCGATAGGTGTACAAAGGGGTTACTTAGGTGTATAAAGGCAATGCCGTGGTACAGATCAGAGATGACAAATAAACCTCCATGTTGCAATATGCATCATAAGCCTAAGAGCGGCAGCGTCATATCTGTCGACAGCGGGTGCGCTTCATTCGAATTCATCAAGAGCTGATGAAATATTTACGAGTGAATATCGTGGGCATGGGCGACATTACGAATCACTATATTGGGATAATTAACGCACAAGCTACAGCGGGTCTGCACGTTATCTCGACTGCTGATGAACAAAGAGGTGGAGTCACGTATGCCATGCACGAGCATGAAAGCTGCTCGGAAGCGCGAGAAGGAAAATTTGGGATCTGTAAGCCAACAGACTATACGAGTACAAAGGGCAAATTGTGTATACAAGCAGGTGAGTCAAGGTATGAATGAAAACTGCTCAAAGTAAAAATTCCTAGGCGACATGAAGCTCGCTTCGCCTCCCATTGAAAGCTGGAAGAATTTCGGGTGAGCATCTTACGCCAGCAGAGGTAGTGTTTCTGACGACTTGCCAGGAATCCAATCAAGGAAGATGGCCTTCGTAGATTCATCACTCATCTCCATCACGTATCGGTACGCTTCGAAAGCGGCTCCAGTTTGATCGTCCAGGATAAGTGCATGGCAGCGTTGCTGGTTTACGGTCTGCCACAAGGACTTGAGGTCCCAGCCAAAAAGCTTCACAAACATACAGTTGAGCATGAAAAAGATTGTCGGTCGCGTCATATCAACGCACCACGACAAAGTCCTCGTACATAGAGTGAATGTCTAACTTGGCAAAGGAAACGCTAGCATTAACAGCGGCAGCGAAATGGCGAGCGGCTTCCCCGTAAAGGGCGCTCTCCATGGCAATTTTTCCTAGTTGGCCTCGCAAATATGCCTGGTGTACGAAGCGCAAAAAAATGTAGTGAGCATACAAATCCGAGCTTGATTGAATGTATGATACTCACTTCTACAACATGACAAGCAATAGGGTCAACATTAGGACGGGCAGCTAGCTTTTGGACAGGAAGCACCGCCTCCTCATCTTTATTTGCATTGAACAATGCAATGACCTGGAACACCCGTAATGAAGCATAGTGTCAGAATACAAAAATTACATGCCTTGATCAAGAAAAGGAAATGAATCGCCTTTAAATCAGCGTTGGTGAACGTGAACGCGAGGTCGAGTGATTTCGTGGCGTCCCAGACCTGCTGTTTCCCGCAAAGGGCGAGGCCCTTGGAAACATGGCCCATAAAGGAGGGCTCGATACTAACGGACTATGATACGATCCAAATTAGCCTGCATTAAGAGGCATGATGGGCCAGCGTATCTTACCTTGATTGCATCGTTGAGTGCATGATCCCAATCTTGTTGTCGCGCCATGATGATTGAGCGATGGGCATAGGAGTTGTAGTTGTCGGCATCAGCATCAATCTCTTTGGTTAGCAGCTCTTCTGCAGTACGCAGATCTCCACTTATGCACGCATCGCGGACTTCTCGATTTATATCGAGGATCTGCATAAAGTATGTTTGCATTGACTGTAAGAGAGCCAAAGGTGGATACATGCCTTGAAGTCAAACGGACGTGAAATTAGATGATGAAGAGACGTCGAGATGAAAAAGGACATACCTGATGTATCACTTCTTTGTTGGGACCATTCTGCGGCAAAGCATCCTCGGGTACCTGCCACTTCAATATTTTGTTGTCTGCACCTCCACTGAGAATGTGCCTGTCATCTGTGGAGAAGGTGACGCAGTGCACCTCATTGGAGTGCTTGAATACGGCGATGTTTTGTCGGTCAGAGAGCTGCCAGAGGCGGACATAATTATCCTCAGATGCAAAGGCAATCAAGGTGCCATTAGAGTTCAAAGCAACGGCCCTGATATCGCGGGAATGGTCCTCCCAGGGCTCACCGACCTGTTGCCAGGTTGATGAATCCCATTCCCATATGATACAATCCTCTTCAATTTGGCTCAATGAGAGAATACGTGTACCATCAGGTATCCATGCGAGCCACAAGTTGTCGATCACTTCGTCTATCTCCAAGTTCGCGACGCGTTCGCTCGTGTCTGGTTTCCATATTTGGATATTACTTTCTGTCGCGATGCCAATATGTTCACCAGACGGCGAATACCGAACGCAGCGGACACGGTCCTCACATTCGATCAAATCTTCTTGCTGCCACGTTTTTGTATTCCACAGCCTCACTGTCTCGTCGTCTGAGCCGCTGGCCAGGATCGTGTTATCTGGGGAAAAGTCCAGCGATGGGATCCAATCGGTGTGGCCTTTGATGACTTCAGTCAGAAGTTCGCCAGTGTCTCCATCCCAGGCGATGAGCTCTCCGTTCTTGCCGCCACTTGCTATCAATTTCCCATCTCGTGATATCACCAATACCAACACAACGACGCTATGCCGTTCCATTTTCTTCAATATAGCACCTCTTTCTATGTCCCACAGGCGAAGAATCTTATCTTCCGAGCCCGTCACCATCCTTCGTCTATCGGGAAGAACTCCAACACTGGATACAGATCCAAGGTGACCTTCAAATCCTTGAACGGGTATAGTACTTGGAATGAGATATGACATTTTACTGGAGGTTGAAACGTTGACGGTGTAGGTCAGCTAGAAGGCTCTGGAGAGATCGTGGGTGTCTAACACTAGGCAGCAGTTGCGGTCATTGAGGGTTTTTCCTGATCTGGATTTCATTGTCATCATAGGCGCCTTGGCATGTTCTTCGGATACCGTGGTCGACTGTCATTGCAGCTGATGCAAGTGCGTTTTGTTTTCAAATCAAGCCTTGCCCCCGGTCGGTGTATCACGAAACGCGTGGTCCCAACTCGTGTTTCTGTGTCATAACAATTTCAAATGAGCGGCACCGATTAGCCTTTCAAATTTCAGCCGTAGGTGAACGTTAATGCGAACGTTTGGACCCTTTGTGATGCGGTATCGTGGGTAGGTGACGCTATCACCTGTGTGTCACCATAAATGTTACTAATTAGTAACGGTGATGTAATATGATGTTCCTCACTAAGTAGGGGCGTTTACCTATACTGCAGCACTTCAGCAAGTTCCGCAGCACTCAGCAGTGACTTTGCTAAAAAAACAATTCTCGGGTATATCAGTAGATTATCTAAGACTATTTAGGTTGCCCACGGCATCAACATACCCGGTTAATCCCGTGTGCCGCTTCTCCGGCCTTTCCCACGTCGTCCGCACAGCCGTGCTCGCTGTCACACACGACGAGCACCACTGCAGCCTTCAAACCTCATCGTTTACGAGCGCACTTTTTGCGTTTATGATACCATAGTCTGTCCTACACCATCCGGCAGCTTGAGACCGCCATAAACACTTAAATCATACACGTATAAGGAGTTTATATTATATACTGGTATATGATATTGTTTATACTGTATATACTGCATCCCATGACACCAAGCTCGTCATTGTTAGTGGTCTGTATATAGCATGACAATAAATAACTTGCCTCTTGTGCCTCACGAGTCACACGTCGCGGCCATTGTGATTTTCTACTTAGTGCATTGACTGAAAGGTTCTGAAGAGGGTGAAAACTTCAAAGCAGTGTATTGCACGCAGTAGAAGACATGCATAAACTAATTGTAAAACTACTCATCACTGGTGGAGGTATCGTCTGATGAGTCTTCGGTATCAGTGTCGATGGTAGTGTTGCTCTTGTGCTCTGCGCTCGTAACCTTCCTCTTCTTCCGTGCAACATATACCGCTTCTCCACGTGCATGGCGTGCCCGATTTTCGGTCATTCGTTGAACTAATTCTTCATCCGTGAGCACAACCCAATGGCAAGACTCACTGTGGTGATGTTCTCTCTGTAGAGCGCTGAGCAACTTCTGAACTTCGGCCCTTCCACCAACTTTGCTTGGGTTGCAAACAGGTCCGGGAAGTGGCCAGCCCACAAGAGCGACACCACAGTGTTCGACTATGCTGCGCTCATAGTTAATATAGTTCATTTTGACGGCCTTCTTGATGTTTTTCTTAAGTGCAATAGATTCTATGACTTGATAATCAGTAGTGTATCAGCTTTGAGGGATGAAAATTTACCAAGCTCTTCTTGAATGATTGTGCGACAATCGCTGATGAGTTTGTTCAACGGGCGTTGACGCGTAATCATTGTATTCTCGTCTACCAGAAAATCAACATAATCTGCATGATCAAAAGGTTTAGAAACTTACCGAGACCGCTGACCACAAAGGCCTCCAATTTGAGACCCAAGTGTCGTGGTTCGACGTGAAGGACCTCTTTGACGAATTTCTCAGCCTTCTGGGTGAAAAATATCTTGGGTTCCGAGAGATCTTCAATGTTCCCGCGCACTCCAACATAAAAGCCCTCGATGCCGGTTCGAGCGCAGAGGGCCATCCACTAGAATCAAATATATGTCAGCCAGCAACATGATAATATGAGACCCTGACTTACCTCGTGATCCATCCCTATGAATGTGGCATTGATATCATGATGTTTGGCCTTTGGATTTGCTCGAGCAATGTGCCTCTTTTGCGCCCGAGCTTCAAGAACCTCTGCATTGTAAGCATGCCTTTGAGCAAATGTGAGGCGTGAATATGCTTCAAGGAGTTCATCCTTATTATCAGCAATGAATTGGGTAAGCTTAATGCGATCACCCCGTTCACAATCTTTATAAAAAATCATTGTCAATACAAAGTTCGGAAAATATAGATGGAATTTTACCTTCATTTTCTTCCCTAAGTTTCGCCTTGATGAAGCCGTTCCACGAGTTAACACCTCGGCCCCGTTGTGACAAGTGACTCCTGAGGAATAATTGGCTACGAGTCCACTTGAGAGAACTGGACCAAACGAGTCAAGCAGCCACAAAGACAAAATGTCGAAACCAAACTTACCGACCATGTGTTTGCGCGATGTCGATGGCCTCTTGCGCATATGCTTCCTTGGCATTGTCGATGGCACCTGTCAAAGCATCTAATTTATTACGCCGTTCTGCTTTTTGAGCAGTCGTCAACTTTGCACGAGTTCGGCAAGGTTTTGGAGCACGAGCCATGGTGCAAGTGGTGGGGGGAAACAAAATATTTTCAAACCTAGTGTATTTTTTGGTCCGTGTGCATTGCCTTGGAATTGCCGAAATCAGGGCCCATAAGTCCACACAGGGTCAGAGAGAACAGCTGCATTGCTAAGACAAACATTCAGGACCGTACAATTTAGCTAGAACGTAAAATTTTAGCTAGAATTGAAAATTAGCCCACGCCCACCTGAATTATGAATTAAACTCACATTCATTACTTGCACGTGCCATGATAGCAAGAATATGTGGAATGCGTTCCTCAGGTATTCCCAACTTCACAAGAATGGCTTGCCAGGTCAATGGACCGTACCCATCAACCTGGTCGATGCACCTCCAAATCTCATCCATTGTCATACTGTGAAGCGAAAGGTCATGAAGATAAGCACAAATTTCCATGGAAACACGCTCAGAGTCCGCATCATTTGGACATCCAGTCAAACGTGAATCCGACATCAGGTAAATGTGATTTGTGATCGATACACCTTGTTCGGTCCCTCGCATTGACATTGAGATCTGCACTGGGTTCAATAGCCCAGCATTTTCAACCCTTGACCTTGGGCGCGATGCCGTGCTAACACCTCCAGTTTGGCCCTGAGTATATCTCAGCGCCACTGAAGCTAAATTTTTTGCAATCTACTCACGTAAAGCTGACACGTGTTTGATTTGATGTGTGATGCACGCACTGCTGAGGGTGATGAGACCGTGTGCTTCAAGCGAGGAGAGCAAGGTGCAATTATGAACGGAGGAGGGCTTGGAGGAGGGTTCGGAATGATAGGTGCCGCAGAGGTTGATTTGATGCATGATACACGTGCTGCTGAGGGTGATGAGACCGTGTGCTTCAAGGGAGGAGAGCAAGGTGCGATTATGAACGGAGGAGGGCTCGGAGGAGGGTTTGGAATGATAGGTGCTGGAGAGGTTGATTTGACGCGTGATACACGTGCTGCTGAGGGTGATGAGACCGTGTGCTTCAAGGGAGGAGAGCAAGGTGCGATTATGAACGGAGGAGGGCTCAGAGGTGGCGCAATGACCAATGGCAGAGGCTGCGAAGGGTGTGTAGACATTGGTGTCTGCACCCGTGTAGCCCAGCTCTTTGTTGGCATCTGTTGCCCTGTAATACTAGGTGCCGGACCTTGCCTAGTAGTCTTGGTTGGAGTCTGTGGCTGTGCGATAGGCACGGAACGTTGTCTATGTGTCTTCAGAGGGCGCACAGACAATGGCTGTGCAAGAAGTCGTCGATTGGTGCGAATGGTGATACCTTCTGCTAAAAGCTCAGCAGTTTGCGAATGCTCGCTGGTTTCTTCATCAGAGAGTGAGTGTAAAGATGAACGATCGGATGTCAAGGAAAAGTGTCCCGATGAATGCGAGATATCAGTACTAAGAGAATATTTCCAGTTGTCATCTGGCTGCGTACTAATGGCTGAGGATCGAGGAGAGAGAATCGAAAACTCGTGTATGCTGGCAGTAGGAATTGCAGGAAGGCTCGAAGGATCTGGGAAAATATAAGACGAGGTGCTCATGTCTTGAGTTTGGCGTTTGTATTCAAGCTCTTCCTGTTGTGATGCAGCTAGCCCTGAGGAAATCAAATTTCTGAGTGGATGCCGCGATGCAAAAGGAAGAAACACTTGCTTTGAAGCAGCTTCGGAGGAAGCTCTACAGTGTCCCAGTCAAACCAACGGCGACAGACTTGATGCGCAATTGAACGGGAAAAGTCCGTGTGGAGCTTCTCAAGCATGGTCTTCTCAATGTGGCCCTCGATGGGCGTAGACGGGAGGATGGTGGTCTTGGTAGTGGGGAACCAGCAGAACGTATTAGCACGCTTTTCGAAACTAAATTCGGCTGTGAGCTTGATTTCAAAATACTGTTTCTGTTCATAACATGATGAGAACTTCAAACTAAAAGAATATGTACTCACTGTCTGACCATGTAGATCAAGATATTCCAGACGGCCCGCAGGAGTCGTCATGGTGGGTATTTGTAACATACAGTATGTAGTGTGGTCAGTGCTAGAGCAAAGTGAATTGAGGAAGCCTTGAGGCGAGCACATGTTGAACTTGAGGCAAGTCCTAGTTTGTAATCGTTAAACTCCTATCAAATGCCACCGAACAGTCTCGCATCGCCAAGTTGTTGTAGTATCCGAGTCATCTGGATCAAATCTTTGCTGGAGGCGGCCTCCAGCAAAGATTTGGTCCAGATGACAAGTTGCAGTGGTGCGCTGAAGCACAAATTCAACTACTTCTACTCCCATTTGCCTCCATGGATAATTCAACGACTTATGATACCCCTTCGATATGCCGCAAGGCATATCGAAGCGGTATCAGTCGTTGAATTATCCATGGAGGCAAATGGGAGTAGAAGTAGTTGAATTTGTGCTTCAGCGCACCACTGCAACTTGATCTTAGGTAGTAGAAGTAGTTGAATTCGTGCTTCAGTGCACCGCTGCAATGCTAATTGCACCTCGTTTCTTCAAGACGAGTACTGAAAGAGAACTGCATTTTTGGGCGTAAAGCCATGATAGTGAATACAACAGCATATTACAATCTAAAGACGAGAAATAGCATCTTCAAGGCGGAAAGCTTCATCATTCAACTCGTCATTCTCCCCAAGATCAACAGCTTCCCTTTCGTCATCTGAATTCTCCATCTCCACAGAATTAGTATGCAACAGCACTGCAGCCGGGCCACTGTAGCCCTTGAGGTGACGAATCTTGTTCAAACGATGGCGGTGAATATTGTTGATGCGATGCCATTTGATGTACTGTTTCCTCAACTCCACAGCAAGAAGGGAGTCAGCTTCCTCAACCGTTAATGTCTCTATTACTTCTAGCATCTTCGCATCATCATATTCGACCCAGGCATCGAGGCGATGTATTTCAACATTTAAGCGGGCAATCTCCTCGTGTGACCTCACCACCTTGAAATATCTGGCTGCCATTTCCCGATTGTCAGGGACGGCCCATGGCTTGGAAAGGAGGTCATGGCGAGAATATTTGAGGAGCGAGAACTCCCCGAGGGTAGCATACCCCACAACTTCAGAATAATTGAGGATGGGCCGAGGTGGCGATTGAAGAGGGGCCAACTTGTTGTACTTCTTGAGTGCTGAGCGAATAGTGGCAGATCGACGTGCGATGGCTTTTGAAATGTGTTTCCGCATTTTGTAACCTTCTCGCAGTAATGAGCATGAGACTTGGCAAATAGTTGTGACACGAACCTGTGCCTGCAAGGTTGGCTTTCGAAAACTCAAACAAGCGTTGGACGACTAGACCCTCTAATTCTTCCACAGTCCGAATGAAGTGGCGCTCACGAGCATACTGAAGTGCCTGAGTATACTCAGGATGCGCTGTTGTCCAACGCTCATTGATACCGTTCCGCCGCTCAAAATCATCCACAACATTCATTTGCAGCTCATATCTCCGCAGCGCTGACATGCGTTCTGCTTCAACTGTTCTTGACTGCCGCCGGGCACTGGCATTCAAACCTGAAGTTTGCGTAAAGTTTGCGGGTGTATACGTGAGAAAAGGCACCGATGTCACGCTGCCATATTTTGACCTAAATTTCAAGGGTAAGTGCAACAAAATCATGCTAGCGCCAACTACAGACTCAGCGAGATGAAGCTTCTCAAGCTCTTCAACGTATGCCACTGCAAGAACATCAGATGGTGGTTCAACAGCTGAGTTGCTGAGAAATTCGGCTTCTTCTTGGTGCCACTGGATGAAGTCTTGGTCAGTGAGCGACTTTCGGCACTTGAACTCCTCGAGTAAAGGTGTATAATCTCCGATGATTTTGAGCGCCTGGACATAATTATTGGATAAGAAGCGGCCTTTAGTCACATCAATAAATAATACCATGATTCAATCAATAATGTTTAATCTTACTTAATTCAAGATACTTATCGTGATCCCATTGGTCAAAGTGAAGATCCAGAAATTGCTTCCAATGAAAATAGGACGCGTGACGGATGAGAACTGCGGCGCTATTAGAACTTGAGAAGATACGTTCACAGGTTTCTAGATCCTCGTTGCCAAAACCTTCGAGGTACAAAGGATGATTTTGCAGCTGGCAGCGGCGGTTATGAGCATATCTGTGAAAACTGTTCACTGCAACAATAAGATTTAGTGTCTCTGCCTTCGCACCAATAGAACTCGCTGCAATGGTCTTGCGTGATGAACAGCCAATGTCATGGCCCAGAGCTTGGTCATTCCCACAGACATCGAGTAACCGATTGGTCGCGGCGAGTCCATACTTAGCACTAATGAAATCATGTCAGCATCAGATGAGTAGAATGGAGAATGACTCACAGTTCTCCGCTTTGTTTCATTTCGGCGATGCATTCTACAAAACCATGGCGACAAGCCAAGATAAAGATGCCAGTTTGCTCGAAGACAAAAATTTTGTTCTCTTCCACAGACTTGGCGGCTGTCCAATTCTCAGTGCAGTCAGCAGTCTCACCACTACGGTGTTTACTAGGCCGATTGTGAACATCGTCCCTAAAGTGTTCCACCGCAGCCACAGGGATGAAATATTTGCTGTTGAAGACACGCTCATCTGCTGAGCCAGAACCATTGAGACGTTTTGCTGAATGATTGCCGTCCATGCTGTGAAGTCTTCGGGGATTAAGTGGGGTCTCATTCGGTTGCTGAAACATGATATTAAATTAGTAGTGTATTCATCTCGATACTCACCTCAAAGGCACAACATGGACAAGCGCCTGACATATGCCAGTCAGCATGGTCTTTGCCAAGTGCACGGTCGACCTGTAGTTGAACGAGTCGTTGAATTTCGAGGTAGATATCAAATGCGATTGAAAATTGATTGCGTAAGTGCTGAGAATATGTCACCTAAACATTGGTTCAGTAACACGTTATTTGATACATAAAGACTTACATTATGAAGGGCGCAGAGAACTTTCGTAATCGATTGGATACTAAACGACGATTGACGACGGCGAATCTGATGATAGAGTTCTAGGCATGTGAGATGGATAGCGACTGTTGGTTGCACTGGCGAGCAGCCGAGTAAGCCCATGCGCAGCAGCGCTGAGTTGGCAGGTTCATCAGGCCGTTGAGCAACATTCATGTTAGGCGTAAAATCTGCTAGAACGCTTGTAACAATAATTGAGAGTATACACAAAAAGCTTACCCAAGAGCCCAACAACAGACACACCAAAGATATGTTCATCGCGTGCTTGAGATTGATTATCCGTGGCGTGTTCTGGTGGCCGATGTTTCCACGACATATAAGCGTGAACAAGGGCCGTCATCTGATGCGTCCATGCATCGTGTGTGTGACGGTATCGTTGGGATCGTGTACGAACATCTTGGCGTTTATGAATGGTGACACCACTGCAAATGAAACATTTAGCAAAATAATAAGTAAGGAACGTAAATACCGACTGCTGTAGCCCACAGGTCTGGAAAAAGTTTGAAGACAACCGCTCACTGTCCAACTCCTCCATCTCGCCATTGTCGTCATGGTCATATTCAGGTGCGGTATCGTCATAAGACGTCGTGTCAACATAGTTTTCTCCAGCCTCCAGCTGGGCTTCTGCCATGAGAGCACGGATGCGAGTATTTTCTAGAGGACCATTATCAAGTGAAATAGACGAATTATCATAGTACATACCTTGTATTGATTCTGCTCGTCTACGCTCGTCTTCTAGCCGTTCACGCCGTATTTGTGTCAATGAAGTTATCGATGTGTGTAGTGAATGAGAACTCCCATTGAGAATGGACATCTTCACCCGTGAAGATGTAGACATCCGAGTCTTTGAACGACGCTTTGGGGGCATGGTGGATGTTGAATGTTGAGTATGAACCTGAAAAATGAGTGTAAGCAAACATCTCGCTTACGTTGGCAGCCCACCAAGGCTGCTGCCATGTGGCCTACACGTTGAGAGGAACTCAGCGCTCAGGCTCGTGTACAGTGCGGAAGGTGGTGATTATATGAGTAAGCAAATGTCAATATTAAAAGAGTGAATTTGATGCGCCATAGGGGTCTCAAGCTGCCGGGTGGTGTAGGAAAGACTATGGTATCATAAACGCAAAAAGTGCGCTCGTAAACGATGAGGTTTGAAGGCTGCAGTGGTGCTCGTCGTGTGTGACAGCGAGCACGGCTGTGCGGACGACGTGGGAAAGGCCGGAGAAGCGGCACACGGGATTAACCGGGTATGTTGATGCCGTGGGCAACCTAAATAGTCTTAGATAATCTACTGATATACCCGAGAATTGTTTTCCTAGCAAAGTCACTGCTGAGTGCTGCAGAACTTGCTGAAGTGCTGCAGTATAGGTAAACGCCCCTACTTAGTGAGGAACATCATATTACATCACCGTTACTAATTAGTAACATTTATGGTGACACACAGGTGGACGCTATATAGAAGTGCTCGATGGTTGGCCAAAAGGGAATATCGTGGCTGCTACCAAACAAATGTAGTACCACAACCAAACAGATATCTAGTACAAGCCCAATCACAACTTATGAGTAACATAAAGTTCAAATTTAAAGCCCGCGATTGTTAGTACCTCAGTACTGAGCCCATTCAAAATCGTTTATCTGCACTGGATTTCAGCAAACCACTATGCCAGCTACACGCAAAGTTGTGCCTCGCAAGCGCACTCGGTTATCCAATGAAGATTCAGAGCCCGAATCTCTTCACAGCGACGCCCTCGACGACCTGCCGCCCAAGAAACGCACGCGTTCTTCCAATTCCAAGTCCAGCTCACCTTCGAAACCTAAGCCCAAGCGTAACAAACGCAAAGCCAAGGAAGATGATATCAAAGATGAAGAGGATGTAGATGATAGCGATGTAGACCTGAAGGAGGGGCAGCAAGTCGTAGGTCGCGTTGTGCAAGCTCCAAAGACAGGCTGGGGTAAGTCGGTCTTTTCCTGCCTCAGGGATGATCAACTTACCAGTTTTAAAGTACCTCCTGGTCAGGTTTCACAGAACACGCTTGATTTTCTAGCGAAACTCAAAGACCCTGCGTGTAATGACCGTGAATGGTTTGCACTTCTATCACGGCCCTCGTTCATCCATTGTTGACCGAAAATAATCACGCGTTCCTAGGTTTAAGCTACACGGTATGCAGGGTTTATGCATTAGGCTGAAGCTCTGAGCTTATTTGTCAAACAGAACCAGTTTACCGTCGCGTAGAAAAGGAGTTCAAGGCGTTCATCGAGGCGTTCACTGACATGCTCACAGACGTTGACTCTGAGATTCCTCCGTTACCCCCTAAAGACGTCACCCATCGCATATATAGAGATGTTTGTCTCTTCATGTTTCCTTCCGTGGATCTGCGGACCTGATGTCGTGTGGGTAGGTCCGCTTCAGCAACGATAAAACACCATACAAGAAGGGACTATCTGCGAGTTTTTCGAGGAGTGGCAGGAAGGGGATTTTTGCGTTTTGTGAGTTTCGCAGCATTTTGCTTTCGCTGCAGATATCTAACTGTTCGTAGATCACGTGTACGCACCTCTTAGCATGAGAGTCGGACAAGCTGACTGGATATATCCACGTTGTTTGCTCACACAGAATGAGTCAGTCGTAGCTGGAAATATTGAATCGGTATACGCTAACATGAATGACAATTAGTCAAGCCGGGTGACGAGAGCGTCATCGCTGCAGGTGCATGGTGCCCTGGGAAGAACGAACTCTCGACTCTCAGGTATGTCTCGTCTCCACTTTTTTTCTGTGTTTCTTTTCATACTTTTTATTACCTAACAGAAATCACCTACTTCGTTCCACACCCGCCGCTGAGACTCTGCACACAATCATAGCTTCTAAAGCATTTACTACCCATTTCGGCGCTCCCTCTCCACACCCGAATGGAGATCGTCAGAGTGTATTTGGGCATGAAGATGAATTGAAGGTGGCACCGAAGGGCGTGGATAAGAATCACAAGTGCGTGGAGTATCATTCGAGTCATAAAAGCTAATTGGTATACTATGCTACGCATTTTCTAGAGATATAGCCCTCCTCAAATGTCGCTCTCTCGCTGTTTCCTATCGGTTCACAGATGCACAAGTCGTTGCACCCGGATTTGAGTTTATAGATGCGCTACGCGGGGTTGCGGATGTGATGACGCCATTTGTCCATTGGTGAGTGCTGTTACTTACCGTTTCTGAATTAGAGGCGCGCCGCGCTATTCGCACCGAGTGCTCCATTTTGAGTATTACTTTCGGAGTACATGGACTGATCATTTGCTGTAGTTTGAATGATTTGATGACGCTTCCTGTGGACGACAGTTCTGATGAAGAGAACGAGGAAGATGATACTGGGGATCCGGAGGAAGATGAGTGAGGACGGAGATGTATAACGAACGGGAAGCTTGGATTCATTTATTACAGCTGTTCAAATATTACCGGTGTTAATTTTCTCAGGTATCTTACTGTCATTTAGTATACACGATGTAATCTATTTGATTTGGCATATACACGATGGTGATTGTGTCTACCCCATCACTCACAATTTGGGGCTGACCTTTGTCAGATAAATAGTTCACTCCCGTATGGGTCCGGGCCAAGAGTCTTGCGAGGAAAGTTGAACGGACTACTCGCCGGACTTTCTGTTTCTTGCACCCCGCCGAGCGGACTGTCAAATCAGCCAATGTGACCATTCTGTGACGAGATGTACGAACTGGTGATGGAGCCAATAACTTATAAGTAGGTTCACTTTCTCAGGTGCTATGTCATCACGCAATGCCAGGTACCGTCTCACTCCAACCCACTGCAATCCCAATTATCGACTTTGCATGCTTCGGGGATGGTACTTCCCCAGTACGTACGGCGCTCACAATGTACATGTGACGATAATAACTGAAGCTCCTTTTTTGACGTGCAGGAAGCGACAGAGATAGGAAAGCAATTAGTGAAAGCGTGTCGAGAAGTCGGATTTGCATACTTTCGCAACACTGGTATACCTCAGGCGGAGGTGGATTGTATGTTTGAATGGGTGTGTACATATCACCGCATGTGCGAGATTCACCCCAATGAATGAGTGGGCATTAAGAGCAGTAGGTTATTCTCGCTTCCAATCGAAACAAAATTATTGGCTCCGCATCCTAAAGAGGGATGGAAACACCGGGGATATAGCGGGGTATGTTGTTTTGCGTTACATGGCAACATGTCCTAACGAATGTCTCATTCAGGTTGGTAGGGAGCAAATTTCACAAATGGTACATTACAGCGTCATCCAAACTACCAATATCCTGACTCGCGTAGGTGTTCGACCCAACGCAGCTCGCCGAGATACGGAAACAAACTCCTGATCACAAAGAATCGTTTGATATTGGACGCAATGATTGCTCACACATGTCCAATGTGTGGCTCCCGGAGGAAGTCCTTCCGGGCTTCAAAGACGCAGCATCTGCTTTCTTTGATACATGCCGTCGCTTTGAGATCGAGAAGTTGCTACCTGCATTATCTCTAGGACTCGAGCTCCCTGGCGGAGGCAAATTCCTGGAAAAATACCACCAACAAGCAGAGAATCAGCTGCGATTATTGCATTATCCAGCTGTGCCTGCAGAGGTATTCGCACGCGGTGAGAAAGGAAGAATCGGTGCACACACGGTATGCGATTATTTGACCAGCATTGGTTCCACCGATAACGAATGTTGACGATAGGATTATGCAATGGGCACGATTTTGTTTCAAGATGATGTTGGGGGACTTGAAGTTGAGAGCCCTCATGGTTCAGGAAATTTCGTTGCTGTGTCACCCATTCCGGGCACTGTTGTTTTCAATATAGGAGACTTTTTGATGCGGTGGTCAAACGGTACGATTCTCTTGAGCGGCTACTCTTCGCCACAAGGCTATATAATCTGTTTGAATCAGATACCCTTAAATCAACATTGCACCGCGTGCGTGCGCCCCCGAATGATGGAAAGTTAGAAATGATCAAGGAGCGCTTCTCGATCCCATATGTAAGTACTAAGCTTCCTGTAGACATGATGTGTGTTTGATATTGATATTGGATTAGTTTATGTCTTCTGACAGAGATATTTTGATTGACTGCCTCCCTGGCTGTTGGGACGAAGACAGGCCGAAGAAGTACGAGCCTGTGACAGCAGGGGCGTATATTGACATGCGGCTTGATGCTACGTATTAATGATTTACCGACATGGCATGATTCTGTTTGAATGTTGAATGGATGGTGAAGATCTTTCCTGGACCTTTTACTTCTTGTTCCGATTTCGCCATAACGTCTGTACCTTCTGATGTCATTCGTTGGTCATCTCGGTCATGATTTCAAAATGCTGGTGCGCTGCAATAACCCAATTTGCTCTGCCACGTTAATATCATTAGATATTCATATCACCGATCGATACATGGGCGCATTACTCCCCAGACCTCAATTTAATTGGCTACACTACTGCGCATTGCATATAGCGGGAGCCTCATCAGTTTGTGAAACAGGTGGGCTTTACAAGATGAAACATTTATATTGAGATAGTACCTTGTACTCGAAAATACTAAAGCCACCATCGCAAACGTAGCAGTGGTATTTCCAACCAAATCGCGCACCAGTGGCATATCGCGAGCATCCGATCGGCTGCCGGCAGCTCAAATCTGGGGTTTTCATTTTGTTTCGCGAAGAAGAAGGGGAATCGCACCATGCACATTTCTATGACACCCGAGGAACAAATGGTGAAGAGTTTTCAAGCACTTGACCCAAAACGGAACACGAAGGCATCCCAAATGAGTTACAAAGAGAGGAACGCCAGGGTACTACTACTTATCGCCTTGAAGCTTGAAGGCCGAATCGCGACGAGAGTAAATGAATCATAAGCATACATCTACGAGCTTTTTCTGGAGGAGAACACGACTCGGAAGTATGATTTTGAAGTAAAAAAAAATAGCGGCAGGGCCAGGAGAGAATGATAAAACGGATGTAACCAACCATAAGTTGATAGCTATAAAACTAATTACGTATGCTTATCCGTGAAGGATCGTGTCATCAGCCCGCAGTACTCTAGTCTCTATCGCGGCGGCTGTGCGCACCTAAGTTCGTTGTATGTAGTACAAATGTAATATTAATAATTATGTAAGATCGGTCTGTTTGTGAGACAAGGTGGGTATTAGAATTCATCAGACGTAGTGATGTTGTCTCCTCGACGATGCTAGTCAGACATTGATATGCAGAAGCTTGGAATGCAGTCACGGTTGTTCCTTCTTTATCGAGGCGGTGATGGGCTGTTCAAATTTCGCAATTGACTGATCGGATCAATGTCCAAGGAATTCCGAGACACTCCTCGAATCGGATCTGTTCACCCGCTCGAGATTCGCCAGCTGCAGCACTCTCAGCTGTCCGTCCCCGTTCCTTTGTAAAGCTTGGCATTTGATATCGAGTGCTAGTGGCCCCGTTCCACATGCGGTTCCCTGTGGTTGATTGATGACAAGAGTACGTTTAAAAACCTCAGTTTCTCGATCCTGGTCGAGGGTCGGCAATGTTTACCGAATCATCGTCAGAACGCCAGCTCGATGGCATATCCCTCCTGAGCTTAACACTTTTTACAGCCATTTGCTACGGCACTGTACTGACCATCTACATCCAGTGCTTCTTTTCATTGGTCCACAGTCCGATGCGGCGGGCTCCCGGATCACGACTGTTTTTCCTTGGCTATACATCTGTCATGTTCATTCTTGAAACGTTATATGCTGCTGCAAATTTTCGAAGAGTTTGGATAGCATTCGTTGTAAATTGGGGCTCCCCCATGAATTCAACGAGTTACGAGATTGGTTTATGGAGTGATTGGGCCGGTACAGCAGCAATGGCGTGCTATATCATCTCCAATTGGTTGGCGGATGCGCTTACGGTAGGTCTTGATACTATCAATGTTGTTTATGCTCATATAGATCCTTGACTCATACCTCATACCTCTCCTCAGCTTGTGCGCTGTATGATCTTGTTTCGAAACATGAAAAACACAAGATGGCTGATTCCTATCCTATGCAGCGTGTTCCTTGTTGTTATTGGTATCTACTACGATATAATGCGTTGCCTCCAAAGTTACTGACAATGCATTGACAGTGACTTCTATCAGTCTGTTTGTGAATACAACAGAAGTGACCAAGTCAATGGAAGCAATGACCAAAGCCTACCGCATCTTTGTTGTGGTCGATCTCTCCTTTAATGTTATCACGACGTCATTGATAACCGCTTGTATCATGATGCACCGCACGAAGCTAAGGAAATCTTCAGGTAAGCAGGCTATCTTGTATCATTATCCTGACGTACGTCCTTTGTCAGGAACTCATGACCATGGGAGGGAGTACATCAATATCATCGCGATGACCATTGAGTCTTGTATGATTTCCGCGATTAGCCCGATCGTCTATCTCGTCCTCTACGCGATGAATAGCTTTGTGCAGTATCCACTCATGGTCATCCAGAACCAAATGCAGGTGAGAGATTACACTACATTATGCTATCTGGATTTCATTTTCAGCAATGCAGGTCATTGCGTTCTTTGTATTGGTCTTGAGAATCATTCAAGGAAAAACGTGGACAAGACGAGCAGATGCTAATATCACTTCTCATTCGCTTCCAAGTGACGGACTTTCCTTCCAGCTTCAGCGGGCTTCGTCTTAGTGTTCGTTCTTCTGAGGCATCCGCTCTCGTGTTCGCTCACAGAAATCCAGATTACCACTAAATAGCTCCATCACGAGCCCAACACACTGTTACACCTACGTAATGTACAGAACTATCAGAATATTCACACAGCCCTCTAGATTTTCGTCATGGACTGATTTCTGCAAGCGGCGGAGCAGAAGTAATCTGTTCCAGTCTGTGGGTAGCGTTGGCACATGATGCATCCAGGAACCAGTCCGAGGGTCACTGCTTCTCTGAAGAACATTTAGTATCTCGTGGTAATCGATGTCCTGTGACCACTTACTCTCGGTGCCGTGTGGAGCAGTAATCTGTCTTTATCCCACCTCTATCAACGAAAGGCGGTTTTCCACAGCTGGGGATGAGACAGACACCAGTCACATGACGGGCTGATGTGCTTTGTTTCTGCGGAGCGTGCACAGTCTTGACTGGTCGTGACGGAGGAGCTGGAGTAGGTTCTTCGTCATCATCTGATGGATATGCGTCCAGGTCTGTGCCTGTCCCCGTATCGTCTTCGGCCTCCTCATCAGCGTCAGCGTACTCGTCGTCATCCTCGCTGGACTCATCTGCAAATATAAGTAAGCATCGAAATTAGATGAGCGATAATGGGTAACCTTGGGTCACAGTTGCAACTGGGTGGCGCGTTGCCGGTTTAGAAGTTTTGGCAGGCTGAGCAGTAGCAGGAAGGCGAACGCCATGCTTTGGAACCGGTCGTCCATGTGTAGCAGGCTGCGCAGAAGGAACGGTAGCGGCTTTCGACGCGCATGATTTACCGCAGTAATCGAAGTTATTGAACTTGGGCTTTTGCCCACAATACTAGAACGAGATGTGTTTCATGACTGTTTGATCATCATGATTCTGCACTCACGTCGCACAGCCGTCCCGCTTTTGGGGCTGGTGGTGGAACTTTGGCCTTGGGGGTTGGTCCTGATTTCGCGCGATGCACTGGTTGCTGTGTAGTGGCCGCCTGAGCAGCGCACGTTTTGCCGCAGTACTTATGAGTACCGAATTTCGGCGTCTTGTGACAATTCTACGCAGGAAAAATCAAGGATGAACTACTAGTACCAGTAGGGACAGAGTGAGCAATCACTGACCTCGCAAAGTCCAGTAGCCATTGAAGTTATCTGAGCTGCTGCCCAGTTCAAAATTGCGTCGTGGTTTATAGAGGTGGTGGCCATTGGCATGAGGCTGCGGGGGCAGCCTGGGCGTTGGGGTGAATGGTATCACACTACAACGTGCTGTCCGCATGTCAGTGCACGAGGCTATCTGTCATGGAGCGGAGCAGTGCATCTAGCCCAAAGTGAGCAAAAAAGGGCACGCCCTCAGTGATTCTTAAACCTTCTGTTTGCCTCCGTGCCCCTTCGATCAAGGGGAGGCATTGCATGCGGCTAAATCATCATGACCCACATGGAGATCCAAATAGTTTTGGTTTACGCTCACTTAAGAGACTGAAATACATAAATAATGTCCAAACTAACGAGGATGAGGTTCAAGTCTGCTTCGTATACATCACGATGAATCTGGGGATGATCGCATCTGACACTCGAACAACTACCCTGTCCCCAGCAACAACCTGCAGATATAACGTCAATGAGAGCTCTGATTTCAAGTTCAAGTCATTTACCGAATTGCTCTTGTCAAGGTGTTGCGGTAAAACAACATCGCAGGCGATCATAACGCGGTAAGGCGAAGATAAGCATGATGTGGCAAACCGATCGGCGGAAGCAGGGTTTCTAGAGGAGTACAGTCCCTTGCCTTGTCTTGACGACGAATAAGGATAAAGATGCGGCGAGTATGAGATAAGGATGGCTACTCACCTCCCTACATTGGATTGAACACCAAAGGCGACACTTCTAAAAGCCGAGCCCACGACATTGCAGATGCCGCACGAGTTCCACTTGCAAAGCGTGGGACCTTTAGTCCCCATGTCGCAGATACACTGAGATGCGTGAAATGTGCGTAAGATGTGGGCTTGCCCAGTAGCTTGTGAGCCCTGTCTATGGATAACTAAGCCTAGCACTGAGTTCGGTGAAAAAGGAGCCGCTTACAGATACTTGTCTTGGGCATCGGATATGCTCGTCGGATAAGATATTTCATATAACTTTTCTACCGACGCTGATCCTTCCAGGGACAGCCACTTGCTATTCCACTCCCTCACAACTTGAAAAGACGTCAATCAAATAGCATAAGCTTGATTGAAGACATCACGTACATTCTCGCCACACCGTCGCAGAACTGGGAATCTCAGACAAGTGAACGACATCCGACGGAGCTTTAGGCTTCGTACGCCCAGTATCAGTGTGATTATGAGTTTGTGGTTGCGTCTTGGGGCCGGGATGAGCTGACGGAAGAGGAAGAGCACTCCCCTTCCTATTAACTCTCAATCTCTATCTCAAGAAGCATTTCTTTATTATGACTTACTTCGCATGATCAACGGAACAAAACCCATTGAAAGCAGTCCCTGTGTTGCTGCACCCTCTAAGCAAGCATTCAGGTGCTGCCTTTCCGACCCCAGTCCGAGCACACGAGCGACCACAATAAGAGTGCTGCATTCCGCTTGGATCAACATATTTCGGCTTGATACCACATGCCTATCGCCGACAAAGATTAATATTTTGATAAGAAGAAAGGTGGGCCCTGAGACATACCTCACACATAGTAGCATTTCGCCGCACAGTGTCTAGAATTGTAGCCATCGTAGGAAATGACGACCTCAGGATCACTCACCAAACAAGATAACTGGCTGCGCATATGACCCACGTGTAACGCACACCCTACATGCGCGTGAAGCAGCAGCGCCACTACGGCGCTGCTTCCAGCACAGACCATCACTGCATCACGGATCCAGCTTTCCTCGAAGCAGCAACGTGTCGGCAACACATGGTGCATGGGAATAAGAGGATCGCGCCCCATACATAAGTTTCTTCGTATAGAGACCAAAAAATTGTAACATAGTGACGAATATGAAGCCTACCACGAACCAAGCGGCGACATTGCAATCACCTCGAAAGTCCCAGAAGGTACCAACGTTCAACAAGGACAACAGTACCCAGACAACACTCCTGACGCACTACATGGACCTTGCCCAATCATTTCGGGTCAGCTCAATCGAACCACAGAGTCCCCACAAACTTGACCGGATCAAGAAGGGTCTCGAGGAGGATCGTGGATACCTGTCGGATGGCGGCAAAGTTAGTATTACCCCTACAAGCCCTGCACTGCCGCCCCGAACGCCACGTGGGCTGCATCCCCCTCATGCATCGTCGGTGAAACGTCCATCAACATCTCCTCAGTCATCCCCACTTGCTACCCGACCAACTCCGCCTTCCAGCGCGACACCCTCAAATGGGAAGCCTATTCTTTTCTATCATGCCCACGACCCATACTATGGGTTCACCAATTTCTCATCCGACCCCATTGATTACAATGGAAAGAAATACCCCACGAGTGAACACCTCTTCCAGTCGCTGAAGGTAAGTGGCTTTACGAACAGCATCATCATCTGATACACTACTCACCACTGCTATAGTTCATGGAACGCCGCCCCGATCTCGCAGAGCACATCAGGACGTGTTCCACGCGTCCGCGTGTGGTATTTGACGAAGCCCACAGGTTCAGTCCCGAAGTGCGATCTGACTGGCTGCAAGTGAGGATTGAGATGGTGAGAATAAGTATCGACTGCAATTGGGTTCAGCTGACGACACAAATGATCAGATGGACTTTGTTCTCTGGCATAAATTCTCGCAGAACAGACATCTGAAGGAAGAACTACTCTCTACTGGAGATGCAGAACTTGTTGAGGTTAGTAGACCTAGACCGTGAGGGCCATGACGAAGTTTAATTATACACCACAGGATTCTGATAAAGACTCATTTTGGGGTATTGGAGTAGACCGAAAAGGCCAAAACCAGTTGGGCAAGGCTTTGGTGAGGCTTAGGACCAAGTTGAGGGACGAGCAGAATAATAGTGCAGGAAGCAAAGCTTTGACACTTTTGAGGAAGACTGTTGGACGTTGATATCGCATAGAAACGCTGAAATTGTATATCCTCATCCTGATTAAAGCATATAGCTCTGTCGGCAGGCTAAATAGATCGCCCAGACGGTGAGATGAGTCAATGACGTAGGGGGTGCAACTTGCAAACTTCCTTGAAGTTCAAGTGAAGAGATTCACAATGAATTGAATTACATAATATGATACCCGGACAACTCCGACGGCTGCACGGCCCGAAGTCAAATCAATATGACGCTAACGTCGTATCGTTGACCGTCGTAGAAATCGAGAACTATGCAATCTAGATAATCAATATTCGGTGATCGACGATGGCAATTCAATCCCACGTCTACCAGTGGAACTCTGGGATCATCGGTTCAGTTTGGAGTGCATCAGGGAAACATCAGCGGGTTGGATTGGGACGGATGGAAGGAACACGTCCGCAGAGGATAAGCAAATACTCTCGATTGAGGGTGTTTCAGAATTTGAACTTGAACGAACTACGCAAATGATGAGTGTAAGCACTGTAGATGAGTCCTGTTCGAGTAAGCCCGTGTATGATACAAGCACAAATGTAATACAGATATTGTAAAGGTACAAATGAGAACTGCTCGAAGAACTGTCTCAAACAGTACGAGCATTGTCGCCATTGGAAGCATGGAGCACGCTTGGTCTTACTTGAGATCTAAGTGAAGTACTGTTAAAGATTGTAGATGGGATAACATTGCTGAAGACTTACCATTGAACCAAGCACGTAAACTGGGCTTCATAGCTTCATCACTCTTGTCCATCAGAGATTGAAACGCTTCAATGGCTGCTCCAGTTCTACCTGCCTGAATAAGTGCCTTGCACAGTTGCTTGTTCGCGTTTTGCCAAAACAACTTGAGGTTCCAGCCGAAGAGCTGCAAAACACGCAGATGAGCATGAAAAGCCCATTCGATTGCGTTATATCAACGTACCATGGTGAATTCCTCGTACGTAGAATGGATTTCCAAATGATGAAAGGAGGCGCTTGTGTTGATCGCGACATTGAAGTGGTCAATGGCTTCACTGTAGTGGGCGTTTTCCGAGGCAATCACCCCGAGTCGGACGCGTAAATAGGTCTAATGTACGAGAATCGGAAAAATCAGTGCCAATGTATGAAGTCGGGCTTCATCAAGTGCACGATACTCACTTCTACAATACGGCACGCAACAGGATCGACATCGGGAGACACAGCTAGCTCTCCAACGCGCAGCATCGCCTCCTCATGTTCGCCTGCTATGAACAGTGAGACGGTCTAAAAATCGCAATGAAGCATGCGATACATAAGAAGAAAGATGACTTGCCTTGATTAAGAAAAGGAAATGGCTGGTCTTTAAATCTCCGTTCGTGAACACGTAGGCGAGGTCAAATGCTGTGTTCGCGGCTCGGACTCGCCCTTTTCCACAGAGGGCAATGCCATTGGAGACGTGGCCTGCAAACGAAGGCCGAATGCTGACGGACTATCCACCAAAGTTAGCTTTCATAATGGAGAAATATAGGACAGTCTGTATCACCTTGATTGAATCAAGAAGCGCGCGGTCCCAGTCGGATTTTCGCGCCATAATGACCGCGCGATTGGCGTAGGATATGTGATTCTTAGGATCAGCAATGATTTCTCCATTTAGCGCCTTTTCAGCGGTATGCAAGTCACAAGCTATGCATGCAACGCGAACTGTTGGGCTCATAGAAAGGACCTGCGCGAAGTATGTTCACATTCCGTTTTAAGACTCAGAGGTAGGAACATGCCTTAAAATCAGAGTAGGCTTGAGCCTTGACACAAGAAAGTGTTTAGATGACGAAAGGGCGCAAAAATGAAACAAATTACCTGGTGCGCCGTCTGCTTCACGAAAAAATCCTTTGGACCACCCTTTGGACCATCCTTTGGAATCGTGTTTTCGGATAGTGGCCACTCTGAGATCGTCTTTTCACTTCCGCTGATGATGTGCCTGTCATCTGCGGAGAACGTGACACAAATCACATTGTCAGAGTGCTTGAATGAGGTAATGGTTCGTCGATCTGAGAGCCGCCAAATGCGGACACGTTTATCTCGAGATGCAGAAGCAAGGAGAGTGCCACTAGAATTTAGGGAAATGGCGTTGATACCCTCAAAATGGCCCTTCCAGGGAATGCCGACCTGCTTCCAGGTCGATGAATCCCATTCCCGTATATTGGGATCAGAATCATGTCCAGCAGAAAAAAGCCGTGTGCCGTCGGGCGTCCACGCGAGCCCTGAGATGTATCCTGAGTGAGTCTTGAAGTTTACAACACATTCCCTCGTGCTTGTGTTATAAATTGCGATATTGCTGGGTGTTGCGATGGCAAGAAGTTCGCCAGATGGCGAATATCGAACGCGGGAGACATGATCAGCGCAAGTGATTGGATTTCCTAGCAACTCCCAGGTTTGTGTACTGAAGAGTAGCGTCATTTTTTCGGGTGCACCTGCAGTTGCCAGGATCGAGCCATCTGGAGAAAAGTCCAGTGACTTGATCCAATCTTGGGCTTTGATGGGATTGGTGAGAGGTTCCCCAATATCTGCATCCCAGGCGATGACCCCTCCTTTTAGACTACCGCTTGCTATCATTTGCCCATCTTGCGATACCGCCAATGCCGTCATCGGCGAGCCATGTCCCTCCATTTCTTTCAACACAACAGCTTCCACCATATCCCATAGAACTATCTTACCGTACAAACCTGTGACCATGCGCCGTCTGTCGGGGAAAACTGCGACTGTAAATACATTAGTACTTGTGTTGAGAACTCGAACGGGTGTGGGGTTTAGAATGTGCTGCGCCATTTTCTAGAAGTTGGTGATGTTAAGCACGGTCAGGGTGGACTTTGTTAGAATCTTGCTGAGGCGCGTTTGTACTTCATTGTGTTGGGCGCCTAAGACACGAGGCTGCGCCTTGCTTCAGTTGGTTTGTCAAAATGTAAGTTAGTAACGCGTAACGGCCGGTCCTGCAGCTTTGTCAACTCTCCATGCGCTGCCGCTCCCTTGACTTTCCATTAGATCGACATTCAAAGACCACCCGTGACAGTCGTGACTTGTCTTGAGCCTTCTCTTCCCTAGAATGTTCATGACAGAAGATAGGGAATCTCATCTGGGATTTGCGTTACAGGTATGTAAAACTCTGCTATTATGAATCACTGAATAAGCATTCATCCGAAGAGTCGGTCATGGATTAACTCCATGTACGATGTTTTTGGTTTTATCCTTTCATCAATCAAAGTCTCGCCTGCTCGGGTCGCCCCACCGCCACGTCAGTGTTCGTGTGCGTTTCCATGTTCTCGACACGGCGTTCATGGATAGACTTGCGGTAATCCATTGCTGCTGTCAGTGGCTTTGGAGATATTCCTCGATGTTGCACAACAGCTTCATTCGCTAGCGAGCAGCCCCGATTTGCTTTAAAGTTTATATATGGTTCGGTTTGGAGTGGCAGGCCAATTTGATTGGAACGGATGACGAGTAGAAGGAACACTTGTGCAATAATAAGCAGAGTCTCTCGATTGAAGATATTCTAGAATTTGAACTTTAACGAATCGACGCTGATTTGATGAAGAGCACGCGCGCCAAATGATGGGTGTAAGCATTGAGAATCCAAGAATCTGTTCAAGCCAGCGTATGATATAAGCACAAATGTAATACAGATCGTGACTAAGCATCCATTTTAGAATTAGTCCGTCAGTGCCCACTGCCACGTCTCAATCATTCCGTGTTACTACTTTGATCATGCTGGGTCCCGCTTCCATATGATAATGCATTAGTGTGAAACGCCACGTCTATGATTCAGCATCCCAATTTGAAGGCCTTCGTACACTTGGTTGAGTTGTCATTTTGATGTGTTTCAAATCAAACATATACTAACTTTTCACCACATCATCTATCAATTCTTTCTGTCAATTGGCTGCCTCAAATAGGGTGATTTAAACGAAGTAGAAGTGCTTGGCCCTGCAAATTCTTGTACGACGCCGACGAGTCGTAACGTTGCAGTGCGCAATCGAATCTTGTGGGTGCTTGTAAGTACTAGTAGCGAGCAGTTACTACTCATAGCTACTCATGGTTTGAAACACGGAGATCCTCAAGTATTTTTGTACCTGGACAGTTACCGGTATCTGTATTGCGCGAATAGTCCTTGGTACTCGTGTCGTCATACAGTGGCTCACTTGAACAGGTTCACCCTATCATCATTTCACTTGTCTGTCTTGATGTGAGCAAAGCACATTCCGCGGACGTGTCATGTTCAACGGCATGCCAAGTTAGTGAGTTCTAATACTATCTAGCTTGTCACAGCGATATATAAAAGCGACATTCCCTGAATCGATACTATACTCAGCACCCCACGTTCCAATAATCACTTCACATTTAGGAATCATGAAAGGATTGTTGTCTCTTGCTCTCGTCACCATCGCTCTCTTGCTCTCGTCACCATCGCTCTCTTGCCGCAGATGACAGCGGCAACACCCATCCCTCAAAATTGTATACCTTCGATATACACTCCCCGGTGTTTGGCTGGACTTTTAGACAAGAAGCCCGAGTAAAGTATGTCCCAACTTTTCTGTATTATGAGCATTGAAAGAACGCGTCGTTAATTTAGGGGCCTTATAAGGTAAATATCTAGTGCTGCTCTTGTTTTTGAGTGCTATGGTACTCACTTGCCCCGTTAAATACGTAGTTCTTCATGATGCCGAAGGTATGTCTTCAGTACAGTATTGAGTTACGGAAATCATTCTGACCTACAGTGGTTAGAAGCGTAAACATGTCACTGTGTCCAGTCGTCTGGGTCGTCTAAAGTCTGGGACTTGCAGGATGAAGGTTGACATGGTCCAATTGCTACCAAAGTTTGAAGATGTTTTTTTATTCGTGTATGGTAATGTATTGCGCTGGTCTGAATAGTCTTGAAATCACGAAGAAGTTTGTATCATCTTATTTGACCGATTCTTCACACCAGACTCTTTCGCGGCAGCTCAAGTTGTACTGGACTCCGAAGTGCCAGCTTTGAAACTGCCGCAGCGCTGAATGTAACGCCCCATGCGTGACTTCGGACGCTAATTGACCCACCTGTGTCCACCATGTGTAATCCGCAAAACTTTAGTATCCCACTGGAGTGAGCTGTGAAGCATGGTGGTTTGGGTGAGAGATTCTTCGATGTTTAAATCACAGGCAATGATGGACCTGTGTCCATCGCCACGTGCTATCAATTGTCCATGCATGTCTCGCAATATTATCAATGCATTCACGTCGCTCCACTGATGCTCCTCCAATATTTTCAACAGTACGCTTTCCCTTATTCCGATATTCCATGAGCAGCTAAAATAAAGCATATGCAGCCAATCTGGGAGTCAGATGTATGGGTGGCGAAGGACATATCACTGTTCGAAGCTCACCACGTCGATGCCGCGATAGCAGTGCCGGTCCGGGATGTTCCACAAAGTCCACTGAGCCGATCAGCCTTTGAATTTGAATGCACTGACGCAGACGTGATACAGCATGATTGAGATCAAGTTGGTGCAACATAAAGTGGAATGATGTGTCAGTGTGGCACTGACGCGGCATTGAAATTAATATCCACTAGCCAAGCGGGACGGTCGGCCGGACGTCGGACCACCACTGGCATTAGAACCCCACAGAAATTTACAAAGTACTACAAGATGGTTCAAACGTTGATCCTGTATGAGTCCATACATGACAACAACTACTTCATCAGGAATAATGTTTCGAGCGACGTTGCATGATATAGAAAGGTAAGTTATTTTGTGGTGTTGGCGCTCCATTTTCACCTGGCCCTACAAGTAGTATGCATCCAAGTCATCACCTTCCTCATCCGATAGTCAACGAGCCTCGTCACGCTTATTGCAGTGGTTCACGCGGCAGATACGAGGATTTCCTGATTCACCTGGGCCACGCCCTTGAATTTCAATCAAGTTGTCACCCAAAGACGTCGCGGCAGAATTCTACTTGCCAGCGGTGACATATTGAACCTTCTAGCTAAAGGTTGCGGCCTCGAGGCTTCCTTAGTATGCAGGCAATTGACTGCTGACACGAACGATTGAACATTTTAGTGCCAGTAACAGATCAATCTGGATAACATTGATGTGGATGTTGCGCGGATGTGTCATAGACTTGAGTCAGTGAGTTCTACTATCTAGCTTGTCACAGAGATATATAAAAGGCATTCCTTGAATCGATACTATATTCAGCACTCCACGTTCCAATAATCACTTTACATTTAGGAATCATGAAAGGATTGTTGTCTCTTGCTCTCGTCACCATCTCTCTCTTGCTGCAGATGACAGCGGCAGAACCCATCCCTCTGTCTTGTTACGGTGTTTGGGTATTCTTTTAGACAAGAAGCCCGAGTAAAGTATGTGCCAACTTTTCTGTATTATGAGCATTGAAAGAACGCGTCGTTAATTTAGGACCCTTCTAAGGTAAATATCTAGTGCAACTCTTGTTTTTGAGTGCTCTACTTACTTGCTCCGTTAAATACGTAGTTCTTTATGATGCCGAAGGTATGTCTCCAGTACAGCATTGAGTTACGGAAATCATTCTGACCTACAGTGGTTAGAAGAGTAAACATGTCACTGAGTCCAGTTCTGGGTCGTCTAAAGTCTGGGACTTGCAGGATGAAGGTTGACATGGTCCAATAGCTACCAAAGTTTGAAGATGTTTTTTTATTCGTTGGCTGGGGTGAGAGATTTCCCGATGTTTGAATCACAGGCGATCAGTGTCGCGTGTTCATCAGTTGTTATCAATAGTCGCGGGAAGATTGTGGGCTTCGCTGCTGTCTTACGCTGCTCCACAACGTCAGGCGCCTTGCTGCTACCTGTTGATTTCAAACTTCGATTGCAAAAGTCGACAACCAAATACGTGTTCCACCTAGTGAGACGTGGAGGTTATAACGTTCTTAGCAGAGATCACCCGTGGATTCGCTTCAGAGATGTTGGTTTTTCTAGCGAGGTCCCTCACCCAATGACCCCACCCTGCTCTTGAGATGCAGAGCTTCTTGAGGTTAGCAAACGAATTTTCAGAGGAGTAGAACAGATTTTGCGAGGCATCTGGACAGCATGAGACCAAGTCAAATGAAGTTTTCGAGTGAAGTAATATCCTGTGTGATAATTCGGCTCGGGTAAATTACAACTCTTGCGAAAGAAGGACATACAAACCACCGATCCCTTCTCATACCCACCCAACATCACTCATCAAATGCACCCATAGCCCGCACACCCTCCACTAATCGTCTATACTCTCTCAACAACTCCCCCACCTCTGATACCCTCAAATCATCCTCCGCGCACTCCATAAACCGCTTGCTAGGCGCAGGAAGCCGTATAGAAATGGGAGAAGGTGCACGCGATGATGCTGGTGAGTCGAGGCGGTTGTGGTGCGAGGGGAGCAACAGTGAGGAGCGTGTGATTGGGGGTGATACCGTCTGCGACAGGATGAAGATCAATAATTATAGATAGAGCACGTCAGCGATGACTTAAATGCATGAATAAGCAAAGACAGACCTTGTGTACATCCGTTCCTGACAGCCTTGAAAGCCCTGGTACCTGCGCCAACCGGTCCGTCAAGCTCTTCCTACTGAGCGAAGCAAGCTTCCTCTTCTTTTTTCGTGCTTTCACGCTATTCCCGCTCATCATGCTCTCGAAGCTTCGAATGCTTTTTGCATCATGGGCATGTTCTTCTTCCTCACTTTCATCTTCATCTTCATCTTCCTCACCGTCTTCCTCGTCCTCGTCGTCACTCGCTTCACTCTCGTCCTCCGCCCCTTCCACCCCCACATCTTCATTCACATAAATCGAGTGTATGGAACCCGGGCGCGACGATACCGCCACGAGCTCCCTCTGCCCATCCTCCCCCTCCCCCTTCCCATCTGCCTTCCTCCCTGGCACCAAACTTGCAATCGAGAACCCACTCTCTCGCCTCAACAGCCCCATGTTCCACCGCGCGTCACTGGTCTCTGTGGTGGGAGCAGACGTGAATGTGGAGGTCAGGGCAGATGCTGGAGTCGGAGCAGATGCTGAGGTGGGGGCAGATGGTAAGAATGAGCGGAGTACGCCGAATGAGCTGTCAACGACGCCGGAGATGACTTTATTAGCAGACCCTGCGATGGCGTCGACGCCTTGTTCTACGCGTCCGCGGAGGCCACCAGGCGCGTCTACAGGCGCATCTGGTGGAAGTGTAGTACGCACGATTGGAATTGGGGTGAGGTGCGCGGTGCTGTGGAAAGAAATATTAGCGCATCGAATGGAAATGGATGTTAGAGCACGGGTAAAAAGAAACAGTGGTTTAAAGTAGGCAATCAATGATCGAGAAGCTGAAACACCCACCTAACAATACCAATACCTCCAACACCCACAGCACCAAGATCCACATTCTCCAGAAATTCCACAACAGCCATCAAATTGATCAAACAGTACCGCTCCTCTCCACCAGCGAAAGCAGCATTACGATAACGCTGCGTGAATAGAAGGTGCGAGACCAGGCGTGCGGGGTTTGATTTGACGACAGCAAATATGAGGAGTGGGAGCAGGACATCGCCTGATACTGTCGTCGGCTCTTGGACATGGGAGACGGTCAGTCGGGGCGAGGAAGCGCGAGGTGGGACGGGGATGGATGAGAGTACTGTAGTCGAATATGAAGCCTGTGGGGATGAGACACTAGGCGAGAGAAACAACTTGTCGGGTGAGCCATGAGCTGCATCCCCATCGAATTGTGGATCAGGTGAGAATAGCGCATCGGGAGAAGCAACGAGCGCATCAGGAGAAGCAACAAGCGCATCGGGAGAAGTAACGAGCGCGACGTCCACAGCTTCGATCGGTCCTGGGGGTGGACTCGCTTTTCGCTGCAGCGGCTCGTGTTCCTCATGCTGTTTTTCGCCATTGCTGAGTTTAATCGGAGGAAGGCGGGAAAGACCATCTTTCCGTAATTGAAATCACATATCACGCATGCATATGCGCATCTCACTCACCTACTATGAGCTTGTGCACTGCAACCAGCACAGCTGCCTTGTCACCGGGAGATCTACAGGAAACGTCTAGCTGAGATAACGCTGTGAAAATATCAAAAAAGATGAATCATCAGTACGTGTGGATGGATTAAGAAACTTACTCTCTCCACACGCTCGGACTACGACATCGATCTCGGACCCAGCGCTGCCAACATCGACATCAAGATGCTCGAGCCCCAGATCAAGAACGTTGAGAGCTGCGATGTGGCTTGATAGTGCTTCGTCATGCGAGGCATCATCAGAGTGAGATGGAAGGAATAGTCTAGTAGGAATCAGCACTGGAACAGGGAAACTGACTCTTCCATACTATTCACGTACCGATCATAAAACAAGGTAGATAGAGCCCCCTCCACCACCTCAACGAGCTCCTTAACCCTGGACTCTTTTTCTTCTTCCGGTGCCTCGCCTTTCTCTTTCTCAATTTCAGCTCGTACTTCTCCCTCCAACTCCAGATAGAACTCTTGAAATTTCTCAGCCAATTCTTCGGAGCGATCTTTCCCTGCATCGAGATTGACGGCCCATGTTCCGTGTTTACTTGGGCTTGCGCCAATATCGTGAAGTTTCTTCTTCCCAGCAGGACCTCTCACAAACGGAAGCAATGGGGACGCAAAGGATTGTACGCGCTCGATGATCATTGCCGGGATACCAGCCGTTTCAAGAGTCGATGTGAGCTCGGACTTAAGCGCAGCAAGAACATCTCGCATCACATCATGTCGATATACCGCACGGGAAATACTGAATGCACTGACGAGAATGGGATGATCCTCTGGGGGAGGTATTGATGGCGTCTGTATGGGTGGGAGGGGAGCAGCGATTGTTGGGGGTGTGGTCATGGGCTTGGCGCCAAATAGAGAAGCGAAAGGCATGGCGAGGCGCGAAGGTTGGGTAGCAGGTGTGGGTCGCGGAGGTAAGGGTGGCTTTGGTGGACGAACTTGAATTGGGATGGAGGTGCTGTGTGCTGGGACTGCATATGAGGGGTATCCAGAGTCTGATGGGATTGAAGGGAGTGGGGGAAGAGATGAGAGTGTGATGTCGGGTAACTTTGTGGGCGGGAGTGAGGAGCGAAACGTCAAATTTTCACTGAATAAATATATCAGGTCAAATTGGTACTGAGTAACGAAAAAAGGCAGAAAACAAACCTAGATAAGTGTCCGCGCAAGCCAGAAAGTGTAACTACTTGAGTATTTTCTTTGGATAAAGGATTGCACATGAGCACATGATCTGACATGAAATCAGGCGTGATCTTCTCCTGTCCTGAGGATTTCTCAAGTGGGAGCAGTAGAGACGCCTACGAAACTTTCTGTGAACTGAATGGTCATAATCAATGAAAACGCACCTTGCCCTTGGTAATGGCACCCCAAATTTCAGCCCACTCTTCTGTCTCTCCATCTTGGCTTAGTTTCTCTAACATTACCCACCCAAGGCATGCAGCATCAAGGCCAATGTCCTGTGCTGCGGCCTTGAGGTTCATCAGCTGGAGCTTGCTAGTCGCACCGCCCGTGAGTTGGTGCTGCGGAGAGACTGAAACTGGCGGTTGGGCAGTGGTGCTGGTTGTAGGCAACCTCTGTCTAGGCGTGTATGGCACATACTTTGGTATTGAGGAAGACTGAGCTTCCGGTGTAGGACTCGGGGAAAGGGTAGATGGACTGGAAGAGAGGAGTGGATGTGTGGCTAGATTATCACGAGAGCTGATCCTGGCAATAGATGCACCCTGGACGCGCCCTATCGAGACGGCATGAAAGTGTGCCTCTCGTCGTGTAGTCATTACGGTGTAACACTGGTTGATGCAGTTGAAGCTTGAAGTCTATCCAAATAGCGCGATTAATATTGTGATTTCTCTTACATGCGAACGTTGCTATGATATCCTGCCGAGACTCGACGATCTTCGAACAAAGCTCAAATCTGCCTGTGAACGCTGGTAACTAGAAATCTGTTGACGTGGACAACCCTGTGACAGAAGTTGGAAAGAGTTGGCGGACAACCTTTAAGCACTGCCGTTACCACCCTCGCCGAAGATAGTAATTCAACCCCTATGGAAACCTAACCCGCAGACGATATTTTGCGCACAATTACAAAATAGCATAGTATACAGTGACTATTTCGAATACGTTCAATACCGGTTCTCATAGGCCTGCACGTGCATGCACGATGATGTATGGAAACGAAATTAGTGGTATTTTATGGGAACTACAGCACCCCCTCGCTTGATGTGGGCAGCGTGGGGTTCTTTCAATGGCGGAGACAGCCGGCATCATAGAGGAATGTGTGTGGAGGACGAGGAGTTTTATTCTGTGATAGAAGCAGTGACTTCTTTCTTGGACTTGGGGGAAGGTTTGTTACGTCTCCAGGGTGCCTTACCCTTCGTGGCACCCCCTGGTCGCACACATTTGACTTTCGAGGTATCGAAGGTGCAATGTAGAAAACGAAGCAAGGATGCCAACAGGACCGAGTTGATAGACGTTGGTTCTAGACTTCTAGTGCTTTGAAAGCTCGGCGGATCTGGTGGGATGCAGTTGAAGAACAACTGAGCGCCTGGTTGCAGGCGGCCACGCTGGAGTGTGGCCCTTGTCCATTATAGCCAGAAGTTCCATGATCGCCGACCAGTGATAGAGAGACAACCTTATTCTGTCTTGCCGATTAGTTACTCCCATACTAACCCATTCTGTCTAGTTCGTAAAACACAGCAAGCAGCCTATTAGCATGCCTATAAAAACTGCTTGGAACTGTTGAACAGTCGATTCTGCTGGCGCATCTGAGATCGACAAAGTGGAGAATTCAAACTGTCACATACTAAGGTCTACGTCCGTCAGATCGAAACCCAAATTTGAGAGAACAGCAGCACTTGTCGTAAATTTCTTGTCGTCTCTATAGTACATAGAATCGACCTTGCAGGTGATTCTGTACCTTGAAAGGTTGTCCTTTGAGTCGATAGGTTTCAGAGTCGGTTGATGATTCAAGTTGCTCTGTGTTGTACAATGTAAGTTCAGCAGTGCTACCAGTAATGCAGACCGGACACATACACTGACAAGAGTCTGCAGCATGGCTACCCTGTGTGGCGTGCAGAGCTTGGGTAGGATCGTCTGATTCTGTCATGATAAGGATAAGTTTATGATATAAAGCAAACCGTATGGGACAAAGACGAGTTGAATGTGTATCGGAATGAGGTCACATAAGGCTACGACGCATGCACGAACTTGAAGATGGGCTACTAGAATGACCGGTGTAGGGATCCCGCTGAGCGTATTCTTTGTCCTCGGCTGCAACCTTCCGGTCACCCGAAATATTTGCACTGCGCCCTCGCCATACGAGTTGATCAGGCTATGCATGACAAAGTACTTCATCGAGAATACAAGTAGCATTGCATGATATTCGAATGTCATCCCTGCAGATGAACGACCTAGTACCGTTCGTGTGTTTGATGAAAGTATCAAGTGTTCGAACTCCGTCACGACTGTCACCTCGAGCTCGGCAATAACAATTGAACAACAACAAAGGATAAAGGATTAGAATTTCACCGCTGCCACATACTGGCACATGTCACTTCGAAGTTCACCCTAAATATTGCCATTCTTACAAAGCCAGGCCCATGGTTTCCTGCTAGACACGATGGCTTCAGCAAGTGGTCTGCGACAACCGAAAGAAACGAACAAAGGCAAAAATGGGTTTCGCGACAGACACATCCCTCTCCATTCTACTAACCCAGACGACTTGGCCATTAGCAGGCATCACTTTGCTCAGTACGTCCTTGCATCCAAGGGGTCTTATAATGGTCCTCCGTAAGTTTTTTTTGCTTTGTGCGTGCTGGTTTAGGTTTCTGAGTTTCTGCAGGTTGAAAGAACTCAAAGCCACTCCAAGCGAAGCCCCGAAAGAGACGCTAGCAATTGTCGACGATAAGATAAAGGAGCTGAGGAGGCAGCATCAAGAAGATATCGAGCTACTTACCGCATTCCAGGCTGCAGAATACCGCCAAGAGGTCCTTAGCAGGTATAGCTGCATCGATGATTCAATGATGGGAGCGGATGCGGAGGACCTAGTCCAAGTTGATTATCTCGCTGCCCTCAATGTACGTCTTCCGTTATCTGCAACTTTGGATGAGTCTGACAATGCTCTAAAGGAGCTGTACAACGATGCACGGCCTATGAAGCGCTTCCAGCACGATATGGACGATGCGTTGTCTCAGATCCGCTACAACTACCTCAAATCCCTCTTCCCGCTCCTCATTCAGCGTCGCCATTTGAAATTGCAAGAAAAAACCACTCGGAGACAGCGCGAAGCGCAGTTCCCGCAGAGTATCGAAGAGTATCACAATATCCCGGACCGCGACGTTCAGCTACGAATCGCGAGGTTCCTCACGCGTTCGACTTCTGAGAGGGATAGGATGATGGATGAATATGGATGGGCATGGAGAGCGGTTGAATCGCTGTTCTTAGCATTCAAGGCGAATGTAAGCTATATTTCAAAGTGCAAGAGCGCTGACGTTAATGTCAATCTACAGGAAGGGTTCAAGAACGAGATATTGGAGTCAGTCAAAGATGCGCAAGCTTTGGATCCTCGGCGTCGGCCAACAGCGACCCCTGGATGGCAGCTGTAACTTCCATATCTTTGCATTATCTTCGTATCACAATTGAGATGAGATTGCTTTATGTCCATATGTCTGATCCACTCAATAAAAGTGTTCTTCTCGCTGAGATTGGTGTGTAGCTCGAGACATGGGCGCTACGCGCAAACATGAAGATAGATGGACGAGAGTTTGTTTATCCTGATGCGACAAAGGGTTTTCGCATGTGTGCTCCCCAGTGGTGCAATGGATTTACGATATATCAATTCTCATGGGTCCACCCGGAGATGCCCCGTGTTTGAAATTTCTAATCACAGCGTGGAGCAGGTCAAACATTTTGTTCGGCCAAATGATCCTATCCTGGATTCCTGGATGAGACCAAGATATTGATAGTATGGGAGAGCAGCATTGCCGCCATCGCGATATCAGAGATATGGTGATGAGTATCAAGGGTTCTGCTTGCAGGGTTTCATCCTTTGTATTCGTGTGATGAGGCAGTGGTAGGTATGAACTAAAAAGAGTTTTTCTCTTCATTGTCCACGGATCAATAGATGAGCATAATCCCGCGAGATGCCCATTCACGAAAGGAAGCGGAGCTTCGCAGATTTTGTGTTTTCATATTTTTAATTTTGTGGTCTTGCCTTTGCGGAAGAATTACTTTGGCAAATCAGATGAAGGGTTATGAGATTTTCGACAGTTGGACAATATTAATGGACGCTTGAAGCGGCTTCATCATGATGGACAACGACAAAGATGCTGGGTGCATGTTTGTACATGTTTAAAAGCGAGGCTGCTACCAAATGCAGAACACTATTATCTTATCAGATTTACCATGATCAAAGGATAATAGTAATTCCGTCGTATTGCGGTAAGGCTAGCCCTGTTCGGGCTGGTAGGGGGTGTTGTGTTCTACAACATAGCATGTGTCGCATTTCACTGATCAACACGGCAGATTAGTATTAACCCAATGCGCCACTGGCACTTGTTGGGCATGATTGACCGGGTAGTGAATTCAGCCCTCTTCATTTGGCGTCCACTGATGTGGGTGGTTAAACGCAGACAAAGCCCCACTTCCACCAACAACTCTGTAAAAGCAGTGGCTGACTTGAGAACTTTATAACCATAGACACACGTTTCCAGAATGTTGGGATGTCCTTCAGCCGCCAAGTGACTCGTGTCAGGGTGCAACTCAATTGCCAAATGCGATTGTCGTGTTATTAGAATGTGGAGTTCAGACTAGGAACTGGTTTGACCAAAGCACCATTGGTGAAAATGCTGTGCACTGGTAGATAAGTACACGGGCATTTTGTCCGATCATTTCTCGTCCCAGCCTCAGGCCTGCCTTCTGAACCGTGAAGATCAACGTCGGTGCCGGAGAGTGTACACGTCCCTCCTGAGGTCTGAGGGATAGTGATAATATAATATGTACTCCTGGATGTCCTGGCGACAAACGATGGTTGAGAGCTAGTTTACTGGCCCAAACAAAGCGGTGCTGCTTACGTAACTTTAAGTGCAGCGCCACGAATGGCAGTACTTACTGCTGTGTTGGTTACATGTTGCATTTCGTGAACATCGATATCGATTACAACTTTGATTGCGCGGGTGCGGTCAGTTGACATGTCCGGATCGTTTATTCACAGCTCGCGTACAGATGGCCGGGATCAATCAGTCCTTCATCAGGATAAAAGCGTAACGACTAACATCTTTCACACTCAAAACTTGTTCCTACTGTGCTATATTGACCTTCAAGCTGTAACTCCCCAGTCTCACTCTCCTTGTTCTTTGCTAGCTGGTCTTGTATTCTTCTAAGCTCCTTTGTTTTCTCTATCAATTATCTAAATCCGTTTGTTGACCAACTCGGACATGCATCAATATTATCCAACTTCTCCTACTACTGGGTTGGGAGCTTTTACTACGCCTACGCGGCAGGGCTCATATGCAAGTAACTACAGTGCTGTAAGTGCAGTCTCGTGGTGTCATGTCTCCTATTGTCAATACCAATCCTCCACCCCCAGTACAGCGCATCAATTCCCAGCCCCCAATACAGCGCCTCAATCCCCAATTCCGTACACACGCTCATCGCATCAATGAAAAACCTCCAATCCACGCTCACTCTATGGTCCACCTCACGAGCCTCCCCTGACGCAGTCAGCGACGCCTACATGCAATTTGGAGTCGGATTTAACGCTGTCGTACGGGCGTTTGAAGGATCAGGGGTCGACACGTCGTGCGTCTTTACCATACCCCTCTCTCATCAATGAGGCTATACCTGAGGTAAACAGAGATCTGCATCAAATTCCCACACGACTGCGTGCTGTGCTCGAGACATGTTTAGGCGAAGACCCTTGCCCTGCTGCACTGGAAATGTATCAACCACGAATCCGACAGCAGCTATACGAACTACTGCAGGGCCTAAAAGCAAAGCAGGGTGCGTGGCGCAGCGCTGTGGCTGCGGGACTCTAGATTGACGTACGTGCAGGCTATGCAGGGTGGCAATGATGATGAGAACAAATTATGCAGTCCATTCCCGACGATGATCTGCGATCTTGATGGTATTGTATCTTCTTTATATGAGTATTGATTACGACCTTGATTCGATTGACTATTGTTATTTTGCTGATTGCTAACATAATGTATTGCCTATATATTCAGTACAGAAGCGCAGAGTTTACATAGTCCTTTGCAATAACTTGCAATAAATCACGAGTAGAAACGCACTATTGTACAACTTTCTTGCATTATCTTCATGCATTACTTGGGATATCAGGCGTCTGGAAGTTCTGCTACACACTCGATCTCAACGCTTGCGCCCAACGGAAGAGAAGCTACGCCGATGCAAGTCCTCGCAGGCATCGCCTGTTCATCGAAGAACTATGTGACAAGGTCAAGCGGTTTAGTTCAAGTTGAAATGCCTGTTCATAAATAGAGACGTACCGTCAGATATGCTCTGTTCATTTCAGAAAAATCCGCCGCCAGATTAGTGAGATAGATGTTCGCCTTCACAACGTGGTGGAGTCCAGATCCTGCAGCATGGAGAATCTTGCGAATACTTTCAAGGGCAGCAACCTGTAACATCGTGTGACCGATTGGTTCATGAGAGATAGGAAGTACAAACTCACTGTTTGCCCCTGCACTCCGCCCTCAACGATCTGGAAATCGTTTGTACATCCAATGTTGCCTGAGACATACACGAACCCTTTAGATATGATGGCCTGGGCTGAACGAATGTATCGTCACAATCTATTCACATCCAATAACACAAGTACTCACAGAAAGTTTTGAGGGGAGGGACGGCATCTAGAGTGTACACAACCTCTTTGGGCATGGTAGGATAGTAGGTTGAGGTGGGGGGCTAAAGATGATTCCTATAATAGAGGAGATAAATAGCTTCTAGCTTTTGTTAGTACAGCGGACCGAATAAGCTACTATCAGTGGCCTAATCCGCTGACAGCTGCATATATCAGACGAATGGAAGATCGGAGCTGTCAGGCTCCTTCGCGCTCGCGAAGTTCCTTCCATGAGATAGGCCTGAGGCTGTGCAACGGTAAACTTTCCGGCACGGTTGAGTTCATCCCACGTTACGTTTGTGCATGCTTGATATATATATATCGTACATGGGCGGTGCAATGAACATGCCTGAAGGCGAGACTTTGAAGGGACTATAGTATCAAGGTGAGTCGACAATGTAATCACACGCCCGCATGTATTTGGCACAAAGAACGCACTGAACCCGCAAGTCAAATGATGATCTCATACATCAACAGCGCTTGGTACGAACAAGTATGAGCCCTCTATGAGCTGGCTGGCGCCAGGAAATGGGAAATACAGGCACACCCGGAGCAGGCTAGTCCCTACTAGGCGGGCTAGACGTCGTTTTGAGGGGTATGCTATCTATAGCCCGAGACACTTACTACTAGGAAGGTTGCTGGCGCTGGTCAACGTGATTGTTCGCTAGTCGTTGGTAGCCGGAACCTAGACCAATAGACGGGAGACAATTGTTCTGTTTTATCGTAAATCGAAGCAGTCGGCTTTTCATGGATGCCGTGAAACAGGCTTATGATAGCGTCCTTGTCGCGTGCGATGGAGTAGGAGACTCGGAATAACTGTGTTCGACATGGTCCATCCCAGTGGCGTAGCGTGAAGGTGAAAATGTTATAGAAAAGGCCGGCATTTGACAATCACCGTCGAGCACCAGGACAGTCCTGATCGGTCATTACTGGAGCATGCAGCTGCGGATGCAGAACCTTGAGAGGTAGAAGTGTGACTGAGAGGTTTAGGATATATATTGGACCGCACAGTGCATTGAACACCATAATGGCTATAACCATGCGGAAAGGAAGTGACTTGGTGGAAGAAGCGGGATTGTATCGCCAAAATGATCAAACGCTGATCACGATGCACCAGGGAAGGTGGATGCTTCTCATCAATAGAATCACATTGCTGGAGGTACCTACAGTCACATCGGGCTGCTCCTACATCCCAATCCTGCAAAATTTGAATCGGGGAAATCTAGCTCTGGCCAAAAGCGTATGTGCGGAACGCTGAGGCCGGAGAACGCTGAAATAAATTGCCCTCCTTAGAGACAACCCCACGAGGCTCATTGAACTGTTCAAAAACACGATGAACGTATGGGGCAAGAAGTTCGATAACGTGGCATCGCCTATAAAGTTTAGTTCCACTAGAACAGGCATTGCTGGACAAGCCCTTCACGATCCCAATCTGTACAATCGGACAGTTCAGATACGAGAAGCGAAACTTTCGACTGCATCCAGATTCCAGTGCAATTCAAATCTTTGATTGACCAGACGCTACCACGGTATGGCAGTGCAACATTGTGAGCTAAATGCACTGTCTCAGCTTCGTGAAACAGAATGATCAAGGGGAATCAACGTACTGTACTACGTGGCTGTCATGGCAGGGTCATCGGAGCTAAGTCGGAATGATGTGATTGTTTGTCAGTGCTTGTATAGTTGAGTCAGCGAGGTACTCCAGGGACGAAGTCCGCAATTTCATTATCATCAACTTTCAAAGAGTTCGGCCCAGTCCAGGACGAGTGATGTGTGACCTGTTAGCATTCCGAAATAGATCGGCTCTCTATGTTTCAGAAACCATGTTAGCATTCAACTGACGTTATTTAGTAAAGGTTGGACCCCGCAAACTGTGCCGGAGAAAGGTACGAATCTTTTTTTATGTATTGTCGTCTTCATTGTCCTAATTACATGTCTTCGTTCTACTCGTCGAGCTCGCGGTCTCTGCGAACAGCATTCTCTGCCTTTTTTTCCCAACCCTAGCGCTCATGAATGGCGCCACCTTTCTGCGTCCTCCCTATAACCCTTCACGCCAATTCTGCGGCCGCGTCGCCATGAAATATGCTATCGCCGCCGGTCAAAAATTTTCGGAACAGCGCAGGCAGTACGTCCGCGTCAAGATCTAGCGTCGGATCCCCTTTGCGTTCGTCATCGACATCTTTTCCCTTGTTGTCTTTCTCCACCAGTTGACTCTTACCGCTACCTCGCGGCGGCAGGCCCCTTCATATTTTTCTTCAATGATTTCCACTGCATCGTGCATACTACCCTACTGTCTATGTACATGTTCCTGTCGAATATTGGTAGTCATAATTTGTATATTGCATCTTCATCTCAGTGCTCCCTCAGTCAAGCAGACACGTTGGTTCATAATTAAAGTTTCATAATATGTAAATAACAAAATACTGTGAAGGAGACTACACTACACACCCAAGTTTTGTGGGAGACGGTGTGACACGAAGATGAGGAAGCCTTGGTGGACTTGGAAGCAGAATTCGGAGCAGCGGGGATTTTTGTTGGTGGTGTCAGAGCTGGCAGCACTGTGGGAGTTGAAGTTGGGGATGTCAATATCAAGTACTGGTCGGATGGGAATCGGTGATGGGTGTTTGAGGGAGTGACGCGAACGTGGCAAGACAGCGCAGGGTAGGTCTGCGCGAGGGCGGTGAGCTTCGACTTAAGAGTGATGAGGAAATATGCTTACCGAGCAGTGGTTGAGGTCTTCACCACTGATGTAATTGATGCGTTCAGGGACTCGTGTTTCCCACCCTGTTGGGAGCCGATCTACTTCGGAATGCTAACAGGGCACTACACACTCGTCCAGGACGTCATGCATCCCCCAGGATCGGTGACGAGCGCCGCAAAAAAATTATTTGACAGGACCCGAGCATTGCCAGCCAGATCAGCTGGACACGAGTCGAAGTTTAAATTGGTAGAGGCAAGAGGAAGTTAAATAGTCGAGCAAGACATGCATGATAACAGTGAGTGGATGCTCCCGCTTGCAGCACATGGCGAATACGCTCCATCACTTGGACGTCTAATGATACAGGCTAACAAAATAAAATAAATTGCCTAGCATACCCACCTCTGCGGCTTTGAGCAAGACACTCGCAGATCTTAGAATTCAACAAGTCGGACTCGACTTTACGGCGGAAGTAGTGAGGTAGTCCATCATCCCAATCACTACACCCTTTCGAACGTTGGAATTCATCAAAGAATTTGCCATCGTAGTTGCGGTGATCCCCGCCGATAGGTGACACATGTTGACTGTGGCCCCTGGGAGGACACTTCGTCTGCGGAAATTGAAGGATTGTTTGTACATTCACCCTCATCCATCTCAATGTGTCACGACAGTTCATATTCATCCAGGAATTTTCGCAATGCCGCAAAGCGTTCAATGCCACATCCAGCACTTCAGATGGGCATGCCGATCCTAATGGACATCGAGGCTTTCCCAGGAAGGGCATCACTGCGTATGAATGAGACCCTGCGTAGGAATGGAACACACATCGACGCAGCATAGTGCGACTCGTATTCACTTTGTTGCTGTTAGTCATGCTTCCCCCTGTATCATGATCATCATCTCGTCGCTTAACATCAAAAAGCTTGTATAACTCCGCATATATACAGAACGCGCTGCGCCCATCCCACCAACATTGTGGGATGTAGGTAAATGGGTTGAGCTTCGATCAAGGCCAAAACCCAAAGCGCGACACGAACCAGACTGTCGTTGAGCAGGGATCATCGATCTTCAACTGTTCCCGCGTTCCCTGCCAGTGGTGCTGATTCTTCGATGCTAATTTACGTGGGTCAATTTGACGTCTGTTTACGTGCCTTTGCACACGGGATTTAACCCGCTACGCGCCTCTGTTTCTATTAAAATCACAGTGCAAATAATTTTTGGCGTGCAGTGTTCATATCAACTCTCTGACATACGATGGACAGGTTGGTGGTGATGAGAGTGTTCATCCAGTTTCTAAATCATTGCTGACACATGCCATGTTCGATGAAGTGGACAGTGGACACTAAAGCTGATGGCGTTGTCATCATAAACTAGATCATTGTCGATGGGGTCAATGACATCGACTGATTCGCTCACTAGTAGGATGTGACTCAGGTCGATCTGTACATACTATAAGATGGTCGATGAGATGTATAACTCAACTCAAGGCCCATCTGAACGAATAAGCTTCAGCAACAACACCAGCCTGGTGGCTGTAGAGTCGTCGCCACATCATTTGATATAACTTTGGGTGAAGACGCCATTGACGCTCAGAAATAATCTTGGGCTCGCTGAATTGATCACAGGAATGCGGCGAACGTTAGTGAACATCACAAGGTCATGTTCTCCCGTACGATTGTGCTGCAGATTAGTTTATGACTTAATCTCGTGATTTCGGAGGCTGCCTCGTCACCATGTGAGCGGAAAAATTGCTCCAAGCAATTTTGCAGTAACACCGTAGGCTTGATTTTACAGCGAGATTATTGGCCACATGCACACAGCAGCTAATCACCATCAAAGCCAGACTCATGGAAGATCAAGGGTCAAATTTACGATAGGTTCTGGGTGCGTAAAAAAACACCTACTTACAGCTCGCCTAGTACAACTTCTGACTTGTCTCGACTCTCAACGTCATCTTTGTGGTTACCCTGCGTCTCTCTCTTCCAAAGAATTCGAGATGTCATATCAACGGTGAAGCAAATGTAGTAATGGCTTTTGGGTTGTTGCCAATTGGGGTTCGTGCGGTGCTACGGCTGGGCAGAACTATTCCGAGTCTGAGGTAAATCTGCTGGCAGAACTAGCAGAGCCTGACATGTGCGGGAGTTCTGCGACATTCAAGTTCTGCCGGAAAGGTTCTGCCATCTGCCTGGCAATGTGCTGGGATTAATCGTAGATATGTATCCATTTGAAGGTACGTCCACGCAACAGTAATTCCACAGAACAATATAAAAACCAGCCGTCTTCCTACTATTGCCTTCAGAATTACCTGAACCCACACACGAGTCGCAAACAATGCATTTCTCCTTTTTTTTTTTTTTTTAATCCTATTTTTGTCTTCTTGGGGCAGCGCCCGATGTAGACAGTACATGCATGCATTTCTCCTTTACAACTGTCCTCGCCGTCATTGCTGCTTTAGTAGCATCAAGCTCTGCCATCCCCTCTACCAGTGATGCAGAAAAAATGTGGCGGGTGGTGCAACAGCAGCTCACAATGCCAAAGTAGCGGCTGTGCTTTGAAAATATGTGTGAGTATGAGCATTTCCTAGACCTGATAACATGTCTCACCTGCATGACAGAGCGATCTGAATTTCTGCACAGTGAGCCATATTTTTGCTTTCGCATCGGTGGAGTATGGCCGTTGACACTGACGCGCGATTTACTAGTGATTTGTAGAGTTGATCAACGCAATGTGCATTCAGTCCACTTGCGGCTCGAATAAAGTCACTCAGAATAAACTGCGCTGCTATTGGGTGACTATCCGTAGGCTGGAATAATGCGGAATAAAATAAGATAGAATAAAAGAGACCATTTAAGGAAGTCGTGCCGCGATGCCGCTGTTCATTTGCATCGAATTTGCAAAACATTATTTTTTGACCCCCTTACAAACTCTAAATCTAGAAGGGGGGGGGGCCCCCCCCCTTACAGATTATTCCGGATTATAAACGACGGATTAAATCCGTTTTGGGCCACTACGCCTAAGCTATCTGCTGACTAATCCATGACTTGAGGTCCGCCTGACACATGTTCAGCATGGCGATGGTCGCCACCTGGTCCAAACATTTTCCAATATACGCAGTCCCATCCCTGAGCTCCCTGGCGATGTTTTTAGCTGAAATTTTAAGATTGCTATCAGCAGACGACGCCGACACGTACCACTGCGACCGGCCAGGGTACGAGCTAGCTCTATTCCAGCAACGAGTGTAGCTGCTAACATCCTCGCGTCTTCTTCGTCGTCAAGAAATGCTGTCTCTTCTCCGTCATTCCCCAGATTGTGGTACTGTAGTAGTAGATCGTCCATTGCAGTTTTGACCGAATTATTTTAATCCAGGTGCGTTACGGTTGTGTTTTCTATACAGATTATCTTTTGCAAATATCTTTCAAAGTCCGTTATAATCTATTCCGCATTATTTTGCCTACGGATAGTCACCCATTAGTATTTGTCCCATTTGAAGCAATCATATTTTTCTGTGTTCTACAGATCAGGTATATGTGCATGTCCTGCACCCACTATGAGAAAGGCAGGGCCGCATGTAAATATGCCTTCGCAGTCCAATACTGGTCCCTTCAGGCCCTTGGCTAGTACCGTAAGTTCACGACCAGCCCCTGTCGCTAAGAAAAGGAAGCCAGACAGCGCACCCAATCCAACTGCCGTCAAATGAGTGCGCCCACTGGTAGTGGTAGTGGGGTTCGTGCTACGACTGTATGGTTCATAATTGCCAGTTTCAATAGCAAACACTTGATTATTTGAGGACATCTCGGACTTCGACTTTTCGCCCCATTCGTGCCATATAATTAAATACATCAACACTAGCCTGGTGTGGCTGTAGAGTCGTTGCCACATCATTTGATATAACTTTGGGTGAAGACGCCATTGACGCTCAGAAATAATCTTGGGCCCGCTGAATTAATTACAGGAATGCGGCGAACGTTAGTGGACATTACAAAGTCATGTTCTCGCGTACGATTGTGCTGCAGATTAGTTTATAACTTAATCCCGTAATTTCCGAGTCGGAGGCTGCCTCAACGACGTATGAACATATCCTGCTTGCCATACAAACAACCAGCCAGCCGTCTGCTTACAGATGCCCCTGCATAGGGTCCTCGAGCAACAACTCGAACGCGGATTGATCGGCCAGTTTGCGGCACCCGAATGGAGAATAAAGCGAGTGGATCCCCAAGAAGCATTTCTTTACAAGGTCCCAGGACACTTCATGCGATCCGGATGGACGTACGTCTCTGATCCTCCCTGACAAAAAGTCGGCCTTTTTCTCTGCGCATGTACGAGCATCCACTTTCAGCCATTTTTCTAGTGGTCTGTTCTTGCTGAGGAGTTTGCCCCCTTCATACCGAAGACAGATCCAGGTGAGGACCCAGATGAACGATTCGGCATCATGCGCGTACACGTGCTCGACCTTGCCTGCCATGGACTCTGGTATGAGACGGTCTAACGCCATGAATAGTACTGTCCCTGTGCGCTCGAGGCTGTTGGGACTGTCTCGTTGAAACAACGATAAGTCGTAGTCATTGAGGATGCCTGTGAATTGACCGTGTGTGCGGTATCCTGTGAGATTGCTGGGGCTGACATCCCGGTGACGCACACCTATCTTCCAGAGGGCGCGATGGCCTGTCCGAGTAGTGAATTGATGATAAAGAGCAGGAGAAGGAAAAGAAACCTACACTTCACAATTTGCCACCATGCGGTAAGGAACTCCTTGCCGGAGAGCATTGTGATCGGGATAAGCTTTCTGGACGCGATGATTGTCAAAATATGGCTGCCTGGTTTGACCTGGTCGATATCCTTCAGTCCTGGTGCAATGCTGATTTTGTACGTGGATGTTTTTTTACACTTGTAGAACAAGGCCAGCCCTGGGGTATGGCGCAACGCATCGGAATTTATTTGCGTAATCTTGCAGACCTCGTCGAAGATAATTGGCTCGCTCTGATGTGTGTCTTCTGGCCAATAGAGCTTGGCAACTAGCTCAGGGGGTTCAAAATGGCGATCCAGCTGCAGACCCGATAGTGCCTTGCTCTTAACTGAAAATACAATGATTGTACGTCCGCGCATACAGATACAAGTCATGCACTTGTCAAACTTCAAGTCCAATTCGAGGTCGATTTGAGTGTCCTTGGCCATCGCATCGCCCGAAAATCCGGGCTCAGGCTCGAATACACGGTTAAGGCCTGTGCACCTTGCCTGCACCTTCTGCAGTATGGCGTGTGCCTTACATTTCCCGAACTTATGGACATCTTGCGCGATCCATGGCCGTATGTCATCGACTCTGCGCAAATGACGAAGTTTAATACGGGTGATGCTGGCAAAACAATTTGAAAGGAAGGGCTGACGCACTGAACGCCTATAGTACAGTTATGTTCACTGACAACAATGAAACCGATTGCTTTGGAGGTGTACTTGAGCTCAGCCTCACCGGAGAAAGCAGAGTTACAGGGAGGTGTCTTTTGTGGGGTGGCGCTAGCGTTATTGGCCATGACGAGGCCTAAGGAAGTAGAAGAAAAAAGTGAATTTTGGTAACAAAAATATGCAGGCTTGAGCTCGCTTTTACCCTAGCACAACCCTGTTATCAGGCATTCAAGTCGAGGTTGTAAACAATTGGTGAGCAGTTGAACGTTGAACGAAATTGATGGCATGCATGCCCAATTGAGCGAGCCTGGCGGTTATAACTTTTGGCCCATCAAAATTATGAAATCACATACATAAACAATCATCTCAACACGACAACTTGACTCGAGCCGTTTACATAAAGCTGAGTTGGAGCCCACTCTCATGACTGCGTTTACTACAAATAACAGAACGTCTAACACTCTAGCCCGAACGATGCATCCTTGCTGTTTTATTTTGCATGTATCAATGATCGATCTGATCAATGATCATCGATCATCCTCCTCCCCAGCGTATTGAATGGACAGGCCTGATTTGTTATAGGTGTTTTTGAGCGCTCCGCACGTGCCGCAGGGACTGATGCTAGTCTGTAACTTCAAAGGAGTAGCTTGTGGGGCGCTGAAGAACAACGTGTCGACTGATAGCACAGCTGCTAAGAAAGTTTCACCTAGTGGCCCTCCACCTCCGAAGTTTGAAATTCCATATAGCGAGCCTTTCGGACGATGGGTCACCCTGAACACGCGAGGAATTTAATGGCCCTTCTAGATGTCTTTGTCTGGGCGCCTCCAAACAACTGAGCTGCGTAATTTTTCCCTGTAGAATGGAAGTGGGAGACGCGGAGGGACACTCGCCTCACCCTCGAAATATGTATTGTCACGGTTGTTGTGGCCTTTGACGTCTACTGGGTACGAGTTCCTTCCTAATTGAACATTTGCTATGGTGTTCCCCACGTCGCACAAGAAATTTTTGCCAAAGTTTACTGACCTGCTAAATTTGCGGTCTTCATTTTTGATTTATTGTCAACCATTTCTGATCATTCCCTGAACACACGGATAATTGAGGAATCTAACGGTCTTATCAGAAGTCGTCTGCTTTCCACAATCGCGATCTTTCTCCTGTGCGATCGAAGTGTGAAAAGAGGATCCGCGATTGCTCCCTCGGTGAGCTTCAAAATCACTCGTCATAGTCCTCAAAGTCGCGGGTCGGAGCCCACGAGATGAATGTCGTGCCCAACGCTAGCGCGCTGAGACCTAATACGGCCTGCTGATCAGCACAAAAGAGGCGCAAATTTAGTTCTAGCCTTGGCAGGTAATGCCCACTCGACAGGTGTTTTGGTTTGTCCCTTCATGGAATCATCGTCTTCTCGACCTGCTTGATTTGCAGAAGATGCGGAGAGCTTGAGAGAATTGACCAACCTTGAGTACTGAGTACTGAGTCTCCATTATGCAAACATTTATCCACAAACATCATGATGTGCTACGTGTCCTCAAATGCGCGTGCTTAGCCTCCTATTGCACCATTCTATTCATTACGAAGTCATAGCAGTAACCAAGACCGTTTCTCACTTGTGATTGTCTGTTCTACAGTGCGATTTCTAAGGGACGCATGCTACCTTGACTAGTACGCCTATGATTGATATGTTCCAGCATAGGTCCCCCAAGTAACAACTCAAAAGCCGCTTGGTCGGCCAGTTTGCGATACTCTTCTGGAGGATAAAGCGAGTAGATCCCCTGAAAGCACTTCCTTACAAGGTTCCATGACACTTCGTGCGATCCGGATGGACGCACATCTCTGATCCCCCCTGTCCAAAAGTCGGCCTTTTCCTTTGCGCATGTACGAGCATCCGATTTCAGCCATTCTTCCAATGGTCTGTTCTTGCTGAGGAGGTGTCCACCTTCATACCGAAGACAGACCCAGGTAAGGACCCAGATCAACGATTCAGCATCATGCGCATACACATGCTCGACCTTGCCTGCCATGGCGTCTGGCGTGAGAAGGTCTTTGGCCATGAATGGTAGCGTTCCTGTGCGCTCGAGGCCCCTGGGACCATCGCGTTTAAATGACGATAAGTCGTAGTCGTTGAGAACGCCTATGAATTGACCGCGTAAGCGGTACACCATGAGATTGCTAGGGCTGACATCCCGATGAAGCACGCCTCCCTTCCAGAGGGCGCGATGACCTGTCGAGTGGTGGATGAATGATGAGGAGCAGAAGAAGGGGAAAAAACTTACACTTCACAACTTGCCACCATGCGGCAAGGAACTCCTCGCCAGAAAGCGTCGTGATTGGGATAAGCTTTCTGAACACAATGATGTACAGGACGCGGCTGCCCTGTTCGGCCCGGTCTGCGTCCTTCAGGCCTAGTGCGACTCGGATTTTGGACGTGGATGTTTCTTCAAACTTGTGGAACCAGACCAGCTCTGGAACGTGGCCTCGCACATCCGGATCTGTTTGTGCAATCTTGTAGACCTCATTCAGAATGTCTGGCTCGCTCTGACGCGTCTCTTCTGGCCAATATAGCTTGGCCACCAGTTCAGGGGATTCGTTCAGAAAACAGGGGTCCCGCTGCAGACCTGATAGTGCCTCGCTCTTTACCGGAAACACGGTAGTTGCACGTCCGCGTATACCGAAATGAGTCACGCGCTCCTTAGACTTCACATCCAACTCTAGGTCGATTTGGGCATCCTCAATCATCACCTTGCCCGAAAATCCGGGCTCAGGCTCAAACACCCGGTTAAGGCCCCATTGTTCGTATCCCATCCGCTGCATGATGAGAAGCAAGACCAACCAGCGTGGAAGGTCCTGAACGAAGTTGATAGCGGCGCCTTGAATCGTGGTTTCACGATCACAAAACCAGATGTAAATATAGTCGTCTGGAAGGAGTTGTCAGTTCGACGCCAGGTTACAGCATCCCATCAACTTACTGTTCACTATGAAGGAGATGACGTGTTGCCGCGCGATATGAGCTGCGAACATCTCTGCAACGTAGAGGCCGTTCTGGACGATAGGATGGGGTTTTATCGGCTCCTTCTCTTCAGTCCGATCTTCATCTCGCTTGCGCTTGACTCCTCTGCTCAATTGCGACGAGGGTCTTACTACCTCGCACATGTCAGTAAGAAAGCAGAAAACGAACATACTACAACTTACACTCATTCGATGTTTCGTGGGGGGTCTGAGCAGACCCAGTAACAAGTGTTAAACCTGTTGGCTTAGAAGGGCCGTTCGCGTCCTTCTTATATTCCATATACTGCGCAGAAGGAGAAGGAACGACGTAATCGGTCTTATAAGCGGACGGCGGATGGGTCAGAAACTTCCGGGTGCGTTTCAACTCCAACGTCGATCGAACATCGGTCCATTGAAAGTTGTCTTTGGGCGATTTGCACGCCGTCTCGGCAAAAACCTGCGATTCTTGCGTTTCGTGTGCTTTCTTACCCTGGGCAGTTTGGTGAGAGACGACGACAAGGTCAGGCTTGCGTTCGGACTGTTTGTCCTGGTGGTCCTGGTATATGGGCTTTGGATCATTGACATGAAGTAGAACGTTGGTCTTGTCGTCGACCTTGAACGCAGGTATTCCATCTACATTCACCTTGCTTAGTTCACGGAGCGCACAGTTGGCAGCTTTGACGAAAGGAGCATATGTCGATGTCTCGCGCTCGATATCACAACTTGACAATAGCGTCAGTCTTCTTTCGCGCTGCTCGAAATGCTGACTTACAAATTAGTCAGGTGTCCCTTTATTTCCTGCGCCACAGCCCCCACATTGCAGATAGGCAGGACGGCATTGAGGGCAGTTTCGAGTAGCTTCGATTTCTCGCTGACAGAAAGGTGTTGAGAGGAACCTGTGCATCTTGCAAGGAGTTCTTGCAGCATCATATCTGCCTCACACTTCTCAAAGTTTTGGACGTCCCTCGCGATCCATGGACGGACATCATTGACTCTGCAAAATTCACTGATATGGGTGATCGTGGCGAGAACAAAAGGAAGAATTGACGCACTCAACGCCAACAGTACTGATATATTCGCTGACAACAGCGGAACCGACTGCGAGTGGGGTGGACTTGAGCCCAGCCTCCGAATCGGCGGACAAGGTAGAGTTACGGGGAGGTGTCTTGTCACGTACGGTGGTGTCAGCATTGTTGGCCATGATGATGAGGGCTAAGGAGGCTCAGATAGAAAAGAAAGTGGGTTGAGAATCAGAATACGCAAACCTGGGCTAGCTTTTAAACTAGCAAAATACCATTGTTAGATATTTCAAGTCAAGGTCCACAATTGATAAGTAGTTGAACGAATTCGTTGATGGAGCCAGACTGACGGTTCAGTAAACGATAAATTGACCGAGTTCGTGACAACGACAATTATGTAATCAAGTCCGCCGGCCGGTTGAGTTACTCCTTCTTACAACTTGAATCCAAATCATGTATCCCTAGATTTCCTACTCGATCCCTCTTGTTTTCTTTGGCATGTATCCAAAACGTACCGGTTGCAATCTCAATAAACAAGGTTTGCTATAGGTATAAAGTTTTACCTTGCACAGAGGCGAAAGGCTCGCCAGGCTAGCACTCCGCAAAGGAGTTGCTTGTGGGCGCGATGAAGAACCATGGGCTGTACAGCTGTCACCTTCACGGCGGCTCTTTACCTCCGGTTTGATTTACAAATTTCAAACCTTCGGACGACAAGTCACTTTCAGTAGTCCCCCTGAACACCCGAGTAATCAAGGAATCTGATGGTCTTTTTCGATGTTCTTATATCTCTCTGCATCCGAACAACTGGAGCGATCTTTTCTATAACAGAAGTGTGAGACGAGGACCCAGGGAGCATCGAAATCACTCATCGTCGAATGATGCTGTGGTTGTTGCCTTTGGCACCTATCGGGTACGATTTCCTTCTTCAATGAACATTTTTCATTACTTCGTCTTGACACTCCGCGCGTCGCAGAAGAAAATTTTGTAGAAGAATTTCACTGATCGGCAGCCTTTGCCACCATTTCTGATTTTACAAATATCACACTTCCATTTCGCAAAACACTTCTGATCATTCCTTGAACACACGAATAACCTAGGAACCTGATTCAAGATGTCTTATCAGAAGTCCCTGTCTGGGTCCCATACCCAGGCTGTGCGTAGTAGGGGTTAGTCACACTCGCGACTCGTCGATCACCACACAAGAGATACTGATCCAGTTATGGCAGGCAAGGCCCAGTGACTCAACTTGACAACAGATGTTCTTGCTTGTCCGTCCATAGGATCCGAATGATCGTCCCCTAGACCTGCCTAATTTTGCAGATGGCAAGGAGAATGGTCAAATCCTGCATGTTTCCTGAACCGTCAGTCGGATTTTTTTATAAGTTGGTGATGCGCTCTACGTGTCTGTGGGTGCCTTCGTTATCCTCCGTAATTGCCCCACTTTACCTGCGTACATTTGGATATCTCGCTTCTGACTCCACAATGTGTCGGTTGAAAAATTTCGTCTCATCGTAGATTCATTCCTCGCATTATGATCGAGCTGCTGGTTCTTTAACTCGCTCTGCCATCACACGACGACTTTTAATAGTTCACAAGTATCTGAATATATTTACAATGTTCGCTGCTCTAACTTCGCACCGAACCGTTGTGCATCGTCAGTACTCTGAGCAGGGTACATACTGAGATATATACTGAGACATAGGGAAGCCTGATTTCTTAGAATGGTCACAGGCCTCGCACAAATCAATCTCATCCAAGCGTGACCCAACCACACAACTCCATCCTCTGACTGATCTCCGTGGGCATCCGCAATACCATCTCCTTGTGCAGTTCATTGGCATTGCAACTTTCCGAACAATCCCTCCCGTCCTGCAAAGATGCAAACCGTCGGCGGTCGCTCAGCACGGAAATAGTACATGTTGACGAGCACAGTCAACCTAGTAGTATCAGACAGTGAAGTCGGTCTCCATTTTGAAAAGAAATTGTAGTCCAATACATACGAAATGCCAATGAAAACCGCTTGGATCCATAATCAATGCATCTACAGTATTTCTATTGTCTTGACGTCCATCAAGTCCCGAACGGAAACCCCATCTTTGACTTGCGCAATAATATCACGATCTGATGCGACCCTCTTGTATTCTCCGCCGCGCTGCCGCACTAGTAAAAATGCGCCAAAAGGCTGCCCAAGAAGAACAAGTAACCGTAATGCTCGCGATTCTGGATCATCCACCTCCTGTTTTACAACAGAACGGCTAAGTGAATCGTCCAACGGAGAAGGCGGCGTCCAATAATCTTCTTCATTCTCCGCAAAGTCTGGTAGCTCAAGAAGAAACCGATCCCAGGGACGGACAAGCATCAAAGTTTGCTGATTGGGCCTTGTCCGCGAGAACTGAACAATCGGCTCTTTGGTGGTGATGAGCAGGTCGTCAAGTCCGTCTGCCTTGACTTCATATCGAGTCTCCTGGGATGTACCGTAGCTCAGATTGACTTCTGTAACGCGGAATGTTATGCAAGGCAGACGCAATCTGCAGTTTGTGAAACGAGCAACGCTTGTGTTGTCAAGCCGGTCGTAAAGTTCCGAAGCCAAATCCACAACCATGGGATTCTTTCGCAGGGAGGAGATAATTGTCTGAATCTGATCTTCGGACAAAGATGGAAAGGTACGTGGAGGAGTGGAATAAGAAGTAATATAGGCCGGAAGACAGCTGTTGAACTCGGAAGGTTGTCCGACCCAGTCAAGGACGGCGATGTCCCCCGACCGGGCCACGATCTCCTGCAAGAGTCGCCCGAGCACGTTCTGCTTCTTCTCGCCATAAATGACAGGTAGGTGGACACCGAAGATACCAAACAATGAGTACGCGACGTCTTCTTGCAATGTGGTGACACGAGATGACGCCCACTGAAGTCTCTGTCAAGCGTCGCTCATCCCAGGACGAAAGGATATCAGGGCCTGTGCATCTATTCCTGTTGCTTCCTCTAACTCCTGCATGATTACGGGGGACTCTTTGTGGTTGGGAGAGCGATCGCCCAGATATAATGACCAATCCTTTTGATAGAAGATAACAACTCTCGAAGCGACGGATTCTTGAAAGGTCCATCCTCGCTTGTTCCAAGCACTCCTCGCCAATGCGCCGGGTTGGGATGAAGGAGGGACATCGCCGAGGTAGACGATGGTAAGCGCTGAATGACGATACCAGACGAACATAGAGTTGACCGATTCTTGAAGCTCAGTGTTGCTCTTCTTGTCGATGCAGCACGTGTCCATCCAAGCCCAGCGATATCCAGCATCACGAGCGACATTGCAGAACGACTGCAGTTTCGCGATCCCAGCAAGTCCCTTTAACTCACGCACATCTTTATCTTGAATGTCGTGCAGTAGCGCCTCCATCTCCTCCCACCTGTGTGATAACAGGACGCAACGGAAGTACGTTGCCACTACATCTTTGATGCGCTCTGCTCGGAGATTCGAATCCTTCATTGGAAATGAGATAAGCTCGTTGTACTCTGGACCCATTTTGAAGGCGTTTATTTGTGCCGCTCTATCGCACAAAAGACCCGTGGAGGTATTCAGTAGACGTAGCGGGGCATATTCGAGTTCAATCCGAATAACTCTTTGAATGGTGTCTTCTGCTTCCGATGGAGAGACATACTGCTGACGCAGATCTACAGAACGAGATCAGCATTTCGAGATCATACAGAGGTTTCCCATGGCTTACCTCGTATCTGAGCTTCGGGAGAATCGTCCAACTTGGACAACATGATTTTGAAGGCCTCAATAGCTTCGTTGTAACGTTGCGCGCCACGCAGCGCTGTATGCATCAACTCGTATCCAACGTGAGATGAAGGATCGAGTTCGATGACCTATGCATCACCGAAGTCAACACGGGCTGTGGAAACATAGATGCCATCGCACCTTTCGCGCATCGAGAAGTGCTTCTGTCCATAGCATTTTTGCCAACCTTGCCTTGCTGCGCTTTACAAAGATGGCAATGGATGCAAAAGTCAAGTCGATCACTGCCGAGTAGAGCGCAATCGCCCTATCATAATCGCTTGCAGCAAAGGCAGTATCTCCATTGGTAAGACAGAGCGCGCTGTATTCTTCCGTGAAAGCTGAGTGAAATGTGGGTGAGGATTGTAGCCTGGGCGATATTATGAACTCCGGACTTACCATTGGACCACTCAAGGTATTCGGCCTTGGTATTTTCATCACTCGAAATCATGATATACTGGTACGATCTCACGGCATCTGGAAGTTTACGTGCCCGAAGGAGTGCATCCCAACGTTTCTGGTGCGCAGTGAGCCACAACGAGTTAAGATCCCAACCGAAGAGCTGAACAAGAGACCTGGTTATGAAAAGCGTATCGAATATGTATTGACGTACCATCACTAAATCCTCGTAAATTTCATGAATGTGCGATTTTGATGATAAAGTACTGCAGTCAACAGCGACAGTGAAATGGTCAGCAGCTTCGTCGTGACGTGCGTCTTCGAAGGCTTTGAGTCCAAGTTGAACATGTAGATATGCCTAATATGCAAGTTGCAAAGATTAGCATTGATGCAGATGACCCAGCGTGGCTGGATGAAACCTACTTGCACTATACGACATGCGCGAGTGTCGGCATTCGGACAACCGGTAGCGAGTTCTTTGAGGAGCAGGTTTGCCTCGTCATGTTGATCTGCATTGAAGAGCGCGATGGCCTGAGATACACGATGCGGGGGGAAGTATGTGAGGTAAATGTAATACACTTACCTTGATCAAGAGCAGAAAATGAACCATATCTGAATCTTGGTCCGTGTACATGGATGCAACATCAAATGCTGCCCTCGCATCCGGGATGTGGTCTTTTCCACAGAGTGCAATACCCTTGGAGATATAGCCTGTCAACGAGGGCTCAATGCTGATGGACTGTGTCACCGTCGAGTGAGCCATTCATATAGGGGGGCAATGATGGATCGCTGAATCTCACCTTGATTGCGTCCTGAAGGGCGCGGTCCCAATCGTGTTTTCGCGCCATAATGAATGAGCGATGGGCGTAGGAAGTATGGTTGTTCGGATCAGTATCGATATCTTGCGTGAGTAGTTCTTCAGCGGTAGATAAGTCACCGTCCATACATGCATTGCGGGCTGTCGTGATAGCTAGGATCTGCACGGAATATGCTCGAATTGCCATGGTATATGAGTCAAGGACAGAAACATGCCTTTGAATTGATATTCTGAGGTAATGCCCACTGTGAGATCATGTTATCACCACCTCCACTGAAGATGTGTTGGCCGTCTATGGAGAAAGTGACGCATGTCGTGTAGGATGAGTGCTTGATGATGTCAATGATTCGTCGATTTGAGAGCCGCCAGAGAATAACGCGCTTGTCATCAATTGCGGATGCGACGACTGTGCCAGCAGGATTGATGGTGATGCCATTGGTTTTGTGATAGTGGCCCATCCAGGAATTGCCGACCTGCGGCTTCCATGTTGTGGTATCCCATTCACATAGATTGTACACGCCACCTGTGAGAAGGCGTGTACCGTCGAGGGTCCATGCAACTGAGTTGTAGCCCTCGAAGGATGCGACACATTCCCTTGTGGCTGAATTGTGAATTTCGATGACGTTGTATATACGGTGGCAATAAGTTCTCCAGACGGCGAATACCGTACGCATTTGACAGAGTGAGCACACTTGATTGGATCCCCTTGTTGTTGCCAGGTTTTGGTACTCCACAGTTTCATCACGTGTGCACCAGTGACTAGCACTGTTCCATCGGGAGAAAAATCCAACGAGCTGATATAATATTTGGAGTGGGCTTCGATTTTGGTGAGTGATTCGCCAGTTTCTCCGTGCCAGACGATGAGTACTCCGCTGTCATCACCGCTTGCTATCAATTGCCCATCTCGCGATAACGCCAATGCCCCCACCATCTCGGGATGCCCCTCCATCTTCATCAACACAACACCTGTTGTCAAGTCCCACAGACGAAGTGTCTTGTCGTACGAGCCCGTAACCATCCGTCGTTTATCGGGGAAAACTACAACTGCAGCTACACGTTTTTCATGGCCTTTGAACTCTCGCAGGGGCATTGTGATTGGAACAAGGTGCGACATTTTACTCGAGGTTGATTGAGCACGGTCGAGGTGAACTTTGGAGGGGGTTTTTGTCCTTCTCTACGTTGCAGAGGTGTGTGTATCGTGCGTTTTATGGTGCTTCACTGCCTCGAACTGCCTTGTTTTAATAGACGCCCAGGACACTTATTATTATCAAGGCTGTTCGCCTGCATCGCCATTACAGCAAGAATGTGCCCTATTGTCATACTCGCCGTCCTCGACAGTATGCCCTCCCAAAACCTCTGCGGTGCGTACATGCGTCCCACTCTTTTCTTCAAAGCTTCCAAAATGTATCCCGTTGTATCCAATCAAGCAGTCGGTGCTTCCCAGCGCTTGAATCTGACTATCTATCCTGCATAATACTTGTTTTTTGTGTTGAACAGGTACTCCAGCACATCACCATGTCACTCCTTCGAGTGCATGCATGCAGCTTATCGCAATATTACCATTTATTCAAGACCTGTCTGTGCACCGGATGCAGCCGGAGTTCTCTCAGTTTTGGCGTGTCACTAATTCTAAACAGGAGTCCAGTGCGGCTCTTTCTAGCAATATTGCAACAAACCTTCTTGCAGCTCAGTCCTTTCAGTGTGGGGGTACTGAAGAATCCCTCTTGTACGGTTGTGATCGTGCTAGGTTTTGACGAGGAAATAAGCACATTGTTGGTAATATCCTTGAACCAAAATGAAATTCTGCATAGCTTGAACATCTGAAGGGTCCGTCTTCCCCGGGATACAGAAATAATGGAGGAAATCGCTTGCTTGTTGGCTCCTCGCTATTACCACCTACATCCAAACCACAAGGCTCGCGTCTCTTTTGTCTTCCTACTCTCAACCTCAGCTCTCAGACCTTCCCATATCGAGAGTATGAACGAGTGCCTCCGGAACAGTCTCATCTAACCCAGGATAGAGGTCACAAAGATCACAAAACAACACAAGGTGCATCTCAACATCCACCACAGCCGCACTGGTCTACACATCAGCCGAGTCATGGAGAGCACTGATGGTGCGAATGACTGACGCATCTTCCAGCTCTAAATGCGTCCTACACAGCCGTGGGTACTACTACGCATGGCTGATGACTGCAGGCTGGTTTGTGTTATGTTTCACTCTAAGTCAGGAGATGGTGAGGACGAATCGGGCCGCCAAGATGTCTTGAATCACGAGTATAGGAGTGAAGGTTCACCCAAGCCCAACCCGAGCCTACCGCTTCATGATGGTTTATTCTACAAAGCGATTTGTAAGGGAGGCACGCTACCTCGACTTTAAGTACGCCTACGACTCTCATGCTCTAGCATAGGCCCCTCAAGTAACAACTGAAAAGCCGATTCATCGGTAAGTTTGCGGTACCCTGATGGAAGGTAAAGCGAGTAGATCCCCTCAAAGCACCTCTCTACAAGGTCCCAGGACTTTTTGTGCGATACAGATGGATGCACATCTCTGATCCCCCCTGACCAAAAGTGGGCCTTTTCCTTTGCGCATGCACGAGCATCCACTTTCAGCCATTCTTCCAATGGTCTGTTCTTGCTGAGGAGGTTTCCACCTTCATACCGAAGACAGACCCAAGTGAGGACCCAGATCAACGATTCAGCATCATGCGCATACACGTGCTCAACTTTGCCTGCCATGGCTGCTGGTGAAAGAAGGTTTACCGCCATGAATGGTACCGTTCCTGTGCGCTCGAGGCCCCTGGGACCATCACGTTCAAACGACGATAAGTCGTAGTCGTTGAGAACGCCTATGTATTGACCGCGTAAGCGGTACACCATGAGGTTGCTAGGGCTGACATCCCGATGAAGCACGCCTCCCTTCCACAGGGCGTGATGACCTGTCGAGTGGTGGATGAATGATGAAGAGCAGGGGAAAGGGGAAAAAAAACTTACACTTCACAACTTGCCACCATGCGGCAAGGAACTCCTCGCCAGAAAGCGTCGTGATTGGGATAAGCTTTCTGGATACGGTGATGTGCAGGACACGGCTGCCCTGTTCGGCCCGTTCAGCGTCCTTCAGTCCTAGTGCGACTCTGATTTTGGACGTGGATATATCTTTAAACTTGTGGAACAAGGCCAACTCTAGGACGTGGCCTCGCACATCCGGATCTGTCTGTGCAATCTTGTAGACCTCGTTGAGGATGATGTCTAGCTCGCTCTGACGCGTTTCTTCTGGCCAATAGAGCTTGGCCACCAGTTCAGGTGATTCGTTGAGAAAATAGGGATCCGGCTGCAGACATGATAGTGCCTTGCTCTTTACTGAAAGCACGATAGTTGCACGTCCGCATGTACCGAGGTGAGTCACGCACTCCTTGGACTTCACATCCAACTCAAGGTCGATTTGGGTATCCTCAATCATCACCTTTCCCGAAAATCTGGGCTCAGGCACAAACACGCGGTTAAGGCCCCACTGTTCGTATCCCATCCGCTGCGTGACGAGAAGCAAGACAAACCAGCGTGGAAGGTCCCGAACGAAGTCGAGTAGCTTTGATTTCTCGCTGACAGAAAGGTATTGAGAAGAACCTGTGCATCTTGCGAGGGGTTCTTGCAGCATCATACCTGCCTCACACTTCTCCCAGTTTTGGACGTCCCTCGCGATCCATGGACGGACATTATTGACTCTGCAAAATTCACTGATATGGGTGATGGTGGCAAGAATAAAAGGAAAATTTGACGCACTCAACGCCAACAGTACTGATATGTTCGCTGACAACGGCGGAACCGACTGCGAGTGAGGTGGACTTGAGTCCAGCCTCCGAGTGGGCAGACAAGGCGGAGTTACGGGGAGGTATCTTGTGTACGGTGGGGCCAGCATTGTCGACCATGATGATGAGGCCTAAGGATGCTGAGATAGAAAGGAAAGTGAGTTGAGAATCAGAATACGCAAACCTGTGCTAGCTTTTAAACTGGCAAAACACCATTGTTGAATATTTCAAGTCAAGGTCCACAATTGATAATCGATAAGTAGCTGAACGAAGTTGATGGCAGAGCCAGACTCACGGTTCAGTAAACGATGACCGAGTTCGTGACAACGACAATTATGTAATCACCTTCGACATGAATCCGCCGGTTCAGTTCACTCCCGCCGACAATCCAAATCATGTGTATCCCTGGATTTCCTACTTAATCCCTCTTTTTTTCTTTGGCATATATCCAACACGTACCGGTTGCAATCTCAATAAACAAGGTTTGCTATAGGTATAAAGTTTTACCTCGCATCGCATAGGATTCTCAGGCTGGCACTCCGCAAAGGAGTGACTTGTGGGCGCAGCGTTGAAGAACCATACTGTACAGCTGTCACCTTCACGGCGGCCCTTTACCTCCGTTTTGATTTACAATTTTCCGGACGATATGTCACTCCCCCTGAACACGCGAGCAATCAAGGAATCTGAATCTGATACGGTCTTTCTCGATGTTCTTTTTAGATATCTCTCTCTGCATCCGAACAACTGCACTACTGCGCGATCGTTTTCCATGCAACGGAAGCGGGAGAGAGGGACTATCGAAATCACTGATCGGCAGCCTTTGCCTCCATTTCGCAGAACACTTCTTATCATTCCTTGAACACACGAAGAACCAAGGAACCTGATTCAAGATATCTTATCAGAAGTCCCTGTCTGTGTCCCATAACCGGGCTGTGCGTAGTAGGGGTCAGTCAGACTCGCGACTCGTCGATCGCCACACAAGAAATGCTGATAGTGACTCTTTTTATGAGTCGTTGATGTACTCTACGTGTCTGTGGGTGCCTTCGACATCCTCCGTAATTGCCCCACTTTACTATTTTTGCTGTTCCCCACCATTGTGCTCGAGATGCGTACATTTTGATGTCTCGCTTCTGACTGCACAATGTGTCGGTTGAAACTCATCGTCGATTCATTAACATTCCTCATGCAGAAGGCATTCCTCGCATTATGATCGAGCTGTCGGTTCTTTAACCCCTCTCGCTCTGCCATCCCATGACGACTTTTAATAGTTCACAAGTATCTGAATGTATTTACGATGTGCGCTGCTTCAGCTTCGCACCGAACTCTTGTGTATCGTCAACTGTACATTTTTTTCCAATACATAAATATAAATATATAGATCTGCCGGCGAAGTGTATCGTACTCTGAGCAAGGTACATAGTGAAATGTATAGTGAGACATAGGGATGCCTGATTTCTTAGAATGGTCACAGGCCTCATACAAATCAATCTCATCCAAGCGCGACCCAACCACACAACTCCATCCTCTGACTGATCTCCGTGGGCATCCGCAACACCATCTCCTTATGCAGTTCATTGGCCTTGCAGCTCTCTGAACAAAGCACAAACCTCCCAAGCCCTCCCTCCCGTCCTGCGAAGATGCAAACCGTCGGCGGTCGCTCAGCACGGAAATAGTACATGGTCGACGAGCATGTGTCGATGAGCGTGTACATATGTCCCGGTCCACTCTTCTCTTGTTCCTTCGCATCCTTATATTGCTCGTCTGAACCTATCCGTCTCGAGAATTGTTCCGGCTTCGAGAACAGTGAACCACTCGGGGTGAAATACATCCTTGGGAAGTGTGCAACTGTACCTCCGTATAAGTGACTCTCTACCGTTCCTCTATCAACCACTCCTTTGACCCCGATCAACCACGGTTGTTTGTCGATTATACGCCCAGATTTGCTATAGAGAAACATTCGAGGGGAAAGGAACAGGAGAAGGAGTCCGATTACAATGAGTACTAAACCTCCTGTTCTGCTGGTATGCGGTATAATTCCTAACCCAATGACAATGAACGGCCAGGAGAAATACGGTATGGAACCGACAATCTTCCTCCTCAGCGAAAACGTAGTCGCAAATGGAATCTCCGGGAAGTCCTTCCACCTGATGGCTGCCGCCCGACAGCCGTCCAAAACGAGAGCTCCGTTCTCTGTCACACCAGCGACTTGGATCTCCGGAACAATGTCCCAAAGATTCGCGTCATAGATATCACTGTCAGCGTACCAGCACGCTCCTGGGGTGGTGGTTGAGGGAAACATGGACACCATGCGATCAGCAATGCGGTCGCTATCGTTGGCCATTGACAACCTCGCGAGTGCGCGTAACTCATCTTCATCGTGATTCGGTTGAATGCGGTGCTCAAAAAAGCCCATGAGCGCATAGACTTGTTCCGCTTTGTGTGGCTTGTACCCCCCGCCGGTGACAGGTCCCCCACCTATCATGTGCGACTTTGGAGGGGGTGGAGGGCCAGAAGGTGTTGGAAAACCTGCCATAGCGCGCCTCCATATAGCTTTTTTCAACAGTGTCAAGCGTTCTAGCCTCTCAAGCGGATCCTTCCCATTGGCGTATGCATTGACAATCGCTTGTTCATCTTCGGAGTCCGTATAGGCCAGGTTAGCCAGCTGAAACAACGACAACGACTCGACCTCTTCCCGATCCCGGAACTTGTAACAAAGCCGAGAACTCAGGAGGGCTTCTGGAAAAGTCCATACCCGTCCGCCCCAGCTCCTCCAGCACTTGTCCTCTCCAGAGTCAGCTCTCCCGAGCATGATCAAAGTCGTCTCCGCTCTACGGTAGACGTCTGACATGCAATACACATCCAGATTCTCCTCTGATGGAGTCTCCCCTAGACACTCCAAGTCGAGCCAATAGGCATTGAATTGCTGTCCGAGCACCGCCGCACGAACGTCGTCTGTAAACTGTGCCTTTTCTTTCTTCTCACGTGGGCCCCAAGAGTAGACGTCGCTTGCGCGGTAAGAGATGGCAATATATTTAGCGTGGATGATGATATCGCGATCTACGCATCGAACCCACTCCTTCTTGTTTGGGCTGCGGATCATGAGAATTCGAGGGTAACAAGCATGTGTACGGGTATTGATCTCGGTTTCCTCTTTAATGCGCGATGAATGCTCCATGCGAGAACGAGCTGCCCATAGCTGACCCTGAAACTGGCGAAGATACGGTTTGTAGTATCCTGTGTTATACGACGAATCAGTATCGTCTTCAGAGTCATCACTAGCGTTGAAATAAAGTTCCACGAGGAACCAGACGATTGGCCACAATAGCTTCAGTGCGAACCACACTGATTTTCCGATCCACTCGAAAATAATCCATCCTTTGAAAGGTGAATGGGTTAGCAGCCATATGGCGAGTTTGCTGGCGTCGTTGGTGTGATTTTTGATGGCAACTTCAAATTTGCCAGAGGGTGTGACGGCTTGCACGATAAGCTTTCGGCAGATTCCAGTGGTAGGGCTGATGTATCTCTGCTCTTGACCGTGCGTTGTCAATATTCCTATGTCATTGGAGCAAGTGATGTTTGGGTCTTGATGCGTGAGTGGGAGCCAGTGCATCCTGACTGTTCCTGTAAAAGCGTCGATATGATGATGAGTGCGAAGACTACAGGACCTTCGAGCTGTGAACTAGACTTACAGCGGGGAGAGAGTCACAAGCAGGGTGTTACTTCTCACAGCGATGCCCCAGTATTACCTTTATACATTTCAGGTACTGTAACTCTGGATTTTTAGATTGCACATTGCAACTACTACCATGGCGGTTGCAAAGTCAGAAACCTCATCTGATTGGACCGTAAGGTCCCGAACAAGATATCGACCAGCGGTGTCATCAGATGCCTGTTATATCATGATATCACGGAGTAACATAGCTCTGAGGGACTTGCAGAAGACAATGAGAATATCTGAACATGAGTAAACACCAGTGCAGGAAGGTGGCACAGCAGCAAAAAAATAGTTTGTCATTCTTTCATTCTTGTGGCAATTTGTTTGATTTCTATAACACACCTGCACTTAGCAACCTGTAACGCGTCACGGTTGAGTATACGATCATTCACTTCAGGGATACTGATGGTGACTAGCCTATCACTGTCAGATTTTGGACCCGTCGAAAAACTATCGTGGAACATTTGTATCTCTGTTTGGTATAGTCTCGGTCGAACAGCATTGAGCGAGGGACTCAGTCATAGTGTCATGGTGACTACTACTGATGGTACTGGGGCGATCAGGCAGAGCCTGGCAGAGCATGCACATAAGTTGCGTCCGCAGCATCGAATATTTCATTCCTCACATACCATGACAGCGTCAATCAATGCATCAGCAAAAGGACTACACGAGTTAGCAAGAGAGTACCAAGAGTACGAACGACAGATACTCACCTCAGCGATGATGTTAGGACAATGTTGAGGTGAAAACGGCAAAGGCGCCATGATAAGTAACTATGCGGATCTGTGGCTGAGTGTTAATACTGTATAGCACATACATAGCACCTCAGCCATGATGCGCTCACTGGTATAGCCTCGGTTTATGTATAGTACATACAAGCGCTTTATTCACCTTCCGACGTTACGTTTGCTGTTGTTTTCATCATCATCTTCTTCTTCTCTTGGAAATATCGTTCGAATGTGTCAGCGACGTCATACTCTTGAATGCGCGGTATATAGCTGTCCGTGTGTGAACGAATATGTGCGCAGGTCAAGCACGACTTTTCAAGCGTAAGCCCTTGACATCCGATGAGTGTTGTCGCATAAAGAGGTCGCAGGGGAAACTGTTTGCGATTTCGGTCCAGCTTGAATGCGCTGATCTGATTGAAAGAGAAGATCATGATGGGATGCGGACAATGTATCTCTCCGGTATGAGGAAGTTGATGAGCGATCGCAATGCTGTGCAGGTCAGAGTACGCATTGGAAAAGTGGAGCACAATTTGCAAAAGGAAGAGTAGAGACATGGAGATAAGCGAAGAAGTTCCGGCGGGATCAGATATCAAACATCCATCGTGTAGTTATGTGAGCGTAGTTGCGGCAGCCAAACTTGAATAGCACCTAGCTCAGTCAGCCTCAGTGCTCAGCGCTGCAGCGCTCAGCCATGATGCGCTTACATATTGACATAGCCTCGCTGCCAATCAAAACACCTTGGCCTACTAGGTTTACTCCGCAGACGAACAAGGCAGGCGCATGTGCTACATTACGTAACTACGACGACCACCAGTTCCTGACTCCGCCGGCCATTTTCAACACTCATTTTGCAACACGCCTACTATGTCAAGAGTCAAGACCTACAACAGTATTTGTTCCAGGGGCTAACCCACTTCTCTGGGCAGTGAGTCACTCTCTGTTCCGTGCGTTGGCTTATCCTTTCCCGCAGTGTGCGATGTTCGTCTGAAAAGTCTCGTGCCACTGTTGTCCACCGTATGCGGTTCCCCATACTACCTCAGGTTGCCCCATTTACTACGATGCACTTTCTTACTTTGAATATCATTCATTGCGCTTCGAATTCTCCGGTCGTTGGCTTCCGTGATCTTTCGTTGAGCACCGTGGTCATTGTGGTTCGTGCACTGAGCTGTTTACAGGCTGTGTGTGGTTGGATGGCGAGTCGATTGTGGTGACTCACAACAAGGTGTCCGTGTCATCATCTCTTCTTGTCTTTCAGGCATCCGATCGGACCTACTGCGCTGTGCTGCATCGGTTGACTTCTTTCCAATGTTCTGATGTGGTGACATCTGCATCATTACCCTGCTTGTTTCCGGAAAAGCCCCACCGTAATCACAGAACATTTGAGCGGTTTGACGGCCCCCCCTTCTGGCTCCCTGCGCTGCCTCTCTGTTTGGCAGTCGTGTTCGTCGTACGAAAAGTGGTAACTTTTGCGTTATCTTACAGCGATTTCTCGACCTTCATGGGTGGTCCAGTGCTTTGTCGGTCGATGCTGTTTTGAAGGCATACTATCTAAGACTACCAAACGTTTACTAGCACACAGTCGTTCCGTTGTCCATCCTCGTTCTCATGCTAAGCCCGGTGACGGATTGGATTTTCACATTTGAGAACGCCTTTTGTCTCCGCAGTCAGCTTGCTCTCAAATTATCAAGCGATCATTTTCCAAGCGAAGACAAGATCATAGCGGGGCTGTTATACATCCAGTTTCCTACAGATGGATTTGTAGAGAACAGCACGAAAGTTTGCTGCAGACAGACTCGGAACCCTCCCTAACTTATCATGGGAGTAGGGAATGTTGTATACATACTAATCTACATAACCTAAAGTTTTGTCAGTTCTACCTCCTACACTAGATCATAACACGCTATTGGGAATCTTCCCATACACTAGGATCGCGGGGAAGCGATAAAGCAGTACCTACAGCGAGAAATACAATTGCGGTGAAGAAGTAATATATCGACCATGCATCATGCCCTTTCTGCAATGAATAAGAGAAGATCGAAGTTGCAGACGCCGGGCCGATGATTCTTGCTACCGCGACAGCCACCTGGGCAATTCCATTGGTTGCTCCGAGCGAGGCGCGATTGGGAGCAGCTGCTCTGATGAATAATACCATGCAGGCTATGGGTTCTTCTCAGTTCAACAGAGTGCAGGAAATGCTGGATTAACATACGGAAGCACATGCTCAGGATAGTCTTCAGCATAAGCTGGACGACAACACACAGCCACACCGCCATGCCTATTCCATAGGCTCGAGCCAAAGCATTGGTCACTGGGAATAAAATGACCATGGGTATGCCGGAGCTGACGCCGGTGATGTGGATAGCTCTTGCACCGAAGCAATCAATTAAACGAGTGTAGAAAAGTAGCTGAAATATTCCATGTATGGCACTTGATGCCGCAAGTAAAGTGCCGATGCGAGGAGGGTCAAGGGAAAGACCACCAAGTTCAATCGGTGTGGCATAGAAAACAGGTAAGACCGAATTGATCCCCATTTGAAACAGGCCTGTGGTGGCATAACTCGCTGTCACGCTCAACACTTTCGAGGTTAGTAAAGCACGCAGCGGAAGCGGCTTTGATTTGACTTCGTCAGGATCAACTATAACATTGCTCAATGGCTGGCGAGGTTTTTGTCCGAAGAATCCTCCTTTAATGAGCTCCCAAAGCGGTGTCTTGGTAGAAACGCTCTTGTAACCACTCTTAGTGTGATCCAGAGATGAGTTTTCAGCATTGCGCTCACCTCTTTAAGACGGATATACGTGACTAGCCAAATTGTCAATATAAAAAATGCCGAAATAGAGCACGGCAGGAGATATGGGTAGGTTTTCAGGAGTTCAGATCGCCCAAAAATGTCAGGGAATCTGTCTGCCGGTCGGGAGAGTGATCCTCCAATGAGTGGTCTAAATGCCGTCAACCTCAAGTGCGAAAGATAATGTACGGTATACCTACCCAACTGCGCCTGCGATCGTCCCCGGGATTGGTAGATAACTGCATGCCTTGGGCATATTGGTTGCGTCAGTGATATCCATCAGCATGCTCTTGGCCATACTATCGCTCGCATCGAATGCTCCGCAGACAACACGACTGGTCGAGAACGTCATGAATTGATGGTCGCACTGGCAGCTACTATTTTGAACACACTGACCTGACCACCAGAGCGAAGAAGGTCTTCGACAGCCCAAACGAAAACATCGATATTGAGATTGCTAATAGAGCTGTCAGTATTACAGGCTTCCGCCCGATGTGGTCGGACAGTTGACTCCAATAAAAAATAGTCAGGGTATGAGCTGCATAGTATGATGATTGCTAAAGAGAATAGTATCATAGATGAACGAAAGGGCAAAAACGATGAAGACATGCTTACAAGGATGCCGGCATAGTGACCGACCTGGGATTCGTCTCCGTGAGTGACTCCAATGTCTCTAATGAGCTTGACAAAGCCCAGTTGTGGTTAGCTAGTATAAGTCCAAGCAAACACAATATTCTCACTTGAGGAATAAACGGGGCAAGGGTCCGAGAAGAAAGAAGTTCTGGCATCTCCAAGAGTAGTAGAATCCAAATTTGATCCCATGGAAGAGGTGTCTTGGCCATTGGCTGCTCTGGTCGTTGCAGAAGAGGTGTCTCCTCATCATTCTGCTGCGCATTCATGGTGGTGTGAGGGAATAAAAGATGCAGTTCGTTATACTACGTGAAGTCATTCCAATGAGGCGGTTGCTGACCGGCTTGTTGGCTAGCTAATCGATAAGGCCTACAACGGCAGGTGACAAGAACTTGATCAGTTGAGATAGAATCAGTCACACGGCACCTCCTATTATGTAACACCCGGGTATAGCCGTAACATCGTTTATCACTAGTGGTAGCTTTATCATCGTAGCAGTGTCAAGGCTGCGAGTTTTCTTTGGTTAATGAAATTTTCTGATTTGCGCTGTAAATGCGGTCAGATCTTCAGCCTAGGTCATGTCATATTTTCCAACAAAGCCTGATGTACTGTGTCCCATAATTGCATCTTTGAACACTAATAAGTTGGCAGAAGAGACTGGCCGTGGTGCAGCGTACTAGGGGTTAAATTCATACCGCACATACAACACTAGACTACATACTGTCCAGCATAGCCTAGGCCCCGCCCCAACCAAGGATAAAAAGGGGTTAAATTTCCACTTCAAGTCTGCTTTCACACGAAACATTATTATTCCCACGCTTCCAGCCTCCCCTACTGAATCAACCTCGGCACGCCCACCGGTATCACCACCGTCTCCAAATCCTCAAGAAAACGTCAAGATGGTGAGTCTCGCTGCCAATTCGACGTCCGATAGGTCTTGGTCCATGCATGCTAGCTCCCTGGGTGAAAAAATGGGATAGAATTGGATGGTTGATGGGTGGATGGAGATGATTTGTGTTGGATGACATTTGTGTCAGTGGGAGTGGTGGACGTTATTTCGCGTGTCTGGCTGGTACACACACTACTTCGTATTTGCTGACGCCCTTTTTATTCTCTAGACGAAAGGTTCGTTTGGTTTCGATTCGATTGTTGGGGATTGGATTTGACGAATGGCTTTTGATCTTGGATCTTCTTGCTGTTGATTAGGTACTTCGTCCTTTGGGTGCGTAGTGTTTTCCCGTCGATCTGGAGTATCTCTCTCATGCGGTTTGATTTGAATCGTGCAGTAAGCGACACACCAAGTCCCACACGCTCTGCCGGCGCTGTGGTCGTCGTGCGTTCCACAGGCAACACAAGAGTGCGTTCCTACACACCTCTTTGCGAGACAGCATCTGACCTTGCATTGCTCGCCCCTGTCCTGTCATCACGCCCTCCATCCCGATCTACGCTGAACAACCCGTTATTGTCATAAACCAGCCTGTGCCCAGTGCGGCTACCCTGCAGCAAAGTTACGCTCGTATGAATGGGGCCAAAAAGCTAAGCGTAGAAAGACCACCGGTACCGGGCGCATGCGCACGCTCAAGGACGTATCGAGGAGATTCAAGAACGGATTCAGGTGCGTTCCATCCATGCCATGCCCATCCCAGCCAACATATTAATTATATGATGTGTGGACTTTTGCAATACAGAGAAAACACTGTCGCGAAGAAGCGTGTCAGGCCATCCGCGGAGGCATGAGCATGAGCGGAAACTTGCATATGCCGATGTCGTGTTTGCATGTTGTTTTACATACTTGAGAATTTTTAGCCTATGCTGCTCGCATCATTTTCTACGCACGCACAGAATACATGATTCATGCCATGCCTCCTTGTTGAGCGGAGGAACTGAGTGACGATACTGAAGGTCAATTGGTGTCTCCTTTGTCTGATGCCTACGATTCATCAATTGACGCCCAGTGGTCTCTTCTAACTCACTCATCCGAAATGTACTCGTTCATTCCCTTGTATTGATAGCTCTACATTGACTAAGCCGCGCAATAATCCGCAATTAACTATTTATCATGTGTAGTCCCCGTTCCAGCCGATGGGTATCTTCAACGCATGTACAATGAACGAATGATGAAGACCGAAATAATAAAAAAGCAAAATACCGATAAATACTTCTCGCTCGGTCTCCCGTCTGCGGTGCATCCACCGCTACTGCCCACAACACGACGCCCCCCGGGAATTCCTCTTCCTCTTCCCATCCTCCAATCCTAACTTAACCGTATTCCCATCACTCTCATCCCTCACGTGAAACGTCCTCGCTTCCACAGCCTCTTCATACTCCCACTTCTTCACCACGCGCACCGCGATATACTCAAATGCGTCGCTTACACCCGTTCCGGTCTTTGCGGATGTGAAGAAGAGCTTTGGGCCTGTGTCTGGTGGGTCCGGGAGGCTGGAGGGTAGGGGAAGGTCTGGGTCTGGGTCTGGGTCTAGTTGGGGTGGGGTGGGCGGTGTAGGTGGACGTTGGCCCCTCGTGAATAAACTCGGCGTGATAGTAAGTGCAGACGAAGAAGACGTAGTAGTAGTCGTAGTAGTCGTACTAGACAAACTCGTCATTCTCCTCACTCGTGCTGGTGATTCCGGTTGGGACCCTGGAAGCGGAGACGACCGTGCGCTTGTATATACATCAGAGAGGGAAGAAGAGGGTGTATGGAAAGAGGTTACGCCGGAGCGGAAGGTTCCGTATAGAAATGTGTTCGCGTGGGATGTACTTGAGGGGGAACGGGATTTTGAGGGTTTGCGATGGTTTTGGATATCTATTCGCGCAGAGGGGGCGAGGAGGGATGGGTCGGCATCGGCATCGTATTCGTATTCGTGCTCGTGTTCGGGAATGATGTCTTCGTCTTCCCCTGAAACGAAGTCTTCCACCACGATTTCTCCCTCCTCGCGCTCTACAGGCTCTGGTTCAGAGATAGGCACAAGGTCCTGCACGAATTTCTTCGCTTCCTCCGCAGTGACGCCCATCCCAGGCTGTAAGAGATCCATCTTATTCCCAACGACCACACAACAAAAGTTATCAACCTCTTCATCACTAATCGGTGCTCGGTGCTTAAACTCCTCCCACCATTTCGTGAGCGCGTGCATAGTCTCGGGTGCACTGACGTCGAACATGAGTAAGACGGCGTCTGCACCGCGGAAGAACGCGGAGGAGAGGGAGGAGAAGCGTTCTTGGCCTGCGGTATCCTATCGTATGCGTGAGCGAATGGAAGGTATAAAGGGAGCTCGAACCAGACCTACCCATATTTGAAGGGATATGGCCTCGGTTGGTTTTTTTGGGTCAGGAAGAGATTTGGTTATGAAATCTGCACCGATTGTTGCGCGGTAACCGGTGGAAAACCGACCTGATATGTACTGCGCAGCGGTAGATAATAAGTAGTGCTCGAGATAATGTCGAAATGCGGAATACTGACCTGACCACGCAAAGAAGTCTTGCCTACGCCCGAAGCACCGATGACAACGAGCTTGATAGTTCGCATTGCTCCCCGTGTACTGCTCGTCGTTGAGCATTAATGATCTATAACGTTCGGCGGCCAATTGCGCCATATGGTACTCTCTTCTAAGTTCACCGGCACCGGTCGTTCTCACTCAACGCAAAACCAAACAAGTACAAACCCTGGACATCATGAACGAGTCAACGCCTCCAGTGTTCAACGACGTACCCTTCAACCAGTGGACCAACTTGAACGTTCGGACATTCATGAGACTGATATGACTGCTCAACTGAATAATGTTGTCAACCCTTGATATATTTCAAGAACAAGGTACGTGCAACATAACGTAAGAACGTAATGACAAGACCTCGAAAACCTCGTTAGCTCTGACTTACCCGAGTAGTAGGAACAGCGACGGAAAAAGTCTCTTGACCATAAACAGGAGGCGCTCGCCGACGCCAACGCTAACAACGACTCGTCCGCACTGTAACGTCCCCTAGACTCAATTCGGGTTGTTCATTACCCAACATCCAAGCTCCATCTGCACTGATGGAACTCCACCCGTCCGCCACTTTCGCTGCCCTCGTTCCTCTCCGGTGATCGAGAGTGTGCTTTTGAGCCTACGCTGTGTATGACCACCATCGTCTTTCCCCACCAAAGCTCGCCTTCCCTCCGCCAAACTCATCCTACATCATCCCACAGATAACGCCAGACACGCCGTCATCGAGTGATTCAACATTGATATTTTCGACCTCAACTATATCTCCGAGATCGTACCGCTCGTATGTTATCGGTATCACCATTGTCAGATATTTCAAAAGACAAACCTATGCCGGTATTACCACCATCTTGCACTTGTAAATGACAACAATCACTTAGACGTGTTGTCCGCTTCGGGATCCTTCGTTGAATTTGGAGCCGCATGGAGACATGTCTCCTTCATTTTTTTGCTTGTGATTTTTCTTCTTATCATATCTCCTCATCTTGTACGTCGTCTTCCTTAAATCGCCTTCCGTCTCGTGCCATCTACCAAGCAGAATAAGGCTAAACAGACACTCCATTGTGACTAGGCAAATGCAGGAAGTGGCAGGAGCGCCTCGCCGGGAGGTCACGCCCTGGCGCGGGCCCGCGGGGGCACGAGTCAACGTGAGGTTTTGAGGCGCAGAGGTAACGCCAGGCTTCATTTGGTCGGGCATGGTGGGCAGTAGGACACACGTGATTGCAAGGTGCTTGACTTTCTAGCCACCGCTCAGGTGGACACGATATTCCGGCGAGCTACATTACCCGGCACCTGCACTAAGAGCTGGTGCTGGAGGTCTTGACAAATGCCAAACGGAGGTAATGCACGTTCCTCGTTCTTAATATTTGGAAGCCGAAGTACTTACTTCGGAACGGTAACAGGGCACCCGGTGCCCCTATGTGCGAGGAAGTCGGCACTTTGCTGCAACTTAAGCTTATCACGTAGGGACCATATACGTACGTCTGTAGTCGTGCTGCCCTATAAAACCATCACTTTACCATAGCCCTTCGACTCTCAATCGTCGCCAGCATGTCCCAGCTCCAATCGAATGCCGCAGAGCACCTGATCAAAGCCAATGAGAGGTGGGCACGAGACGTAATCAAACACGATCCCAATTTCTTCAAGGACTCTGCTACTTATCCCCAAAGGCCCAAGGTGTGCTCCATGCCTCATCGCACGCTCCTACGTTAGCTGTCTTCTTACTGCCATTTAGGTTCTTTGGATTGGCTGCTCTGACTCGCGAGTGCCGGCCTCTGTCGTCACAGCGTCCATGCCTGGCGATATCTTTACACACACAAACATCGCAAAGTACCCACCATTCATTCAATTCTGAGAAGTACATCATACTCACTACCCCTACAGCCAATTCCACAGCTTTGACGACAACGCTAACTCCGTCTTATCCTTTGCTGTCGACCCGGTCGGCGTCAAACACGGTCAGTCTCTTGTTCTTCTTGTGATAATGTTTCGATTGTCCCTCTAACAGGTTTAAAATTTTAACAGTCGTCCTCGTCGGCCACAGCGTCTGTGGAGGTGCCCAAGCAGCGATACAGGCTGCTGAAGAAGGGCCCGTAGAGCCCCACGACCCACTCACGCGTTGGTTGGTCCCCCTCATTCAACTCGTTCGAACCCTCGACCTCCACGGGTTGCCTGAGAATGAGGCGGTGGACAAGGTCGTTGAAGCCAACATCCTCAAGCAGGTTGAAAACATTTGCCTCTCGGAGCCCATTGTCACCGCGTGGGCAACCGGGAATAATGTCTCTGTGCACGGATGGGTGTATGATCTCGCTACGGGACGCATCAGAGAGCTTGTCGTGCGATCCCTTCCGTGTGCTAATTTATAGATACGTTGAAGATGTAACTGATCAATATGTACAACTTTATATCACGTTGCTTTCCACATGTTCATTTGAAATGCGGCACTGCCAGAGCCTGCAAGAGTGTTCCGTTGTACGTAAGTGGATGGGTAGATATTTATAGATAGTGGTGATAAGGACATCGTTCAGTCGGACTATAGTAAATTCAGGCTCAGCGATAGGACAAGGGCCCGAGGAAGTCCAGGCCTAGTAGGTACTGTCAGGCTCAGGCACTATTCACTCGCCACCACTGGCACAAACAACGCGTCAACACACTAGTACATGACTTCAACTTGAAGTTGTTCGTGACCATGCATATAATGTTAAGCCTTAACAAAACTCGCTACATATATCCATCAGGTCGAATCCAACGCGAGAGATCAGTCTGGGGACTTCAAACCTGTACTCATTACAGCCGTACTCACAGCGTGAAGTATCCCAGTCACTCCACTCTCACTACTATGAACCCTGGCCACACCGACTCGTCCTTCTTCTGTGTCAGCAAACTAACGGAATAACGTTTCGCCTAAGCAATCAAGAAACAATACGGACCTCCCTGGCGGCAGACTTTCTCACCTTACTACGGGGAAGAAAGCTCAGGCTTTTCCTAAGCACACGATATACACTCCAAACCGATTATAGGATGAATATTTTCCTGCGAGCGAGTTTGAAAGACAATCGAGCTACCCAAATTTATAAAGGCTTCACTCCTTGCATCAATTGTACACTCAACACCCTCCAACGATCGCTACTGCTTACATCTAACCACAATGAAGCTCACTTTATCTTTCGTTTGTGTTACCATTGCTTTGCTGCAGATGACGGCGGCATCTCCGGTTGTCAAAGGCGAGGCTTCAGTGCTAGCCCCATCTTGTCGTGCACTACTTACCTGGTTGATGACATAGATGTAGAGAAGCGCACGATAAAGTGGTTCCCGTGTATGCTCTGGCACGCTCATCCTATCTGCACCATATCTAATGTCAAAACTATTCAGATCTTGTTGCTGAGGACCCCTCTGATGCCGAGGTCCCCCCCAATAAGGCATTCACAAGTATGTCTCGGCGTGTTTCCATTGTTTACATATTGTCTGACGAGATGTGCATTGTGGCACAGACATCGCCGCCGAGAAATCCCGTGATGTTGTGGACCCCCCCAAGAAAGCATTCTCATGTATGTCTCGGCGTGTTTGCGCTATCCACATCTTGTTTAATGAGATGCACGTTGTGGTACAGACATTGTTGCGGAGGAATCCCGTGATGTTGACCTCCCCAAGAAGGATTCCCCCAAGAACGGTCCCCCCAAGATGGAATCCCCTGATATCGAGGGCCTCCCCAAGGAGGACCCTCTCAAGAAGGCTCTCTAACGTGGTATGTCTTGAGCATCATCTTGGAGTTTCGACTCTTTTCAAACTATTAGCGCAGCTACAACCTAAGGTCAGAAGCTCGAGGTTGTCTCTATCTTGGACAACCTGTCTTTTTTACGGTGCAAATTAGACAGTTATGATCGATGTAGATATATCGCACAATCATCTGATCACAAGAACCAATTGATCTCCATTGATCCTTAAGTCTCCAAGTGTCGAGCACAGCACTAGCACTCATCCTTCTGTGTCGCTATCTGCAAAAGCGTGTTTATGTGCCTCCCTGACTCGGAGGGATGGCATTTCCATTCCATGCTTATACAAATTCCTGTAATTGTGCTGGGAAACCGGCGACATAGTTACTGATACCATAGCATGAAGGGTGACACTCATAATAAACCAACTGCTTATCAGTATTAAAGATACCCGGGCTGGGGAACATAGTGAACAAAAACCCTATCCAGTCTCGAATCTCGATATTCCATCTTATTGGCATACAAGCGGTGACCGGTGCCGGTGACCTTCAGTTGTTGCTTTATTACAAAGGCAGACTTTTGTACACTATATTGCACCAATTTCTCTTCGTTTCCTCTTGAAACCCAACGGCTTTTGACACGGGTCATATGGTTGCCTAATGAGCAAAAGGATCTGTTCTGAAATCGAGATCTGTGCGAGAGTGAAACCTTGGCAACCTTTGACAGTAGTCTCAAAGGAATCTGTTTGCGTTTCACTGTCAAACAGGAGCAGTAAAGATGAGAATACAGCCAACTCACACAGTTCATAATGTACATCAGAACAAGGAAGGCAACTCAAAAATCCAACTTGAACTTGCGGACAAGCCTCTTCTCCACTACCTGCCTGTTCTGTTTATCGTATTCAGGAAGCACGGGACTATCGCTGCTGCTGTTAGAGGCACCATAGTGGGAACTGTTGTCAGCATTGAGCAAGGGGTCCGGTGATCTGACATATTCCTATGGAGCATCACTATATCAGTCTAACCTCGAGACACCCACCGCATCTACATAGGCCTGCGAAAACCAAACAAGGCCAAATCTTTGGCCGGACTTGGGCTTGTTTTAATATTATTACAGCCCTTGAATAAACGTGTTCGAACGCGTCCAAATACTGAACGCAAATAGTAAGATTATCATCTAACTGATCCATTGTGATGAACGTTAGTCCAGGACTGAACTTTTCCATCACCAGTACTGCAGCGGCAACGCAAGTGGGATGCGTGTGCCAAGGCAGCCTCGTGTCTGGGGCGTCTAATGAGGCACGAGTTGGGCACGAGGCAGAGAAAGATTGATGAATATTGTAATTCAAATCCGCAATAAGAACGCCCAGTTCACGAACTTCTGCAACCTAGTGCCATACGCTTGCAATCCTTCGACCAAGTCTACCTCGATTGTACCCCATAAGATCGACCTCCAATCAAATGGCGTCGCTCGCTCCAAGCACCACGCCAGTTCGAGTGTTTGAAGATCATGAAAGGCGTATAAACGCAGTTGCAGTTTTACCTGATCAACGGCGCATGGTCACAAGCTCGGAAGATAATACACTTCGTCTGTGGGACTTGAAGGAAGGTGCTGTGTTGAAGAAAATGGTGGGGCATCATGCCAATGTGAAAGCATTGGCGGTATCACAAGATGGGCAATTAATAGCAAGCGGTGATCTGGACGGAGAGCTCAATGCTTGGCATGGAGACACTGGAGATTCTCTCACCCCAACTATCCAAGCTCACGAAAATATCTATTCCCTGGATTTTTCTCCAGACGGCTCAATGCTAGCAAGTGGTTCATGGGACGACACGACCAAGCTGTGGAACACAACCACGTGGCAACCTTCAGGAGCACCAATCAGTTGTGGTGCAGATGTCAACTGCGTTCGGTATTCGCCATCCGGTAAACTGCTTGCCATTGCGACAGACCTCGATATCCAGATTTATAAATTACTAGGCAAGCGTGACTGCGTCGCGAAGTTCGAGGGTCACGCAGCGTTCAACTCATTCAACTATTCTCTCGCCTGGACGCCCGATGCTACATGCCTTCTCTCAGCAGGCACTACCATACGGGCGTGGGATTCATCGACCTGGGAGCAGGTTGGTCATCCATGGAGAGGTCATACCGATGCTATCAACTCCATTGTCGTCAATGCATCTGGCACGCTCCTTGCATCTGCATCTAGTGATAAATCTGTACGCTTCTGGCGGCTCTCGGATCGGCCAATGATGCACTCCAGCAAAGTGCGGTGCGTCGCCTTCTCCGTAGATGGCAAGCATATCCTCAGCGGAGGTGATGATCTCAAGATCTCAGAGTGGAAACTACCCAAGGGACTGTCACTGGTAAGTGCCCGGTTATTTCTTATCCTCAGTCTCATCTCACAGATGTGATAAAAAGACTCAAGGCTCTGGTTTCAAGGCATGTATCTACCTTTGACTCTTGTCGTACAACGCGAACATACTTCACGCAGATCCTTGTTATCAACGCGGCAGCCCGCAATGCATGTATAACTGGGGACCTGCCTGCTGCTATACAGTTGTTCACACAGCAAATCGACGCCGATCCCAACAACTTTGATTCATATGCCAATCGTTCATTCGTCATGGCGAGACAGCTTGCCTGGAAGGACGCGCTCCAGGATGCAACCAAGGTAAGATACACCGATCCATCTCGCCCCACTTAATATGGGCTAACCTGGATGGTGACATACTAGTCGGTCAGCATCGAGCCCTCCTTGATCGGCCATATCTCCAAGGGCCTCTCCCTATGCGGAAACCAGCAGGTGCACGATGCGATGGCAGAATTTGACCTTGCGTTCGCGTTCACGAACGCAGACCCAAAGACGACCCATTTCCTTTTCTTGATCAAGGTAAGTGATTTTTGAATCATACTCTACGCTTCGTCATGGTTTTTCAGGCCATCGCATTGTTCAATACCAATCCCTGCGAAAAGACCGTGCTGCCTATCCAAGAGCTAGCTGCTCGTCCCAATGCCGATCCTCTCGCTTGTCGTGTTGTGGAAGTGAGTATGATACATTCCGTTAATACCATGTTCGTGTGCTCACTGAATTTCCTGCGCTTCGCATACTAGGCGTATATGCGAGTTCAGCTTGGGACCATTGCCATGGATGGCGCGCTTCACAGTGATGCTGCCGGCCACTTTACTGCCGCAGTCAACGCTGGCGCTTTCTTTTCAAAATTGGACATCCATTATATGTGCGAGGACTTTGTTGTGGTACGTTGAATGATGCGACAATCTGATCCATGCTCAACTGCGTGCTTGTGCAGCTTTTCGGCTGGGACCTCAAGTCCTTGTGGCAAACCGCAAACCAACAACGCTGTCACGCACTCGTTCGGGCAGGTAAAGTTGGGGCTACCCTCGAAGCATATCGATATATGTTGGACATGAGTGATGAACCCACGAAGGCCATCTTCCGTGCTTGGGTTCCTGGCAAGTCTTCTGCGTGCCACTCATGCTACAATTCTCACTTATGTGTCTCTCAGCTCTCGATGAAGAAATGCCCACAAAGGCGTTGCCCTCGTAACGAGTACCCTTCTGATTTGTACCCGGAACTACTTATTACATTTTGTGCTATATCACAACACGCAAGTAGACCCAAGACCATGGAGTATTCCCTACGGACTTGATAGTATGCGACCACTTCCGAGCCAGTATAGTGATGTTTGGACAACTCGCTGTCAAGCGTTTCAAAGTTGACACAATCCGCTACTTGTTTATGGTTGTTGCCGATGATGCTAGTAATCGAACAAAGCTGACGGATAGACATGGATATCACGACACCCCATATTGCCATGCAGTTTGAGAGGTACAGCGATGGCCTCGTCATGCGATCTAAGAACATGTTGCTGTTGAATTCTCGGATGGGCCACAGCAGGATGACGTGCCGATACATACGAAGGAGCTTGCGTCAACAAATACCCGACGTAAAAGATGCTCATGAGCGTGTTAAACTGATTCCCTGTCATACCAAGGTCCTCCTCGAAACCACGCAGCCTTGCAGCACTATTTCAACCGAGCGGTAATTGGACCACACTATTCCAATCGCGAGTTCGTACGTACGCTGCATTTAGTGCTGCCGCGGTTCGGTCCAGAACCATGGTTCGAACCGGACTTTTGGTCCGGTTCTCCGCGGTTCGGTCCACGGTTCTCACATCAGCCAGAACCGGACCGGAAAACGGTTCTCAGTTCTAGGTCTTCCCAAACGGTCCTGTTCTGGTTCGGCAAGGCTGAACCATTCCGAACCGTTATCGACTTCGACTTCGCTTTGACTTCGCTCAGCGCATGCTTCCAAACAAGCACCTTCAGTCTCTTTTCAATCTCCCACCTTCGATGCAGTTCCCAATATCCTTCGGCTCAGGCGACACTGCAAACGGGCTGCTTTCAGCCAGTTTTTCACATTCAATGCTCTCTTCACCATGAATGACGTGACCTTGATTGTGAGTACTAATTCTATCCTCGTTCGAGCTCGAGCCATGCTGATCCAAGTTGTTTCCCACCGTTCGCAGTCTGTGAGTGTGTCGATCCTTGTTTGAGCTCGAGCCATGCTGATCTAAGTCGTTGCCCACCATTTGCAGTCTGTGAGTGTGTCGGTCCTCATTCAAGCTCGAGCCATGCTGATCCAAGTCGTTGCCCACCGTTCGCAGTCTGTGAGTGTGTCGGTCCTCGTTCGAGCTCGAGCCATGGTTCACCTCTCGTGCCAGCCCAACTTCCAGTACCCTCTCACTTCCTTTGGCACCCTCTCGCTACCTCTGGAGCCCTCCCACCATCAAGTTGACAAGTTCAGCGCCCTCTCGCTACCTTCAGCATCCTCCCGCTTAGCGCATCCAATGCCACCAGCACCATGCGCAAACACCCAACACACACCAGCAAGTGCTGGTGTGGCGCAAACGCTCGCGGACGACACCAGGACGCTGAAGATGAATAAAGGACGAGAGGAGGAGGGAAAGAGGAGAGGAGAGAGAAAAGGAGAGCACACGCAGCACATGTAGACTCGACTCTAGATGGGGGGTTCTCTCAGCTGCAAAGGTGCGTCATGGTGTTTTATTGTTTCGGTGTCTCATAAATTCATTGTTTGTATATGGTACCCACGCTCGCCACCATCTTCGACCCATGCTCATGATCGCCATCCTTCACTGCCGCTATCCTATTTCTGGTTGTGTCAACCCCTCGTTATCGCAATTGCTCTCCTGATACCTCTCGTGCATGGTAATTGGGGGAGCAACCATGTTATTAGATTAGTTACTCAACATGTAGACTACTTAGTACTATGTCAATGTTTTTTGCGTGCTCTTACAGTTTTTTGTTTTTTTTTGTTTGGTTTGGGTTCGAACCCCAAAAAAACCGAACCGGACCATAGAGAACGGTTCTCTATGGTCCGGTTCTGGGTTTGGACATTTTGCAGAACCGAACCGATGGTCCGGTTCTTGGTTCTCATCTAAGACCCTCTGAACCGGACCGAACCGGACCACGGCAGCACTAGGCCTGCATTAGTGCGGTCCATCTATGCAAGAAATTAATGCAATAGCAGAAACACTAGATACACCGACTCACACAGTTCATGATGTACATCAGAACAAGGAAGGCAACTCGAAGGTCTAACCTGCGGAGAAGCCTCTTCTCCACTACCTGCCTGTTCTGTTCATCGTATCCGGGAAGCGCAGGACTATCGCTGCTGCTGTTAGAGGCACCATAGTGGGAACTGTTGCCAGCACTGAGCAAGGGGTGATCTGACATTCCTATGGAGCATCTCTGACAGTATCAAGTACGTCGGACAACGTACCTAGCAACAAGTGATCATGTGATGATGCTTACGTCCAAAAACGTCCCGACGACGTTTTGATCGGCCCAATGTGCATCAAGATTCTGCAGTTACCTCAAGTAAACGTGCACTGCTTGTAGGGATTGTAATACGCAGCCCAAGGTATCTGTTCGCACTTTTATTTTTCTTATCTACTTGCTTACCAAATTTGTACACCATGCAACGTGGCACTTTTTCCTCGAGTGGTGATGTCACTCAAGGAAAAAGTGCCACGTTTTTCATCATGTGACTGCGGGGTGATCTAGGCAAGTCCAAATCTTTGACTTTAACTTCGACTTTCATCATGGACGAGTAAATGCCTCCACCGCCAGATATCGACGCATACCCACCTCCACCCCCACCATCAGCACCAACAGGCACACCAACAGATTTATTGAAAGGCGTGGTCGGGAAAAAGGTCTATCAATGTAGAGAGGGGCGTTCAGTCTTTGCAATGGTGCTGAGGTGTGCAGAGGTACACGACATCGGATCTTGGCTTTGAACGTGTGCAGAAGAGGGGACAAAGGCGGATAAGACTTGGTACATCCAGTCAAATTAGCGGCGGATTGAAGTCCTCGTCGCATGGGGTGAGCTGCCGTTCAACTTGAAGCGCCAGAACTTCTTCGAGATCTAGCTCACATACAAGTAAGGTGCACGAATTTCCATCACATTTTTCTTGCATTATCGGTGCTTCGTTGTTTGAATTGATGGTCTCAGACATGAAGATGAGCACCGATGTAGGCAGCGCCTAACACTTCATATATTGTATCAGCCACAGGAGACACATGTGGATTCATATATGGAATAGAAATACTTGTCCCGGGTAAGTCTTGTAGCGTCAAGGTATCTGCGCCAAAGATATTGATATAAAACTTTTCATATATTGTGCTGCTGGGCTTCCGTCCCATTGTCTTTACTCCAATTTTCTCTGTAGATTGATGAGGTGGACCCATGGGATGGAAGTCCATTCCTAACATTCATCAGGTGCTGGTATGGCGGCAGGGACGAGCGAACATTGCTCAAACCCGGTTCTGGACCCAAGCACGAGGACTCGGAAGTGTCATAGTTTTTCAGATGAAACATATCATCGAATCGGTTTTCCAAGCCTTGGAAAGGGAACAGAAGAAGGTGATCAAGTGCTTTAGCGAGAACGATATCATTCTCGAGTACGATGCGCTAGTTGTGTAATCCATTGTGGGGAAAACGAACCTTGAACAAATGATACACGAAGAAAAAGCATATGACTGATGGCCGAATCGTAGCTAGTACGGTAATATTGAGTATTAATTTGAGCACGCATCCGCCGATACAGGCTTTTTTTTGAGTGTCACGGATGGAGACTGGAAGTATAAGACTGTTACAAGACATGATCAAGACAGGAGAACGAGGAAAGAAGATCGCGCGGCGGAGCCATAATTAGATCCGGCCCTTTGAACCAGACTTAGGCTTGTTCATGACTGCCTCGAGGCCCGTCAGGCGTGCCATTAATGGTTTTATACAAATGATGTTGGTTTGGCATATTTTACCTCTTTCCACTGTTTATCGCAAATCACGATGACTCCGAGGAAAGGCAACTCATTGAAGGGTTCAACTCAAGAAAATCACACATCTAGTCAAGCAACAGCTACTGGAAGCTCGGTATGTAGCTTACGAGGATCACTTAGTTGACTTCACTCCACTCCAAAACTGATATTGACATATCCTTCATCTAGCATCGACCCTGTAGCCCAATCGGTCAGTTTATAAAGAAGCTCAAGGAAAAGGCGAAAAAGTTGAAGTCGGTGAGTCCACGAGAATGCATAACGAGCGTCCTGGAATGCGACTAAGATTGCAACAAGCGCTCGAGGGATTCCCTTAGCCCTGCTCCCCTAAGTGATGAACATGCTTTATCGACCCCGAACACCGAGGGAAGTTCTCATACTTGCCTTTTAGTCTCTGTCCTCTCTAAATTTTGGTGTTCGTGCACATTTAGGCCGCTCCATCTGTTGTAGAAGGGGAAGCTGATACTGAATCGGCACTTCGGGGTGCACAGGAGGATGTAAAGCACATTCATCCACTTTCGGGACCTGCGACAACTGCGGCGTCTGCTACCAAAGGTGCACAAGAGGATTTGCATGATGCTAGCAGTTTCCAGGAGACATATCTCAAACCCCTCAAGATATTCGACGATGTCATTGGGAAGATCGCGGATGTATGGGGCTTCCTTTCAATCGGAACCAAACTAATCCAGTTCCACAGCTACATCCATATGCAAAGATGGCGTTGGGCGTGTTATCTTGGACAGCCAAAGTATGCTTGCTCTTGATCTCTTCCTATCTCTCACCACTCATCACTCATCTGTGCAGATTATTCTAGCTCAAGCAGATCACGACAAAGAAGTACTCACACTTCTCAAGAAGTTGTGTGAAGTTTATGACTTCATGACACAAGACGAGAAGCTTAACCAAAAATTGTCTATGCATGCTATCAGTGTCCTCGGAAAGATATCTAAGCAGATCCGTGAATGCACCCATTTCATCAGCAATTATTCGGAGACCAGCAACTTTTGTGAGTGTTACTTGCTGCTGTGCTCTGTACCTGCTCAAGCTTCTACCATCATTGCAGGGAAGAGACTCGGAAAGAACATTGTCTCAGAAACGGCAGATACGATTCAAAAGTACAATGACGTGTTAAATAGTCTCATGCAAGACCTCCGGGACCAGATTTTGCACGATATAGCCATACAGGTCCATGACATAGATATACATGTCCACGATACAGGTGAGGATTTGGACGTCCTTGCGACTTGACATATATTCATATTTTTTTCAGAAGAAATACTGGTGCTCAGCGATATGACCTATGCAGAGTGCGCAGGACAAGATAGTAGGAAAGAGTGTCTTGAAGGGACGCGCACGGAAATCCTTTCCGAGATCACGGATTGGGTCAGGAGTACTAAGGACGATGTTCCACGCGTGCTGTGGCTATCTGGCCCTGCAGGCAAGGGAAAATCGGTGATCGCCCACACCATTGCTAAGTGGTTTAATGACGTGGGAGGGCTTGGTTCTTGTTACTTTTTTGACCGTGAGCGAGAAGCAGATCGTCGTCACGAAAAGATCTTTTCCATGATCGCACGCAACCTGGCCGACCGTGATCCGCAGATGAGACGGGCATTGGCAGATGCAGTTCGGGCCGCAAATTCACTCAAGAAGACCGCAGATATCATCCAACAGTGGCAGAAACTTTTCATCAAACCACTGAAGAAGTCATCTGGGTCGACTGGGGAACCCATCATGATCGTGATCGATGCACTGGATGAGAGTGGTGAAGCAAAGACACGGAGAGACCTCCTTCATATTTTAGCTGACAAACATAAAAAATCCGGCATTCCCAGAATCACAGACCTCCCAGACAACTTCCGCTTCATTGTGACCTCTCGCCCGCTTGATGACATCAATAACAAGTTTCACGATGTTTGGCATATTCGACCGATGTTGATGGATGATATTCCAACAGAATTCGCAGAGTGCGACATCCGTGCTTACGTATCCAACGAGTTGGAAGATCTGGATTTTCAAGACAAAGAGTTTGCAGTCCTCGCTAAGAAAGCTGATGGACTTTTCGAGTGGGTGCGTCTCGCTTGCGAATACATTAAAGAGCACCATACTGCGCTGTCTCGAAAGGATTGCTACGAGGCTGTGGTGTCAAACATTTCCACTGAGCGAAGCGTGCTGTTGCACAATATGTATCGCCTCATTTTAACAGATATGATGCATAGGAATACGTCCATCAATGTCCAGCATTCACAGAAACTGTGTTCAACTGTGCCGGCGATATTTTGCTCGGTAATGGCACAAATACTAGGCACAGCTGAGCCTCTCACTTTGGCTTCCCTGAACGCCATGAGGGACCATTTTCCAAACCCAGAGGACCATCTCGATGTGGGGCTTGTGGTAAAAACCATGGGCTCCCTCCTCAGCGGCACCACCAATGCAGATTCCCCAATCCGACCCCTTCATGCATCCTTCCGTGACTTCTTGACAGATAAATCATCCAGTGGAGAGTTTTTCGTCGACGTGTCATTGGCGCAATGCAACCTTGCATTTGCGTCACTTCGAGTGATGGAACATGGTCTTCGCTTCAACATCTGTAATTTAAAGTCATCGTATCTACCTAATAGTGAAGACCCCAGACTGCAAGAACGAGTCAAAACATGCATCCCCCAACATCTGTCGTATTCCTGTCAATTTTGGACTTCGCACATACTGGACACAACTTTTGACGAGGAGCTCGCGAAGGAGATAACATTGTTCTTCAAGCACGAGCAAGTCTTTTTCTGGCTCGAGTCACTGGCCCTGATCGATGCGCTGAGCAGTGCAGTTACTCCCCTTCCGCTCATTTCCCGCTGGCTAAAGGTCAGTACATTACTATGGAGGGTCAGATAAAAGCGCTCATGTGCATTCCCAGGGCCATTCCGAATTTGCAAACGTCTCATCGACTGCAATGGACGTACAGAAGTTCATTCAAGTCTTTGGCAGCATGATTCTACACAGCACACCACATCTATATGTATCAGCACTCCCATTTTCACCTGCCAATTCTCCGTTATGGAGGAAGTTTTGCACACGATTTCCGAATGTTCTTCGTGTGGTATCTGGACGTGATATGGACTGGCCAGCTGCTCAAACCTGGCTCATTGGGCACACTGGTTGGGTTAACTCGGTCTCGTTCTCGCCGGACGGCACTCGCATCGTCACCGGTTCTCAGGATACCACTGTTCGGCTGTGGGATGCAGGGACGGGGAAGCCAGTCGGTGAGCCCTTGTGGGGGCACACTGGTTCAGTCAGCTTGGTCTCGTTCTCGCCGGATGGCACTCGCATCGTCACCGGTTCAAGGGATCACACTGTTCGGCTGTGGGATGCAGGGACGGGGAAGCCAGTCGGTGAGCCCTTGCGGGGACACACTAATTCAGTTTGGTCGGTCTCATTCTCGCCGGACGGCACTCGCATCGTTACCAGTTCTGAGGATACCACCGTTTGGCTGTGGGATGCAGGGACGGGGAAGCCAGTCAGTGAGCCCTTGCGGGGGCACATTGATCCAGTTTACTCGGTCTCGTTCTCGCCAGACGGCACTCGCATCATCACCGGTTCTTCGGATCACACTGTTTGGCTGTGGGATGCAGGGACGGGGAAGCCAGTCGGTGAGCCCTTGCGGGGACACACTGGTTCAGTCAACTCGGTCTCGTTCTCGCCAGATGGCACTCGCATCATCACCGGTTCTGAGTATACCACCGTTCGGCTGTGGGATGCAGGGACAAAGCAGCCATCGCAACAGTGCGCTCAGTCGGACCTTCCAACATTATCAGATGAACGTCACAAGATCGAGGCCACCACTACCATGAAGTCGAACAATCGGAACAATCACTTCATTCGCTTCTCGTCCAACTCTATCCACGCTCTATGCAATACCTCTGAGCTAACGGTGGGAGCATCCCATGACGACCACAGTTCGACCCCTTCGACCCCCTTTCTCCTGAATTGTGACAGTGGATGGGTAGTAGGGCCCAAAAATCAGCTGTTATTATGGGTACCCCCCGCTTCTCGACACACATTTTACAGCCCTGCAACAGCATTGGTGATACCCAGAGGAGGTCCCGAGCTTGATTTGAGGTGCATGGCACATGGACAGCACTGGCAAAAGTGTCGAGAGGAGTGAGTCTTCTCAAAGCCTTTTCCGTCCCTCTGTCACAACCCAATAACGAATTAACGCTGGGCAGAGACTAGGACTCAAACACAAGATACACCAAACAAAGATAATAGAATTGAGCAGGTACGTCTGGACTGGTACAAGTAATGTACAGACGAGAGGTTTGAACTAAAGAACTACCGACTACAAACTAGCTACCTATATACATATATTAAGTCGGAGACTGAATCTGAGTTCAAACTAACTACCAATCAAATAATAGGAAACAGTATCGTACGATTCTATATATAACCTATGATGTCATAACACGTGCCGCAGCAACCGACAGGTTCTGGAACATCGCATCAGGTTCACGTGGTATAAAGTTTAGTCCGGCATATTCCGATAAGTCACGTGACTCAGTCTCGCGGTCGTTAGGTAATTCTACAATAGACGCAACCACAGGTGCATCCTCTTCCATGTCTTCAACCGTAAATACATTGTTATGTGCAGGCGCTTTATCAGAGCGTTTATAAGACTTAGAGTTCAGAAAAGAATAATGGTTCGTATGAGGTACTCGTGACACCCTCGCACTGAAATCAACACTTGCAGGCCTTAGTAATGACGCTGACTGCAGCAATTGATCCATTATGGAGATTTCAGATATGATTTATGTAAATGTGACACCAGTATACAGTGTATTCTACCTCACGTTCTATTCTATATTCGATATCCAGTCCAAGTCCAGGGTTGTCCGACCGAACGGCTTAGGCTTATCGGAGAGCTGACTGTTGGATTCCTATGATGCATGATGTTCATGCTGGTTCGTGAGAGCATGCAACAACAGACAAGGCATGCTGATTCCATCACAGATGCGATTGCGCGTGTGCCCTGGATTGTGTTGAAGTATAGTATAGCATTGGTGCTTCCACGTTGCATACTGAGAAGCTGAACAGAAAGACATCGTTGTTGCAAACATTCGTCGTAATGCAAGGGAAGAGAAGAGTCTGAGCACATGCACCGCAGCGCTTCGTATTTTAACTGGCTTCGCTGGGATTTCAGTGTGCTTGTTATTTCATGTGGACGTTATGCCACGAGTCAACCATACAACACCGATTGGCCATGACAAGTGCGATCGATTGTTTCGTATCATCAAAGCACTGCCTGAGAAACTAGGTAAACGTCGGATACTCACGCTTGCAATTCACGATCTATGGTCAGAATTCACTTAGTACTACTCCAAAAAAACCAAACTACATCTCTATGTAGAGCGCTATATTCGATAAACGATAAGTACTCGGAACATCCAGAACTTGGAGATAAAAATACCACAATAAAAATAAACCTTCCCACTTCCTGCAGAATAGCCCACAAGTACAAATCATATCGAGTATCTCCCGTGCTACACACCACCGCCAGTTGATATATGCACGCGCTCCTGGAAAGACATTGGAATCATGCTGGGACCTGCATCTGAATGGGCCATGAGCCCAGTATGATATTCTCGAACACTAAGGATCAGATGTGGTCCCAGCACAAACATTTCAGCGAGCGTGAAAATTTGAAGAAAACCAAGATAAATCTGAGTTCCCGGGGAGTATTTGTCCTACAGAAATGATGACTCGGAAATGTGGTCACATGCAGAGATCCGACATACCGCTGAAATCATTGGCGACATATAACCGAGCTTCAGGCAAGCAGCTGGAAGCATGCTAACACATGCAGAACTTCAGCAGGAAAAGATGATCACGCTCGTGTTATGAACTCACCTCGCAAAGTAACCCACGTGAGTTTTCAATAATACCGTAAAACAGTCCTTTATAATTTGGCCTGCCGAATGTCTTTGTAGTTCACGGAAGTGCTTTACAGCAATCCGGACAGTGAGACACAGCGTGAGAACCTCCCATGCAATCCCGAGTGTCCAAGATATGGAACCCAGAAGGACCACATCTTCCTCGAATTTAATAGCGCACTGATAGGTCCCAGAGAGAACGAGCTCTTCTGGAATTCATCAATGAGGCGGATGCACTTTGAAAGTCTGTCATCCATAAGCACACTTACCTGCTGAAAAATGTCTCATCATTATTGCGGCTACCACTATATTGACAATACCAACAGCCAGGAAGGCGATGAGCAGAATGATCAGCACCTTTCTGGAATGCTGATACATGGTGTGCAGCCGAGCAACCATGATGACTAGTATGATGTTTCAGCCAAGTCAATATCACTGAAGAATTACAACTGCATATCTCACCTTCCAGCATTGTAATTACGGTCACACCTATCCAATTTAGTGCAGTGTACATAATCTGGCCTGAAAAATAAAGTAAGCGCCCGACCTCGGGTGATCACATACTTGTAACAGACTCACAACTGTGACAGTCGTTATGTTCGAACCAAAAAGCTGGTCAAGGATCTCACTCACCCCTACGTAGGGTAACAGTTAACTCGACGGGGATGGCAGAGATTAGCACAGAATGCTCACTACATCCGTCACCAAGATTGGAAGACTCACTGTATGACACAGGTCAGAAGAAAAACACACAGTAAAGGTGAGGAGACGTACTAAGCATGTTGATACTGATCATGAGAGATAACTGATTAGTACAATATCGTTTTCTTAGCCTTCCAAACGTACACGGCATGAATTATTCCAACATAGCGCACCTAGGATTTCTTCGAGTCAGCACAACTTAGCGATTTGTAATGCGAGTTACATACGCTGAGATACAGAAAAGTCATCAGGGACCAGCGTTGCCTCTGTTGCAACAGAATTGTATTTTCGCATTGTTCTTCTAGTGTGGGACTCTACTCACCCAGATTAGTTCGACCTACGAAAATCACTTAGCCAGTTAGCCACTCCATTACTACTAATGGCACCAACTAACCTCTTGTCCAAATGTCAGTGCTATAATTTTCATAAGGATATTAGTGATCCTGTAATACTATATTGCTTACCCCAATCATACATCAATACAGCAGTGGAGGCAACTGCGAAACCGCAGCCAGGGTTAGATTGATGTATCACCCTCTTTGTCTACGATCTAACTGGTTCTAACTGATTCTCCACGAACCTGCAAAACAACTAGCAATGTGACTTGTAGTGATGGAAAAGTCCGGTTCGGTCCGGTTCTCCAGGAAATTAGGAGAACCGTGGACCGGACCATCGGTTCGGTCCAAAAATGGTCCGGTTCTGGTTCAGTGAGGGTTCGAACCGAGAACCGGACCATCCAAACTAATAAAAATTTCGTCAAGAAAAATTATATTGAAACACGCCCAACAACAGATGCATCATGTAATACTAAATGCTACTAGACCAGTTCACCATCCTCATCATCTGTGTTGTCACAGAGTGCTGCAATCAACAAATCCAAATGCTGCTCGGCGTCACTAGCGGCAGGGGGCAATAGTATAGTACTCATCAAAACGTACAACTTGTTCGAGATCTTGGCCCTTGTATGTAACACCTTCATTCAAAGATCTCATTGGGCTCAACATACATACACTAGGCTAATGCTACACGACCTCCGGTCCAACGACGTCCACCTGCTCGCCAGGTACCCCATGGTTTTTTTGATGGAGTCTCACCAGCTTACGTGCGTCATCGCTATCACTTCAATTTCATTTTCTTGACCTCTTTGTTCTCAGTCCTCTGCACAAGGCCATTCCCACTCCTCAGAACCGCAAAGAAGCACACTTCTCAGGCATTTATTCCACCGCCACCACAGCTCATCCAGTGCCCATGATACAATTACTGGTGATTCTACCGCAGCTACGACTTCAACGCCGCCATCACGCCGCCATGCAATGATAAAAGACGCTGGACTCTGGACTCGTTTCTGGCTCTTTCTCGGTTGTCTCTCTCCTGAATATATGGACGATTATAAATAGATCTTCTCATCCTTCACAAATCACATGCCTTTGGATATCTCCATGGACTCTCGTTTATGCTGATGCATTCCGAACTGTTCTTTTCGCATTATGTATGATATGGATACCAAATGTTTCGTCATCTCCGCCTATAAGTACTACACTAAAACTACATACTGACTTGCCATCGGTTCGAACAGGTTCGAACCTGTTCAGAACCGGTTCTGCAATTCTGCAAGTCCCCGAACCGCGGACCGGACCAACGGTTCGGTCCTCCCTATTGCCCGAACCTTGAACCAGACTTCGGTCAGGTTCGAACCGCGGTTCAGAACCGGACCTGGCCATCACTAGTGACTCGCATTGATAGAAGGCCACGAGCTGGGATCATTTGAGATTAGGGTCATTCTGTTTTGGACCGGGTGTGAGGAAGCGACAAATTCGGTGGACGTACGGCGATGGCGTTTGTGATAGATATATCACCTTCGAGCGCTTGTCAAATCTCCTTGCTCCTCGGCGACAAGCCCTCATCTTTGTCATTTCCGCAACGCGCACCTTCTGGTTAGACCCTACCCCAATCTTCGGTGTAGGATATTATAAATAGGATGCCAAAAGTAGTAAGTGTATGTAGAAGTTCTCTGTCTGATGCATATCACACACAACATGTTTATTACAGCTGTTTGCATATATGTTGGCAGTCGCGTCATTTTTTTTGTTCAATTAGGAAACTTAGGACTTAGTGAAAATTATACTATCAACAGCTGGTATACAACATGCCGTTTCGCAAGATTAGCTGTGATGTCAAACTTGCAGCGATCCGACTACACGAACGTGAACTTTTGAGCCTTGCGGACATCTTGGATTGCTGCAGATTTTCGGAACGGACTTGGTTCCACATTTTGAAACTCTGGCAGGAAACTGGCGATGTTGTTGACCCTCAGCCTCACAGAGTACTCCGTGGTCGTCTGCGTGTGTTGGATCGCGAGGATATTGATTGCTTGCTGCATCTTGTCAGACAGAATCCCGACTACTTCTTGGACGAGTTCATGCACCTCCTGCAAACCAATCAATTCATATCTGTTGTCATATCCCGTATTCCAGACCTACATCCGACAATATTCCCACGCCTCATCCGGACCTTCGGACGCCCTATCCATGTCTCCAGTCCTCTACCCATCCAGATCCCTGCACCTCTGCACATCCACATCCGCGCATCCATGTCCAGATCCCTTTACCTCCGTACATCACACCTCCATACCTCCGCAGCTAGCCTGCATCATTCATCCTTTGTCTATTGCCCTAATATCATATCCCGTATATCCACGCTTCTTGTCCGGACATCCGGTCCGGTCCGATCCGATCCGATCCGATATACGATAAGCTTCCTAATTCAATTCCTGTGTATATAACGTTGACACAGCCTATTCCTCTATTCGGTATTCCTTGTCCTCGGTATCTCGGTTATACTTACTACCGGTATGCTTACTGATCCGTTAACCTATGCTTCATTTCCGACTCGCGCTTGATAACTTTGCTTATGCTTCATACATAGCCTCGGATGCTTGCTTACTGATCTTTCCGCTATTTCCTTAGTATATAAACTCTTGTATATGTCCTGTAGTTCCTCAGTCTGAATATCATATTAGTCCTCGCACTAGATCTCACTCTAAGTCCTCACATCAGTTCTAGTCTATCGACTTAGTCAAAATCCATCTCAGGCCTAGGGAGAAATTCCCTAGGCCAGAGCTCCACTTATCCGCTCATCCGCTTATCCGCTTATCCGCTTATCCGCTTATCCGCTTATCCGCTCATCCGATCCTCCGAAGGTTCCGGACGTTCGTCCGAAAATTTCCCGCGGTCCTCCGGACCTATTCTGCTTCGGACTTTGTCCTTGCAGCCTTTCCTCTGTTTGCTTCTACTTAGGACTTGTCCTAAGTAGCCATTACACGTATCCGTATCAGGACGAAACCTCATCGTAATTTCCGGAAGTTCCTCCGGAACTTTCCCGCACTCGTCCGGAAGTTACTTGCACTCGTCCGGAAGTTACTTGCACTCGTCCGGAAAGTCCTTCCGAACTTTCCCGCACTTCGGACGTCCTTCGGACATCACTCTGAAATTAAGGGCACATACTCGGGTAAGGGGCGCAGCGCACGAGCTGAAGCCAAGCCCCTCAGAATCAGTCCTACTCTTTGTGCACGGTCTTAACATCTGTCCACTTCACAACAATATTCCGCAAGCTCGAGCGTGCCGGTGGAAGCTACAAGAAAGAGCATCAAGGATAGTACTGGTATTGCAAAGCTGCAGATCGTCTTCATCGAAGCTGCTATCTAGGTCCTCCTCAAGCATGAGAGCCGGACGGTCATGTGCTGATTTTTGTGACATTGCAATACATAGGAGTTTAAACGCAGTACTATCACCAAAAAATTCCAAGTCTTAAGTTTCCTAATTGAACAAAAAAAACGATGTGACTGCCAACATATATGCAAACAGCTGTAATTTGTGAAGTTGAAACTTGATGCGGTGTTGATGCCATCAATTTTCACATGTTCACTGTGATACAAGCTTGTCGTGCCGGATTACGGAGCCTGCGGAAGTACCCGGCAGGGCTGGCACCACGCATCCAGCTGAGCGCGTTTCTTCTTCACACGCTTCCACTTCCGACGCACTCGAACACTTTATTTCACATTCTTTTCGCACCCACCCACCTCTCCAGCTTTCATTTACTAACCTATATCTCGAAATTCTAATTTCATTCTGCCATTTTGGCACATGATGAATGTCTAGTAAGTACTAGTCAAATTACAATCTGATTATTGTTTATAGTACCATTGTCTGATATTGACCGAATTCGCGATCAGTGTCCTGCCCCAGCGGCTCAAGCTACTCACGTCCCACCCCGAGCTTCACTCGGTCCAACCTAACCACCCCCAGGTCATGTCAGCATCAACAGAGAGTGTCTTCGAGCGCAGACGACGCTGGACGTGTAATTCTTCCTCAAGCACAGGCATTTCCGATGCAACCAGTAGGACAAAAATACTCTCAGTCTCTGAGCATGAGAAGGCGAATCTCTACGCTTCTCCTTTTGTTGGTCCTATCACAGGAGCGGAATGACCTTCATACTCTAATTCCTCTTCGATGATCTCCGAGTCACTTTTATCTCGAGCCTACCATGCGCGTCACAAAGCATTTCATTGAGTGTGTTTGTTCATGACTTCTGCTTGTACCTAGCACTGAGCATTGCTTCTTAGCACTGTCATCCTATTGGAGATATGGGACTGTCCAGGAAACGTCACCGTCGACACACTCGGTTCATGATGCAGCGGTAGTCGGGTGAAACGAGAACAACAACAGCCTGAGATGCAGAAATTTGCTCGACAGAGTAATAACATGGTGTAGTAGTGTGAATTCTTGGGAGTGGTGGACGGGTTTAAAGAAAGATAATGGTTCGAGCGAGTGGGGAGTGCAGTGAACGACGAACTTGATGTTGTGGTGGAAAGCGAGGAAGTGAACAGCGCCATCGCTTAGCTGGACGCATGGTGCCAGGACATTCAGACAGGTGAGTGTGTGTATTATAATCAATGAATGATTCGTTAATCATAATACACGCACAACTTGCATGTAAGATTGACAATTGCGATGGGGAGTATTTCAAGCTGCTGGTTCGTGGCTCTCTTTCACCATAACAGAGGGTCCTGCGACCGTGCTCACTCTCCTGCCAGACTCAAAAAAGATAGTGTGACACCGACAGTGCACAAACTCGAGAACACTCGGATCTGGCATTTGACGATGTTGGTTGGTTGGCGCTTTACAAGGGCAGTGACAGCTGGTCAGACTCTTGCTGGCAGCCAGGATGCTCATCTTCACCTGTTGGACTTGCTTCAGCTTGATGTTACAATAGCATGTAACCAAGAACCCCTCGTACAGAGGTCATCCTGACCTTAGCCCCTATCCCGCCATATGCACCATCTTGGAAGACTTACCGACTCAACGGAGACACGTAAAGACGCCTAGAACGGCCTGGATACCGTCAGATGACCTAGACCAGCCTAGGCAACATCTGGATGGACCTAGAGGTCCTCGACCCAGATCATGGAGAAGCTCTGCTTCATGGTCAGAAGAGAAGCCGCATACCGCAGCATGCGCAGTTAGACTACAAGGCATGTTTAGCCTTGAGGACTAATAGAAGAGGCATGGAACGCCTCATGTATAGATAATCGACCGCATGGCATCTGATAACATGCCCGTGTATGGATACACTCATACTTACCTACCGAACATAGTATTGGTCTGTGCACACGGACGACAGTATATAGAGCAGACAGGATCGTGTATTTCTGTACTTGATTCTACTAGGTTTTCCCCAGAACTTCCTCTGAAAGACAGTCCCAGTCCTTCAGTCTTAGTCGCACCTAAAGGCAAGCCGACGCTACCTTTAGTCGTATAGTTCCGCTAGCCCTACAGCTTGACGAGCCGCCGCGCTTACCAAGCTTGTCGGAGGATACCTTAGCATTCCGCTAAGCTGTGAACCCGTCTCTCCAGTAGCGAGCCCACTATCAGATTAGGCAATCCGCCTAGGGAGAGCTCGACCTATCCTAGTCGTAACACTTGAATGTGTCAGAATAGCTCGAAACCCCATTTTCTAGACTCTAATTGTCCTCGCTAGTCTCACAGGAACGCAGACAACGAGGATATAGCCAGCAAATAAGGGTCCCGGCTGCGAGCACGGGATGACCCCATGGATTCGGAGACCAACAAACTCCAAAAAAAACTCAGGTACATATTGTACAATGCCATGCATATGGGAGGGGTGCGCAAAATTTTGCAATACTAGTTTGATAAAATAATAAGTACTCGGAACCAACTCGGAACATCCAAAACTTAGATATAAAAATACCACAATAAAAATAAACCTTCCCGCTTCCTGCAGAATAGCCCGCAAGTACAGATCATATCGAGTATTTCCCGTGCTACACACCACCGCCAGTTGATATATGCACGCGCTCCTGGAAAGACATTGGAATCATGCTGGGACCTGCATCTGAATGGGCCATGAGCCTAGTATGATATTCTCGAACACTAAGGATCAGGCGTGGTCCCAGCACAAACATCTGAGCAAGCGTGAAAATTTGAAGAAAACCAAGATAAATCCGAGTTTCGGGGGAGTATTTGTCCTACAGAAATGATGATTCGGAAACATGGTCACATGCAGAGATCAGGGATAGATCGACATACTGCTGATATCGTTGGCGACATATAACCGAGCTTCAAGCAAGCAGCAGGAAGCATGCTAACACATGCAGAACTTCAGCGGGAAAAGATGATCGCATTCATATCATGAACTCACCTCGCAAAGGAACCTACGTGAGTTTTCAACAATACCGTAAAACAGTCCTTTATAATCTGTCCTGCCGAATGTCTTTGTAGTTCACGGGAGTGCTTTACAGCGATCCGGACGGCAAGACACAGCGTGAGGGCCTCCCATGCAGTGCTGATTATCCAAGATATGGAACCCAGAAGGACCGCGTCTCCCTCGAATTTAATAGCGCACTGATAGGTCCCGGAGAGAACAAGCTCTTCTGTAATTCATTAATGAGCCATATGCACTTCGAAAGTCTGTCAATCTTACCCCCTGAAAAATGCTTCATCGTTATTGCGGCTACCACTATATTGACAACAGCAACAGCTAGGAAGGCGATAAGCAGAATTATCAGCACCGTTCTGGAATGCTGATACATGGCGTGCAACCGAGCAATCATGATGACTAGTGCAATGTTTCAGCCAAGTCAATATCACTATCACTGAGGAATTGCAACTGCATATCTCACCGCCCAGCATTGTAAATACGGTTACGCCTATCCAATATAGTGCAACGTACATAATCTGACCTGAAAGATCAAGTAAGCGCCTGACCACGGATGATCACATACTTGTAACAAACTCACAACTGTGACGGTCATTATGTTCGAACAAAAAAGTTTGTCAAGGATCTCACTCACCCCTACATAGGGTAACAGTTAGCTCGACGGGAATGGCAGAGATTAGCTTAGAATGCTTACTGCATCTGTCACCAAGATAGGAAGACTCACTGTATGACACAGGTCAAAAGAAAAACACACAGTAAAGGTGAGGAGACGTACTAAGCATGTTGATACTGATCGTGAGAGATAACTGATTAGTATGATATCGTTTTCTTAGCCTTCCAAACGTACACGGCATGAATTATTCCAACATAGCGCACCTAGGATTTCTTCGAGTCAGCACAACTTAGCGATTTGTAATGTGAGTCACACACACTGAGATATAGAAAAGTCATCAGGGACCAGCGTTGCCTCTGTTGCGAAAGAATTGTATTTTCGCATTGTTCTTCTAGTGCGGGACTCTACTCACCCAGATTAGTTCGACCTACGAAAATCACTTAGCCAGTTAGCCACTCCATTACTAATGGCACCAACTAACCTCTTGTCCGAATGTCAGTGCTAGAATTTTCATAAGGATATCAGTTGTTCTGTAATACTATATTGCTCACCCCAATCATACATCAACATGGCAGAGGAAGCAACTGCGAAACCGCGGCCAGGGTTAGATTTATGTATCACCCTCTTCGTCTACGATCTAACTGGTTGTCCACGAACCTGCAAAACAACTAGTAATGTGACTCGCATTGATAGAAGGCCACCAACTGGGATCATTTGAGATTAAAGTCATTCTGTTGTAGACCGGTGTGAGGGAGCGACGAACTTGGTGGAGTACGGCAAATGGCGTTTGTGATAGATATATCACCTTCGACGCTTTTTTTGACCGAAAAGAGGGTTACATGCTAGTATCGGCGATGAATTTGCAAAACAGTCCACGTGGGCGGAGTGTTTGAACACTGCAAAAGCTCAACGATCTAACGCTCCCCTGAAAAGATGGGATAAGCTACCATCGAAGAGATCTTCCATCCCGATCGGCATTGGCACCCCTGATCTCGGCTTGGGGATGCTTTCACATTCTGTCGGGATGATGCTAGTCAGACATGGAAAACACAGCAAGTCCACATGAAGCGGGTCTGCTCCTCGGCGACGAGCCCCTCGTCTTTATATTATAACAAGGATTCCAAAAATAGTAAGCATGAAACCTATCTCCATACCCAATTTGTACAGTTGAAACTTGATGCGGTGATGATCCCATCAATTTTCACAGCTTGATACACGAGCCATTTCATAGCAATATTTGATAATCCGGGATTGGTATCTGGTGAATAGTGTACATCGCAATCAAAATCACAAGGTATGTGTTGATACAGCGGCAGTGAGCGACGACATGCAACAAGGATGCTCAGGGCATTGATGCGATCGCGAGAATCGTGATGCTACTAGGCGTAGCGGAACTGATGAGTCTGACTTATGTTCCGGTTTCGAACGGTCGGAGTCGGAGGTGTTTGTGCTTGTTGAATTCAAAGGCTTCCGACTTACTTCACGTCAAGCACAATGGAACCAGTAGGACAAAAATACACTCTCTGGGCGAATCTCTACGCTTCTCCTTTTGTTGGTCCTATTACAGGAGCGGAATGACCTCCATACTCTAATTCCTCTTCGATGATCTCCCAGTCAAACAGGCTTTTTATCTCGAGCCCACCATGCGTGTCGCAAGACATTTCATTGAGTGTGTATTTGTTCATGACTTCTGCTCTTACCTAGCACTGAGCATCGCTTCTCAGCATCTTCATCCTATTGGAGATATGGGACTGTCCAGGAAACGTCACCGTCGACACACTCGGTCTATCTCTCGCCAATGTCTCAACTATGGTCTTTGTCATACACATCCGAGTACGTATGCTGAATCTATCTGCCGACTATCATCCTCATTTAGATACACAGGGTCTCTACCAACATCCCGTCTCAAAGCTCGTAGAGTTCAGTCGCTGTGTACCAAATCAACCCGTACATAAATTTTAAAGTATTTGTACACAAAGCGGAAAGGCTTCAAGAGGACAACAACATCGGTATGCCAGTCCCGCATACATTATTTGCTCGTGAATGAAACAGCACGCAGGACACTTCCGTCAGATACATGAATGCGTCATGGACCGCCTCAGACGAATCTCCCGAATTTGAGTCCATATATGACCACTCTATTCGAGAGGCGTTCTCTCGCGTGCTTTATAAACTGATCGATCCCCTATCATCTCTTTTGCTCTGTATGTGCCTTCATTGCTACTTATATCCACAGGTACATCTCATCACTTGCAGAACACAGCATCTCCCAAAGCTTTCCTATTCGATACATTCAGTAAAATCCACGTTGCAACAGATGCCTGTCGATTGTCCCCAACGCTAGCACCAACGCCATCGCCTATAGCCACGACATCAACTCCCACCTCTGGCACCACTCTCACCGGAACGCGAACAGCTTCGGCGCTAGGGTTGATAGACAAACGAGATGTGATATCATTGAGAAACCCTGAGGCTAACAAAAGATCGACAGTCTGCTGGTTGGAAGTTCAAACGTTTACGCGTTATGGTCCATGACCAGTCTATAAATTTCACACACTCGATGTTAGCAGCTAGCATCTGTATTAAATGCCACACCCCACGCCCAACTGGTATGACTATGAACGCGAGGATGGATGGTTCAGGAGTTTCCGCGCTCCTAACATTGTAAGTTCTACCAAGCTTCGCTATTGTCATTACGGTATGTAATTGTCATATCCATACTGTCGTCAACAAGTTCCGCTTCGCAACAGTATAGTCTTGTGGAAGATCGAATGTGATGAACGTCTTGGTTTCAACCTTTTTCCAATCGTTGCAAACAGAAAGAACTATTTTTGCAAATGATCGCGTCCCCTTCAATCGCATCAATAGGTAAGCAATGCACGATTTCGGAAGGACAGGATCCTTGCTTTCCCCTTGGATCATGGCATAGTTGATGATACCCAAAGAGTATGCGTACCGATTTGTCCCAGTCCTCTCAAGGACAGGAAAAGAAGGGCCTTCGATTGTCAGGCCATTTATTTTGAATGCATTGCAACGAAACGTTGCGCGATCTTGGATGGATGTGGCTGGGGGGATTAAAGTAGTGACAAGGTCGACCGGTATGACGAGGAGCTGTATACGCAAACCTCTGTTTGTCAAAGCGAACTCGCGTTTTTCATCTGTTGCAAGGCTTCTATCGTAGTGAGGATGTCCTAAGTAGCATGCTGGAGCAGAGGGGAATGCAGTGGACAGTCTGTGTATCTGTGCGGGTTTTCCGGCCCAATTCAGGACTCCTGGCTCGTTTGATACCTGCATGATTGCTTCAACGAGCCTGAAAAATGCCCGTTGGGCGCCTTCCCCGTATGCGATCGGAATGCTGACATCGAAAATTCCCATGAGGGAATAAGCTACGTCCTCGCTTCTAGTCGTTTTCCTGTCTGCTGCCCATACCATTCTTGTGTCAACCTGGGAGGGACCAGGGACGAAGGCTTGTAGATCTTGTGATGAGATACCGGTGACTTCTGTGATGATGTCCAAGATCGGCTGATCGGCAGCAGGGCGATCCTTGTCGATTGTGTAGTTTGTTAGCGGCATCCAATCTTTGCGGAAGAATCTTATTTTCCTAGGAGCGAGTAGCTCTTGTAAGGTCCATCCTCGAGTGAACCACTCGTCGTTATGAAATTGATCTATGGAGGTCGTTTCGGCAAGGTAGGCGATGCAGATGTGTGCATTGCGATACCACCTAAACATACACCGGAGAGACTCGTCCAGCTCAGAGCTGCTGGACTTGTCAATGCAGCAAGTGTCTGACCAGACGAGCTCCACTCCATAAACTTTGTTGGCGACCCGGCAGAACTCTCTCAACTTGTCCCAGCCTGGCCCATCCACTGTTTTGCCGCTCATTATGTCTTGAAAGCTTGGTTCTAGTGAAAGCCAGCGGTGCGAAAGGATGCCGTATTTCAATTGTTCTCTGATCTTCCCTCCGATCGCTGCACTTCTGTCGATTGGGTGGTTCAGATCAGCTTCTGTAATGTGGTCGATATGAGGTTGATAAAGACGCTTCAACGAGTCTCTCTCGAGGAGCTTCATCTGCGGCAAGTATAGCAGGCGGACAGGCACTTCATCGAAAATATAACGGTTGAAGGCATCTTCAACATCGCGGAGTCCCATAGTCTAGTTCTCGTCAGTCTCGATCAGAATTCTGTTTCCACAACTCACCCCTTGTCCAGGATGACTCGGATGGTTGTTCCAAAGGTTGGATCAAAGTAGCTGCTGGACGTGCATGTGCGGTCTCTCGACCCACTACTAGTAGTCTGTTGAAGTCCTTCATAATGATCCGTTTGTAGGTCGTGCTCAGCCACGGTCACGGCGGTGGTAATGACCGGCATTACCACGAATCACCTGATTGACACAGCCTCAGGGCCTAGGCCTTAGGGTTGTCTGGTTCATTACGGACACCCGGGTCGTGATGTAGTACACGATGTGCTCAAATCTATAGTTTGCCTCAGACGGACTGGTCACGAGTCTAACCATGTGTCCGATTCAAGTATTTTCAGCCCACTGGCAAGCGCTAGTGTTTCCTTTCCCCCATAACTGGCCCGGTGCTACACAGCGGCCGCTGCCAGTAACCTGGTTTCAGTTCGTATGTACTTTGATTGTTAGCGATTCGCCTTCAACTAACAGTGCTCTCCAGAATCCCTACCAAAGATAGGCTGATGTATATCTCCCATATCATTGCTAAAACTGCAAAACTGACATTGACCGTGGCTCAAGTTTTCCCTGCCTCCTTCCATAATCATGAGGTGAGTCGCCAACCGGCGCCGCGTGTCCAATCTACTGGATCAGCAATGTCGGCTCATTCATTTTTCTAAAGTTCCGATCTGCTCTTCACCTTGCCTAACCTCACAGACCACATTATCACTCCCAACGGTTCATATCCGCAACCCGGAGCATTTGGCAACGTGCGCCAATGTGTTTGGCGCTCCGACTTATCCACGGAACTTGAGGTACGAGACATGTCGGTGAACGCATATGAAATTCAATCCTAATTCCTAAGGCAGGTCGCAGTAAAGACTATACAAGTGCCTTGTGAGAGAAGAAAGGAAATCGTTAGTATATTCGTGACGATAGCTTCAAACCTTTTAATCATCTCACAGGTACATCATGATTTAATCATATGGGGACGATTGAACCATGAAAACATAGCTCGTCTCTTTGGAGTCGCATCGGGATTTGGCGATCCGGCCACATCCATTTCCATGGTGTCCGTTTGGTTTCCAAACGGGACGCTCACTACTTTTCTTTCTAGTCAGCACGATGCATTTAACCACAGACAACGATTTGGGCTTGTAAGTATTGTGGCAGTAAAGATGCCCCGTATAAATACTTATTATTTATCCCAAGCTCCAAGATATTGCAGCTGGCGTGCTTTACTGTATGGATATGCTTGCTCGCATGCCGTATAAAAACTCATTTGCTGCTTCTTATTGTGATAGTACACACATCTGAGGTGGTGCACGGTAACCTTTCAGGCGTAAGCTGAGTTTTTGTCACGCTGTGCTTACCGTGCTCACGACCTCAAACAGAATAATGTGTTGATTGATAGCCGGGGGAAAGCGTGCCTTACTGACTTTGGTCTGTCCACCGTATGTGGAGGCTTAGTACAACGTGCTGTATATATCGGATGCCCTGGAGCTATCCGTTGGGCTGCTCCGGAGCTCATCATTGGCGCTGGTCAGCATTCCACCTTTGAAAGTGACATATATTCCTTTGGCAGTATTATGCTGCAGGTAGGCTTTGGTTCATATGCCGGATGTTTGAAGTCAATGTGTGCCTATAAAGGTACTCTCTGGCGAACTTCCGTGGTCAGAAGTAGCGGCCGAGCACCTTATCATCAAAAAACTTACCGATGGGAACATTCCAAGACGACCCCCGAGTGTCTCTAAAAAGCACTGGGCTTTCATTCGAAGCTGCTGGGCGCCAAGTCCTCGCAACTCAGCTCATCCATCCTCTCGTCCATCTGCCTTCCAAATTGACAACTTTCTGAAGACCACTCGAACACATGGCAAGATAGATCGCCTTTGTAATTGATAATATAATGATTCGGCATTTTAGTGTGGCGCAGCCATGATTCGACCCTTCGTAATGCCGTAGGATCCATGATTCACCGGATTACCGCGCGAATCATCAGTCTAGTAAATCGTCACCCAACAGAGCCCAGAAATCGTGGAGCTGCCCGACTTTTGGACGGCGCTATAACTCGCCCTGCCGTCATCCCCAAAAATACTGAGCCAAGCAGTAATAAAGACGTTTCAATTCTGAACGAATATACAATCTCCGATGTGTTTGCTCACGACGACACCAGGAACCAAGACTTTGATGTTGAGAATTCGTCTGTGATTTTATCTCTGTAAACCATGGACTAATGGTCATTGTACAGGAACAAACATCCTATCATCCGCCAGAACATTGACACTTATCAACAGAGCTCGCTGAATAGTGGCAACACGTCCACACGTCCTAAAAAGGCTAAACCTCAGGCTTTTGAGGGTGATCTTGTTAACCAGATTATTTGACTTCATGATTTTGCGGTAGCAAATGAAGGTTTTCGTGACATCTGGCACTGTGACCATCATCTCGCTGGTTCAGGAAAAGTGCAGGTACGTCACATGTGCACCACTATCATTAGCTATCGACTTGTTTTGCCTGTAGGTCGCTGTTCAGGTGATACATCTCGACCCCGCACAACCTGAGTTGCGAACCAAACTACTTAGGCGGTGTAAAAAGTGGCTGAAACTTGACCAAAGAAACATTGTTCGCTTCTTTGGCCTGACCTCCAGTTTCGGTGTCTTTCCGGCCTTGGTTACCGCATGGATGAGCCTTGGAACTCTAACCCAATACTTGGACAATCAATATCCGTTTCTTTCGACATTGCTCAAGTTCTCCCTTGTTCGTATTTTTGCAACAGCTATCCTGCGCATTCTGATGGTGGTGTTACACAGGTGGATGATATTATAAGTGGACTCTGTTACAGTTCGTTCCCTACTTTCTTCTAGTGACAACTACTTAGTTTATCCAACTAGTCCACTCCCAGGATATCGTACATGGGCATTTAACTGGCGTGGGTGCTGCCATTGTATGTTGGAGGGACACGCTATACTGACGTCTTATCAGTTCAACGTATTGATTGATGAGAGTGGCAAGGCTTGTTTAGCCAATTACGACCTTGCCGACTTGCTTGTTGCACATTATTCAGTTGTTCAAGAGCCAAGATGGACCGATCCTCAGTTGATCTGCGGGGCCAAGTCCCAACTACCCACAATGTCAACTGATGTCTATGCCTTTGGTTGTATTATGCTTCAAGTGAGTTCATAATCTGCCATCACGTGTGTAGTTTTGACTAGGGCACCAAGATACTGGTGGGGAAACTGCCCTACTGGTGGATCCGGAACTGCCATGTGGTCATAGCAAAGTCCGGGAACCAGCTACCGATGCAGGATGACCCCGAAGTTCCCAAACTCGAAGAATGCTACAAAGAATTTCTTCAACGATGCTGGGCTCCCGCTCAATCCCGCGCATCGAGCACTGAAGTAGCTGAATTTGTGACTGCTCAGCTTCACGCATTGAACGAGTCATAGCTCTGGTGAATAGCGGTATAAAAGAGTTCGTGCACCCGTTTACTCGTGGTCTCTCTTGAATCCCGTAGTTATAGCAGCTTATTTGCTTTCCAACCACCCATCCCTAATTTCTTTTTCGCTATACGGACTATCATTATTGCCAGCCATTTACATAAATTGGTGACTATATTCACATGGAACGACATACAAGCTCTGCAGTTCGTGTTTATAATTCTCGAACCTAGTCCAGCCTTGGGGTCCCATTTACGTTTTCATTCTCCCTCTAACCGTTCAAAATTCTTGTAATTGGTACCATGCATAGGCTTGATTGTGTTCTTTATAGCGGATGGCATTCTTCATATCTCTGGAGAATGTAAGTAAATCCTACTCGGCTCATAAGATAACCGTGTCGCCTTCTCAGAAGTGCTCATGCTATGTACCAGCAGCACGGATTGCTTTAGTACTGAGGACAATAGGCCAGGCTTTCATCATGTTAGACTGGTGTTATTTCTTAAATTTTGATCATTGATACGTGCGCATTCTTCCATGAAATGATATAGATAAAAATAAAGATACGGGTTGGAGTGTAGATCGTGACTATCGTGAATCGTAGAGATCAGGATATGAAGTCATAGATACATATACAAAGAACGGGATGAAATCAACGTTTACGGAAAAAAAAATTGCCTCTCCACACTTTGCGCTATCGTACATCCGGACGTAATGAGAGGAAGTGACCATCTTAGGGACTCTTGTGGATACGCATGTGCTGGTTCAGATTGTCACGGCGGCTGAACTCCCTTTCGCACCCCCCAATCGGGCAGACCCACGCTATGTCAGTTAAAAAGTCAGTCACTCTTGCATGCAGGAAAGACATAAACGTCTCCCTCACGTTTATCGTTGGTGTGAATGGACCGGATGTGCCTTTTGAGGTGCTCGCTTCTGACAAAACACTTGCTGCAGCCATCGACGTGGCAGGTATATGTCCTGGTGCCCTTCTTCGACCTGTCTTTGCTGCGTGCGTAGACGGGACCACCCCCTGAAGAGACTGGAACCTTGCGTCCGCGGGACTTCTTTGTCAGATTGGGAACGGGGATTGGAAGACTGACGTCCTGGCGTCTGCGACGATGAGGCGGTTCTGGCAAAGACTGGAATAGGGGCGAAGCTGGATCAGCTGAGCGGCATACAGGAGAGTCGGATGCGTCAGAGGGGTAATATAAGTCTCCCTCGCTTTCGGCGTCAGAGTCTTCTTCAAATAGCTGGTTGCCCTGGCGCTGCCAATGAGGAGCACGAATGGGGGGAGAAGGCATGGAAGGCAGATGGTCCGAGCTAGGCTGGGGCGGCGGGAGGGATGACGGAGATAATGATAATCCGTTGGAGATGACAACGTCCGACATACACACGGTACGAAGAGGTGCTTGTTCCGTGAGGATCTGCGGTGAAGGGAGTTCTGCACGCACGAAGCCTAGGGCATCAAACTGTCCTTCTTCGTCACTGCTGAACCACTGAGAGATACCAAGCCCGTATGCGGGCTCGACCGAGGGTTGGAGTTCGAAGCAGTCGGATGCAGGGGAGCTGGTAGAACTACTTCCGATACTGGGGGACATAGCATTGAAATCCGAGTGGTATCCGAGTCCATCGGCGTCATACATGGTGGAATAATTGTCAGGGGCATAAGACGCAAATGAAGTGTCAGCCATCCACAGGTCGGGGCTGCCGTCAGGACTGGAGATATCTTCATGGAACATCCCAGCAAATTCAGTCATGAAGGATGTCGTGCTGAACGAGATATAAGGGGGAGTCAAGGGTATTGTGTACCAGCCAAATAACTGGAAACGAGTATAAGTACTCGGTCTGGAAATCAATTGAATGGGAGTCCATGTTCGCCGAGCCTACCAGTTTGGAACAATTGAATGGCGGTGGCTGACATAGTCTGGAGCCATTCGGTGCCGCTGAGATCTAAAATCAATAGAGTGATCTGAGGTGAGACATTTGGAGGACTTTGGGGTACACATCGAATTTGTCATAGAGTCTTGTTCGCTCTAAGATGAAATTTCCGGAACTTTATCAGAGTCAGAGTCATTGTACCATCCACGGAAACAAATAGACACGACCAAGAGAAGGCTCACCAAACGACATCCTTCAGTACTGCAAGTCTTATAGATCCGGGAACACGTTTTAACATGTGAAAAAAATCGCACGTGTTTAGTTCAACACTTAGGTGCACTGATGCCCCTCTTAGTGGACGAATTAAAGTATTGAACGACACATGAGTTCAGACGTCCAACAGCAGTGCTATCTCATGAGAGGAATGTAGAGATGTAGTAACTTGGCATAGTCAAGTGCATAAAGAGTGGCCAACCACAAGCCGCGGTAGTATTTGGTCAGATGATTAACACGTGAAAATGTGTACCCCAATTATTGTGATAATCTTGGTCTGCACGTGCAATTGCGAGTGTCTCTTCTCTAGCATCTCGCTTTTTCTGACAATTACTTATTCCATCGTCAACATCGTTCTACGATGTGTGAAAAGTCTCCACCGCCGTCTTCAACTGTTAGCAAACACATGACATTTGAAGATGAAGACGAGAGCGTGCGCATAGCCGTGAGCGCGCTGGGCGATATGAGGAATGGTGCCAGAGCTTCTGGAAGCAATGGTGAGTAGACTTCACCCACTCGACAACGATGATATAGATGGCACACATAAGCCCAAATTCCTACACCAGCTTCGAGCGCGCTATCGACCCCATCCCCTTCTCTGCCGCCGGATACGACCTCTCCAGATTTTGTAGCCAGAGTATCAAATTTTCCACTTTTCAACACTGCTCTGCGAGCATATGAACATGGTAAAGCCAGTTCTCGCGTTGTCAAGGTGAGCTTCTTGAAACCTATACGCGTCTTTATTGACCCCAATCATTCTTTAGTATGGTGCTGAGATGATGGAGTCATCAGTCAAGACCATATCCCGTCCCGTAATCGATAGGCTACCCGTTGATGTCAATCAACTGGACGAGTTTGCCTGTAGGCAACTCGACAAAGTCAGTACAATCTTTTTTGTGCTCAAAATTAGCTTATCTCCATTCATTTTCGCAGCTCGGTAGATATGGTCCATCATCAAATACTGACCTCGAACGGATGCAAGTTGATGAGACATCCAGAGAGCGAATACCAGGGGAAGAGCAGACCAGTCGGGATTTGTTCAGCTCGCGGCAAGTACACCAAAGCACGGACCCACAACCATGTGATTGCATCATTACATTATTTTATCATATCATCTCATCTGTCATTATAGCCCGTAGTCCATCCCCTGTTCATCCATATTCGAACGATAACAAAACACCATCCCCACAAAATCAAATTACTACACCTGCTGACATTCAAGGTCAGCAAGCAGTGGTGCAGAGGAGTCGCTGGCAAGCTGTCCTCCTAGAAGCAGGAGGCATCAGTGCTGCCGTAAGCGAAGAAAGTATGCGGCGTCTCAAATACTGTCTTCAATGGCTCCAGGTTTGTCCTTCGTATTTCCTCCAGATCTCATACGCATGTGATTTCCCACCAGTACGCCACACTGCATATTGATGCCCAGATCCTCATTCTCAGGGATTTTATTGAATCCTTGCATCCATCGGACTCTTCATCAGGCACCGATATTCTTATCTCGCCTTCGCATATGCGGACGCTAACCGACGTTCGTCGTGATATTGTGCAAACCATTCGCCAAGTGGTTGATATTGTAAGCAAATATGCCGGCAGTGCCCTCCCGGAGCCCGCTCGGTCACGTGTCAGGGGCTTCATCTTGCATCTACCTCAGCGCTGGGCAACTGCCAGTGTTAATTCAGCTCCTGGTATTGCAGACGGTGCCCCAGGTGCTAGTTCAGCAGCTGGCGCTGCTGCTGGCGGTGCTGGATCTATGAGACGTGCACGGACCACCAGACATAAGGAACGCAGTGCCGGTGGCCCTGACCGCTCTCAAGCATGTACACCTACATCCTCTCGAGCATCATCCCCTTTGGGATCTGTACGTGTAGGCTTACGGCCGACGACCAGTGCTGCCACACAGGCTGCACAGCGTGTTCTGGCACTTGCTACAGAAAGTCTAGACATGATGCGCGGTGTTACCGGCGTCGTTAAGGACAGTCTGGACCGTGCTGATGCGTATGTCAAGTTCTTTCACATAATGCCCTTGTTAACTGATATATTTTCAGATGGGTTGAGCGTCTGCGCGTTGTTGGCTTACAGCGCCAGCAATCTCATGATGATTCAGAGCCCTTTGATCCTGCCTCATCGCTATTCGCACAACACCAAAGGCAAAATTCTATTCCAGGTCTTTCATCCACTTCCTCGACACCATTCTCTTCTATACCCTCTACGCCTGCAGCTAGTTATTCTACACCAGCCACGCCCGCTGCTTATTCCTCTTCTGATGCCCTTGGAATGGGTCTCCGGTTGGGCGAGGCGAGCGCTCGAACGTCATTGAGCGAGCTCCAACTCGATGGAGAAACATACGAAACAGCGCGTAGTGCGCCGAGAGACTTGTGCGAGGGAGAGCCACAACGACGGAAGCCCGATCGCATATGGGAGAGGCAGAGCCCCGACAATGCTATACCAAGCAGAGATGGAATGATAGTGGACGGTGTATGAAGATCAGTATGGTGGTACATCTTTTCTCTTATTCCCCTATCCTTTCTATATCCATGAACTTTATATGAAGCTCCTTTATTTAGTTACGTGCTTGCGTGCTGGCAGGATCTCTAATCGTCTACGTGATGTACTAGTACTTGATATTACTCATCCTAATTTATTGCTTGGTTCAAACGCAGGTACTTCGATCCAGTAGTGATACAACAAGAAATAGCTTTGCCTAGACCTTTCAAAGATACTTCGAAACACAACATGCTAAATAAATACCACGACGGATCCTCGGCCAAATTTCTCCTCCACTCGGCAAGTATTTTCCTACACAGTACTGCTAGTTGATACATGTACAAGCTCTTGGAAGACAATTGAATTCATGCTGATTTCTGTGTCGGAGCCTGCCACGAGTTTGGCGTGGTATTCTCGAACGCCCAGGATGAGTCGTGGTCCCAGCACAAACATCTGTACGACCAATAAAATTTGAAGAGAGCCATCGAGTACTACTCGAGCTTCGACAGAATATGAACTCTACAGAAATGATAAGCAGTGGTTATACGCAGATATCGGCGCAGGTCGGCACACCAAGATTTCTGGAGAGAGTTCAACAAGCTGAAGGTAAGAGACACCAACAAAGCTAACATGTGCAAAACTTGAGCAGACAAATATGACCACATTCGCATTACGAGCTCACCTTGCAAAATAAAGCACGTGAGATCGTATCAGCACTCTGAGACAGTCCCCGATGGTCGATCCTGTCGATGGGCCGAGTCGTCGCAGCTCACGGAAGTGTTTCACAGCAACCCAAACTGAAAGACACAGTGCGAGGACCTCCCAAACAGTGTTGAGCATCCAAAGCATTGAGAGCAGAAATTGGGCGTCCCCTTCATATACATAACCACACATATACCTGCCGGAGAGTATCAGTTCCTCTGTTATTTGTCCAATGAGCTGTGTTCTTCAAGTCAGCAAGCGAAGCCTTACCCCCTACAACGTACTTGAGGTCTATTGCCAAGATTACTCCGCAGGGGATGGTAACAGCCAGAAAGGTAATAACAAAGAAGATGAGCATCGTTCTAGATCCCTGATACATTGCATGTAAGCGAGCAATCATAATGACTTGCATCAGGTTTCAGTCGAGTCGACATCACAGAGGTGTCGCGGCCGGATAACTCACCGCCCAACATGGCAGTTACAACTGAACCTGTGCCAATTAGTGTATAGCCAATAATAGTGCCTGAAACACCCAATTAGCGAACACCAGTATCAGACACTCCAACTTACACCTATTGACTCATCATGTTGAACCGAGTTCAATGGTTGGAATCTCACTTACCCCTACAGATAAGTGTATTGATTGGATGGGACTCGGAATGAGATGGTTGCGGAATACTTACTGCATCTGGCAGCGAGACAAATGGCGCAAATCCTGTGTGCCGCCGGTCAGAAGAATTGAACATGGCGCATATGAGACATACCTAGAATAATGACACTAGATGAGCTATTAGCACGGTGTCAATTCAAATTGGTTAATCTCGACACATACACAGAATACGGTATTCCAATATAGCGTATCTAGAACATTTTTGAGTCAGCCCAAGTTGCCACCAAGCTAAAGCAAGACATGAGGTACGAACAATCAAATACAGCACGGTCATGAGAGACCAGCGTTGTCTCTGTCGCGAATTCATTGCATGCACTTTCTGATACGGAACTCTTGTCACTCACCCAGATGAGTTCAATCTATGACATTCTTAGCGACTCGGAGTTGACTGCTCCAGCGATAACATCGACGTACCTCTTGTCCGAGTGTTAAGACTGGAAATATGATGAGAACGTCAGCGATTTTCGAACACTGTCCAGGCTGCTCACCCCAATCGTATACCACCACGACGCCCGCGGCAACTGCGAAACCGCAAGTCAACTTTAGATCTGGATATCTTGATGCGACAAACCTGTCCAATAGCTGACAAAAATATCCAAATTGATATTCGGCCAGTAACTGCGATCATTTGAGACGTATGTCATGTTCGAGGGATGGGTGAGCGAATGGGAATGTCAGTGATGTATGACGATAGTGCTCGTGCTAGATATACCACCGTTCAGCCCTTGTATCACCAAAATCAGCATGATGGCAATGGAAATGTGGCCACGCCTCAAGAGGTGAAACGGTGCGAAATCAATCAAAAAGCCGGCAATCAAATTAGATTTTGATTTCCGAGTACTGTTCCAACTCGGAGCCTTGATCGGTTCGGTAACACTCATCCACAGCACCAACCTCCCCGTACACCATCGCTTAGTATACAAAACAAATGATTACGCCTGTAACATAACATTAACATGGTTCAAAGACAAGGAATCTTCGAAGTTTGCATTGCCACCTACGCTCCGTCCAGGTTTGGCTAGGTCGCTTGAAGGTTATCCCAGGGGTTGTACGTCATCACGACACAATAACAAAGATAGGGGCCACAACTTCACCACCAAATGTCAGCCCGTCCTCGCAACCAACCCAATCTTCCCCGTATCAAACTCGAGCTGAGCGAAGACGCATTAAAATCAATCAACGCGCGTCTCCTCAAGCTCGATGTCGTCAAAAACACCCAAGCCATCCATTTTTCGCCCATGTTCTCAATCTATGCCACCACCGTACTGCTCGCAGCTATCATAACGGCATGCCCGGATCTCCTTGATCAGAGGTATGCACGCGTGGAAGAAGCGATGCAGGCGCTGTGCGAGAATTTGAGATTGCAAGAGGATTTGAGGGAGGCGATTGAGAAACAGGATTTTACCGATGTGTTGAATATTGGTGTGTCTTGCGTCGTTGTCGGAAAACTGAGACTGATTGAAATCATGTAGAGATGCTGCAGAAACCTGCTCGCGCGAACAGTATGTTTTGCTGTGCTCTCCGAATTATCATGCCTGCTTGTCTCATATTTGTGTTTTCGAACCAGTACGTTTGCTTAACAGAAGGAGAACATTATAGGGGCAGGACCGGGCAGAACGAGGTGAAATAGTGTAAAAGTACACCTGCGGTATGCGAATCAGCAAGGAATCAGAGTTTCAGGTCGGAATTGTAACACAATGTATACACCCACTAATACTTATCACTTTTTCTGACTCTCTTCATGACCGCCTCGACATACCCATCCATATCTTTCTCCCAGCGCTTCACAGCTCCATTCCGAACAACATAAAATGCCCTCTCCTCCTTCACGTCATTCTCATCATCATCATCATTATCGTCCTCTCCCTCCATCAGTTGCTTCATGAACCATACGTCATGGCTCACCAACACCAAAGCTCCCTCGAAGCCCTCCAACGCCTCCACCAGCCTATCCACAGTACCCATATCCAAATGATTCGTGATTTCATCAATCACAAGCACATGAGGTGCATCATACAGAATGATCGCAAACGCAATGCGGTTCCGCTGTCCTCCACTGAGGTTTGCGATTTTCCGCAGAACGGTATTCCCACTCACGCCGACAGTGCCAAAGTGCGCCCGACACTCTTGTTCTGAAAGCCCAGGGTGCCGGGAGCGCATCTCTTCAATGGGTGTACGGGTTAGTGTGAGCTGATCGACAACGTGCTGTGAGAAGTAGCCGATGCGGAGCGAAGGGTGTCGGTATACTTCTCCTGTTGTCGGCTGCGTCACGCCCACCATCATGTTTAGTAGCGTTGTCTTGCCGCACCCATTCGGGCCGAGAAGCGCTATGCGAGCATGGGGCCCGACATCCAGGCTGACGTTCGTCAGTACATCCTTGCTCGAATTTGGATAGCGGAACGATGCATCCTTCACAGTGAACACAGATCCGTGGTACCGCAACGGAGGAGGATCCGGAATCTTGATCGACGCCGTCTTCAAGGCCTTCTCAATCTCAATCTCCGCGCGCGCTGACGTGTGATACCCGGCCCAATAAGACACCTTGAACCGCTTCCCGTCCTCCGTCTTCTCCATTCCAAGGCGTTCGAGCTTCTTCTTCCGGCTTGCCACTTGCCCGAGCCGTTTGTCATCCCCTGTCGCACGAGCCTGCTGCACATTGTGCTGGATGCTTGCTACGAGCTTCGCTCGCTTCTTCGCCTGCGTATCCATCAGAGCCTGCTTCCGTACTCGCTGCTCCTCGCTTGTACTTTCGTAATCTGCAAACGACCCCGCGTGATATTTCAACATCTTGTCCCGCAGAATAATCGTTTCCGTCGTCACCGCGTTCAAGAACGCCCGGTCGTGAGATACAATGACAAGTGTCAGCCCCGCTGTTTCATTGATCAGATATTCTTGCAGCCAGAGGATCGCAGGCAGGTCAAGGTGGTTCGCTGGAACCATGAATAAGTGGACATCATGTCATATAAAATGACTTACTTGGTTCGTCGAGTAGGAGGATGTCCGGGCTAACAAATAGCGCCTTTGCAAGTGCAATCTGCATCCGCCATCCACCGCTCAGGGTCTGTACCCTGGCATCGATTTCAGCCTCCCCGAATCCAAGCCCTCGCAGGATCTTCCTCGCCTTTGCTTTCCGCGCATCGAAATTGATCAGCGCGAATTTATCAAAGACGTCCGTAATGAGTTCCGTCGCCATGTTAGATGAGATGTAGACTTGTGGATCCTGAGCCTTCAGTGCAGCGAACTCAGTTTCTATCGCGAGCTGCGCCTGACGGGCATCATGTCCGCGTGTGCCAGAGCGTTTCTGTGCGAGTTGTTGTGCGGTGATCACGCAGGTTTCCATTCGAGAAATGAGAATGCTGTGAAGTGCAACATTCAGCTGGGCGGTGTTTGACGAGGTGGACTGAGGTGCATCTCCGAGTATTGCGTGCAAGACTATAAGAGCGGGTTTTAGCTTGCGCAAACTGTATAAGAGACAGTTTACCTTCATATTCATGCAAAGCCTTCGTGCATTCTTTGTCTGCTTCAAGTACTTCATTCACCACAGTGGTGTTCTCGTCAAAGGTCTCAAGCTGCGCGATGTGAAGGATATTGAGATTGCTTGGCATAGCAAGAATATTATCCGCCATGCATCTCATCAACACTGTGTTGTCCATGTATGAGCACGTTTATGTACAACAACAGAGAGCACTGACTCGTCTTTCCGACCCCATTCTGCCCCACGAGACCATATCGCACTCCATCCTTGAGCCGCAGATGCGCATCGACGAGGAGATCAAGGTTATTGACGCTAATGTTGACGGTATGCATGTCAATGTCTTTAGACGATGTCTCGAGGGTCTCGCGGTGAAATCGGCTCTGCTGGGCAGTTGCTACAATTTTGGGCTCTGCTTCTGTGGGTTGTGATGGGGAGGCAGACGCAGCAGCAGCCTTCTTTTGCGTGCGTTTCATGCGACGGGCCTCGATAGATGACATAGGTTTCGGTTGGTCTAGAGGCGGGGCATCATCCGTGGAAGGGCTAGGCGCTGATACTGACATCGAAGTCCTTCATCGATACTATTACATCAGACTCGAAACGAGAAAGTGAAAGCTGAACGCAAACCCTGAGGATGTCTTCACATTTCCCTTGCCAAGGGTAGCATAGAACTGGTTGATCTTCTCAGGGTCCACCTCAGCCTCGTCAAGAAACATCTCCGTGGCGTCTCGTATGTCCTTGGCTTTATCGGACATGGACATGACGGTGAGCATGGATGTGAGGTAGTTGAGCGCGCTGGGCTCCAGGGAGATCTGAAAGTCGTCTAGATGGGCTTTGAACTGGGTTGCTAGTGTATTTGAGGCCATGAGGATGTTGCTTGAGTCGTAGGTCTATTCTTGATGGGCCCATGTTGTCCTAGGTATTAAAAACTTGGTGACGACTCACATCTAGTTCAACGTTCTCTCGGTACCGTCTCGCATGCAGTGCTATTATTAATTTTGGCGTGAATCAAGACTGTTTTGCAAGGTTTGGCACGCTATTCTTGTTAAGTTACTACAGTCACCTGGCCATGGTCGTAGTCAAACCTTGAAGATACCCTCAGGACCGGGAACCGTCCTTGTGACGTGGTTTTATGTTCAAAACGAGTAATGGGCTGATACTATCGGACGCGTTACTAATGGTATTGTAGTCAACATTGGCAAGAGCTCAAGCTTTAAGACTAACCGCTTAAGCATCGCTTCACGCTGTTTCATCGCGCGAAACCGACGAGAACCTTGGCAGGACCCATGCCATACCCCAGGATAAACGTTTCATCTGCGGGGTAACGCATGCGTTGTAATTTTGTAAATGGACCAGATCAGACCCTTCTCAAGACAAATCGAGTCGTCAAGACAACTTCAATCACACCGAGTCCAGTTTTATCATTGACTACACGTCTTCCAACAGTTGTAATCCATTCGGGATACTTTGTACTGCAATGTCCATTCCATTTAGGGGCAGATGAGGTGTGCAGGACAGCAAATCATCATTCATGACGGGTGAAGATAACTCGTGTATCGCGATTCGGTGACCTTAAATAACAGGTGCAAAAGCTACCTGGAACCAATCCACCATCTTCAGTCACTTTGACATCATATACTCCTCCAAGTAAACAATGTCTCTTCCTGAGGACACGACCGTGCTTGTTGTCGGTGCAGGCCCCGCGGGTCTCACAGCTGCTCTTTCTCTCGTTCACCATGGGTGCCATGATTTCGTTATCGTGGATGCCATGGTCGAAGGACTGAGGGCATCGAGGGCGGTCACCATACACTCTGCAACCGTCGAGGTAAGCTATCTCTGCGTTCGTAAGAACGCCCACTGATGTTCTCGTGATCTTAGGCTTTAGCCAGCATCGATGCAGTAGATGGCTTACTGTCTCAAGCCATCAGGGGAAAGGGCTTCAAAATCACATCCCGTAGTTCGCAAATCTTTGAGGCCAAATTTGACTATTTAAAGAAATATTCCGCCCACCCTTACGCGCTCTATATCCCTCAAAATGTAACGGAGCTTGTACTTGGGCAGAAATTGCAGAGCCTTGGTGTTCAAGTGCAACGTCCGCACAGGGTAGTAGGAATGAAACAGAACGAGAAGGACCCTCGCGTTACCGACGTGTCCTTTGAGGACGGTCAAGTTATCAGAGCTAGATATATTATCGGCGCAGATGGTGCCCGCTCAATTGTGAGACCTCAGTGACCGCTAGCTTGGCTTGGTGGAATATCTGATGACCATTTCCAGATTCGTACCATCGCCGGTATGGGGTTCTCTGACCCAGAAGGCCCAAATGCAGCCGAAAACTCATTGGTCCAAATGGTCTCTGCAGATGTCACATTTGAGCCTGAACCTGTCGATCCATTCACCCTCGAAGGCTACCTCAGCGGCACGGTTTTTTCAGGCAATTTCTTTTTTTTTGCACCGTTCGGCAACAGCTTCAATGCCGAGCTCACGGGAGATGAAAAGCCCACTACGAAATCAATATTTCGCGTAGCTTGTGCCATACCTAGAAAGAACGGAGAGCCCCCCCATGCTCCACCAAAAGAGTACATCCAGAAGTTGATTGACACATACGGGCCAGCATGTATAACATCAGATCCGTCCCTTAACCCGAGACCTGTCAAAGTTGATCAGTTGGTCTGGTCCACACGTCACAGAAGCCAGTCCGCCATCGCCGATCGTATCTTCACGCGTTTTGGAGCCGCTATTTTTCTAGTCGGCGATGCAGCCCATATACATTCCCCTGCTGGCGGCCAGGGCATGAACCTGGGCATGAGGGACGCGATCTTCCTTACAGAGGCTATCACAAAGCATATTCAAGCTTCTGCAGAGAATCCCGATGGGGATGACGCCATTTTGCAGGAAATTGCGGATGCTCGTCACGCACGAGCACTAGAAATCATCGGCTTTACCAAGACACTTTCGAATCTCGCAAGCCTTGCGTACGATCCATATGCTTGGTGGATGCCGGTCAGTGGGGCCTCCGTCCGCGATCTGGTGCTACGGATATTGGGCGGATTTGACTGCGTGCAGTCGAAGGTTGCATGGGGCCTGAGTGGGCTTGGAAGACGGTAATCGCATATTTTTGGATGACTTGGTTACCATGTTTTTCATACGACATTTGTATTTCTTTTCTCAAAGATAGGATAAACATAAAAGTATCAAATGTTCCAAAGCGGTGTTCTTTGAGAACATTGCAGACCAAGTGGGCAAAATCATGCGGACTTTGAAAAACATCACACAATGAGATACAGTCAGAGTTGGCCTTTTTCGACACACTCTCTTAGACTGGTGACCTACATACTGGTCGGTCTAGCCACTTGTACAGATCAATTCGAACTGGAACGTAATTACTTACAGCAGCGTCACATGATGGCATGATAGACTGGTTGTTCTGCGTCTTGATCAGACCAAGATAAGCGAAAGCTTCGTCGAGGCCAAGTTGCTGTATATCAGTCCAGATATCCTGCATGTATCCGCAGATCACTACTGTAAGCAAAACCGAATTCAGTGTTCGTACATTGGTGTCAGAACGTGACACAAAACTGGCCCGAAACACAGATGTACGCTCCATTTGCATGCTATCTACTAATATCCAAGACTAACTTCTGATTTTCATGCAGGTCGTCATCACACTTGTTCCGTCGCCTGGGAATAGGAAGAGCGTGACGAGTAATAGCTTTAGTCCAATACCTTGGAAGGTACGCAGCCACCATCGTAATCTAGCATGGTAAAGAGTCAAGACAAGTAGTTGACGTGTCATTGTTCCAGATCCTTACGTTCCCAGCCTATAGTGAAATAATATCTTTCCCGAACTCGGCTTGAGTACTTAACACACTGCTGTGACAGGCACTACATACCGTTCAGTTACTATACACTCAGAGTAAAGGGGTATCATTATTTCCTTATTCCATGTGACTGATGGAAATTTCAAGGATTGCCGTTTGCACAGTCAAGGAAAAGGAAAATGGTGTCCTGATCCCCCAGCTTAGTGAAACACTTACGGTATGGCAAAAATTGTGTTACCCGATTGCCCGTTTTCACGTTACTTTCTGAAGAAAGGTGGCGAAATCGTACTCAAGTTGGCGCAGAAGGAAGGCGGACTGTATTGGAAGTTAGCTTTTCCTCCTTCGCCTTATACTGAACATAACGTCCATGATAGTAACAGGAGCATCACTGCAGAACAAGTATATGTCTCAACCGATTTCGGGGATAAGCACGGTGACCGACGAGTCACGGTCGCCTCCGATGTGTTGCAGCAGACTGCACAAATTACACCTGCATTTGCCAATGACAATTTCATAATCAAGAATGAATACGAGGATACCAGGCTTGCTCTATGCTTAACCGAAGAAGACGGTCAACGTCTGCTTATCGTTGATTTGGGCACACTCCCGTCTGTTCCTGTGCGACTTCTTAGTGACTGAGCTGATGACACCCCTTGCAGAAAGAATAAAATATTCACAATCAGTGGACCGTTATATCTACAAGCCTACGCCATGGCAGAACAAATGGGTGCGTTTATGCATGTTTACAACAAGAAACACCTAAATCTCCTCGTTGTCCCCAGTGGGAAAGCCGCTCGATTTGACAGATTGTGCTCCGTTACTGGGACCTATGGCTATAGTCGATCTACCCGAGGTGTGTTTCCTCCATGTATTGCTAACGCTAAGCATTGTTATTCACGTCATTGTTATGAAGTCTGCATTCGTACTTTATACCAAGCGAAACGGGTCAACCATGCTTCGGCAGCCCTAGTGTCTTGCATTTCAAAATGGAACAGCATAGAAGTTCGCAGATAGCGATGGGTCGCCACTGTCGTTGCGTACCAGATTTCAATGCGATCTAAGTTAAAAATTAGCATCCCTTGCCAAATTTTCGTAAGCGCCGCCTCAAATAGCAATCGAAGATCATAGATATGGATCAGACTCGAAGCCACGAAGGTCCATTTAGGGTGTACCCTCGCCAGCATTCTAATAATGTAAAATACATCCTCGATGGACAGTGGTCAACCAGAGTAGATAATTTGGCTAACAGTCTACAAAAGATACATCAATATAAGTAGAGGGTAAGATAGACACTACAGTATCTCTAGTGTCCTGATGTCCATCATCTCGTTGATGGAAGCCACGTCCTCGACTTGTGCAATGATATCATGATCTGACGCGATTCTCTTGTATTCTCCGCCACGCTGCTGCGCTAGTAGAAATGCGCCAAAAGGCTGTCCAAGACGAACAATCAATTGCAACGCTTGCAAGTGAGACTCTGATTCAGTCCAACATTCTTCAGGAAGCTTGACGGGTAAATCGTGTGATGGAGACTGAGGCGCGGACCAAAAACCTTCCTCACTCTCCGTGTCGTCCCAACAATCTTTGTCGCTCTGCGTATCCTCCCAGCAATCTTCCTCGCTCTGCATATCGTCCTCAAAACTTTCCTCGCTCTGCGTACTGTCCCAAATATCAGACGGTTCTGCGAAGTCAGGCAACTTGAGGAGGCGCCGATTCCACGGATAGACTAGCAAGAATGTCTGCAGGATGGGCTTTGCTGGTGAAAATTGAACCAGCTTATCTTCTGTGGTGATCAGCAGATCATGAAGTCCTTGTGCCTTGACTTCATAGGTGAAATACGTCTTCTCGCCTTGATCACGCCTCCGTCTGGATTCTGTGACAGTGAATGTGATACAGGGCAGATGAAGCCGACGTTGAGAGAAACGGGGCGCGCTCAAGTTGTTAAGCGCGCTGTACAATCTTGAAGCCCAATCTACAGACACGGTATTCCGCAGCGAGGAGATAGTTTCCTGAAACTGATCTTCAGACAAAGATGGTAGGGTGCATGACGGTGCTGTATACGAGGTGATTTCGGCTGGCAGACAACTATTGAACTCGGATGATCGTCCGACCCAGTCCAGCGCAGTGATGTCGCCCGACTGAGCTACAATCTCCTGCGAGAGCCTCCCGAGAGCGTTCTGCTTCTTCTCACCGTAGATAACGGGTAGGTGAATGCCGAAGATGCCGAATAATGAGTATGCAATATCTTCCTGTATCGTGGTGACACGCATCGACGCCCATCGGAGTTTTTCTCGGACACCGCTCATCCCTGGACGGAATGCGACGAGGGTACGCGAATCTATGCCTGTCGCATCTTGCAACTCCTTCATGATAGCGACAGAGTCTTTGTGGTTGGGGGAGCGGTCGTCCAGATAAAGGGTCCAGTCCTTCTGGTAAAAGAGCACGACTTTGGGAGCCACGAATTCCTGAAAGGTCCATCCTCGCCTGTTCCACTCACTCTTCGCCAATGCACCAGACTTGGATGAAGGCGGAACATCCGAAAGGTAGACAATCGTGAGAGCTGAGTGGTGATACCAGATAAACATGGAGTTGACTGATTCTTGCACCTCTGCATTGTTATTCTTGTCGATGCAGCATGTATCATTCCACGCCCAGCGATATCCCGCATCACGAGAAGCTTTGCAGAATGACTGCAACTTGACGACACTATCAACTGGATCCAACCTGTACACGTCTTCCTCCTGGATGTCCCGCAGCAGCGGCTCCTTTCTGTCCCACCTATGTGATAGTGTAACATAGTGGAAGTACGGCGCCACCACGTCTTTGATGCGCTTTTTATGAAGGTCTGCATGCTTCGTAGTTGACGACACAAGCTCCTTGTACTCTGTGCTCGTTTCAAAGGCGCTTATCTGCGCCTTTCGATCACACAAGCGCCCACTGGAGGTGTTAATTAGACGAAGCGGGGCGTTCTCAAGTTGAGATTCAATAATCTCTCGAATAGTAACTTCCACGTCAGATCGATCGACGTACTGCTGGCGCAGCTCTGGATAAACAGTTAAGTATCCTATCGTATAAGTCACATGCTCAGCGCTCACTTTGTATTTGTATGTCGGGGGAATGTTCCAACTTGGATAGCATGTTTTGGAAGGCTTCGATTGCTTCATCGTAGCGTTGTGCGCCACAAAGCGCCATATGTTTCACCTCGTATCCACGATAAGATGAAGGATTGAGTTCGATGGCCTAAGTATCGCCAAAATGAGCATTGGCGACAAAACGGTAGATGAAATCGCACCGCTTGCGCATCGACAATAGCACCCTCCCATAGCATTTTTTTCGACTTGGCCACACCGCGATTCGCATAAATGGTATCGGTTGCAGAATCTAGGTCAATCGCTGCCGAGTATAGTTCAATAGCCCTGTCATAATCATCTGCAGCGAGGGCGGCATCTCCACCTGCAGCAAGGACGGCATTACCGCTCGCAACGAGAGCAGCATCTAAATTGGCAGCATAGCGCGCACTGCAATTTTGCCTAAACGCTGAGTTAAATGTGAATAAGGATTGTAATCTGTGTGACATTGCGGAAAACTTGCCAATGGACCAATCAAGGCAAGCGGCCTTCGTAGTTTCATCGCTCGCATCCATCATATATCGAAATGATCTAACAGCTTCGATAAGTCTACCCGCGCAAAGAAGTGCCTCACACCATTTCTGGTGTGCAGTTTGCCACAAGGACTTCAGGTCCCATCCGAAGAGCTGTATAAAGCAGGTGATTTGGCATGTAAAGCACATTCGGTTGCATCACATCAACGTACCACAACGAAGTCCTCATACGTAGAATGAATGGCTGATTCAGACGAAAAGCCAATGGCATGAACAGCTTCGGCGAAACGGTCAGCAGCTTCGTTGTGATGCCCACTATCCAAGGCACCGGTACCAAGTCGGACAAGAAGATAAGCCTAAAGTACGAATTAACTGTCAATCGACGCAAGAACCTGGATTTTGTTGAATGTATATGCTCACTTCTACGACGCCATACGCAATATTATCGACATTAGGACAAGTGATGGCAAGTTCTTGAAGGCGCTGCATTCCGTCCACTCGTTGATTTGCATTGAAGAGTGCGATGGCCTGAAATTCGGAATGAAAGAGGTAGTACGTGAGTGAAACTAAACCTGCCTTGATCAATAGAAGTAAATGAACAGTCTTTGAATCTTCGTTCGTGAACGTGAACGCGAGGTCAAATGCTTTCATCGCGTCCTCAAATTGCATTTTCCCGCAGAGTGCAATACCCTTCGAGATTAAGCCCGATAATGAGGGCTGAATGTTCACGGACTGTGTCACCACGAAAATTAGTCTGTCTGGAGAAGTGGAGAGTTGTGGTATCTCACCTTGCATGCATCAACAAGAGCACAATCCCAATCAAGTTTTCGCGCCATAACGACGGAGTGATTGGCATAGGTGTTATAGTTGCTACCATCGGCGTCGATCTCCTTTGTTAGCATCGCTTCAGCAATATGCAAGTCTCCAACCAAGCACGCATTGCGTATTGTCGTATTCATAAAGAGGATCTGCGTGGAACATGGTCACGTTGTGTGATCACAGTCGAGGATGAAAGACATACCTTAGGTTCTAAAGCTCGAGGCTTTACATGAAAATTAGGGAATAGGACAAAGGGACAAGAAGTCAGTGCAAACTTACCTTATTGTTCCGCTGACCACCTGGGGTGTCTCGCCGCAAAGTGTCCTTGCACAAATTGAGCTGCCGAGAGGGTAAAAATAAGGGGTCTTACGATGTTCAATGAATGTTCCATGGGAACGTCCACCGGTAAAGCGTCTTCGGGTACTGTCCACTCTAAGACTTTTTTATTATGACCTCCACTCAAGAGGTGCTTTCCATCTGCGGAGAAGGTGACACAGCACACTGCACCAGAGTGCTTGAATACGGAAAGGGTTCGTCGATCTGAGAGACGCCAGAGACGGACATAGGTGTCATGAGATGCAGAGGCAACGAGCGTACCAGCAGAATTTAGGGCAATGGCGTTGATAAATTTGGTGTGCCCGCTCCAAGGATTATCAACCTGATTCCAGGTTAATGAATCCCAACAACGTATGGTGGGATCAGAACCAGAACCCGCTGAGAGAAGTTGTCTGCCATCAGGCGTCCACACGAGTGAGATATTGTTTGCTGGACTGATCGCCGCGCGAAAGTTCGCGATACAATCCCTTGTGCGCGTATTCAATATTTGGATATCACTGAATGTCGCGATGGCAAGAAGTTCGCCATCTGGCGAATACCGAACGCAGTAGACAACTGCACGACAAGCGATTGGATTTCCTTGCAACTTCCACGTTTTGGTGCACCAAAGCTTCGTGGTTTGGTCGCGTGAACCAGTTGCCAGTACTTTGCTGTTGGGAGAAAAATCCATCGAGAAGATCGACCAGGAGTGAGCTTTAATGGCGGTGAGAGATTCACCAGTGACACCGTGCCAAACGATGAGCTCTCCCTTGTCATCCCCGCTTGTGATGAGTTGCCCGTCTCGTGATATTGCCACTGCCCACACGCAGTCACGATTTCCCTGCATGTTTTTCAAGATAAGGCCATTTTTCAAGTCCCATAGACGAAGGGTCTTGTCTTTCGAGCCTGTCACCATACGACCTCCATCAGGGGAGACCGCGATTGCGAGAACATTGCCTTGATGATCCTCAAACGCTCGAATGGACGTGGCACCTGGGCTTTCCGCCATTCTGGAAGAGGTTTGGAAAATGGCATGTAACAAGTTGCGCGCGCTAGTCTCGTGAACCAGCTGCCTTGTCTGAGAAGGGAATAATGACATTCCCTTCTCAGACATTAAGGCGGCTGGAGACTATGCGCGCGCCTAGCTATACATAGTTTCGCGTTTGTGTCCCAAACTAGAAAGGGCCGAGCTTCGCCGGCAGGAACCTTGTCCCACTGGCACAAATTTGAACTTGAATGTTGTGTACTATCGACGTATTTATCGGCATTCATTGAACATGTCGTATACTAATGGTACATCATTAATCATTGGTGGTACACTACATGAAACCATACTACTTTGGAGAGGGGCGAGCTGGCGGAGTACAAGAAAAGCTGCGCAAATTTTGTTGTCGTACAATATATTAGTACAACAAATGTGGCCCTCAGACTGTTTAAGGTTGAGATGAATGTGAGAGTTTGCAGTTGCTACGAAGCAGATGCGAGTAGTGGAGATTGTGTTAGACGAGCGTGAGTCAAACTTTTCGTCGGCAAAAGCTGTTTTGGAGTTGCCGCGCATTGTCCTCCGGCATATGTTCTCATCAAGTTGAACCGTACCAAAGCCAAAGTCCTGGAGAATCTGGACTCCGGTATTCTGCCATTGGTCCCATGCAACGGACATTCCGCATTATGATTGGTGGCCGCGAAGAAGTTGTGATACGGGTGCAACTGCCATTAACACCAGCATATGCGTTCACAGACTACCGATCGCAAGGTCAAACAATCAGCAACACGATTGTTGATATTGCACAACCACCAAGTGGAAAACTTACACCATTTAACGTGTGTGTTGCGTTGTCGCGAGGGCATGGACGAGAGAACATCCGCCTTCGAGACTTCGATGAAAAGCTTGTCACCACTCATACTAATGAGTACCTCAGGCTTGAAGATAGACGTTTATTGGAACTGAACGAGGTAACAGAGAGATAGTGGGAACAAAGGAGGAAGCCAATTTTGTAAGAAATGTTATTATCAATTGACATCATGTAGTCGTACGTTTACAATGTGCGTCGTGCGACGTAGTACCATATAGTGTGGCTGAGTGTGGCTGTAATTTGTTTGGTCGTTTCCCACGGGTCAATGTTTGGGCACGCTTCAGCGGGGTGACTGTAGTACAAGGTGATTCCATTCTCAAGATCTCACAGTTCGGTCTTGGTTTGACACTCTGGTTCGACGTCAGGCCTCAACTTTTGCCCTTCTTCCACTCCGTGTGTGTAGACTCTAGACAGGTTGTCATGTATGTGGTCATGACTTGCTCGATTGCTTTTGTGTTCTGTGGTCTACTTTTTCTGTTGCCTGTGTGCTCTATCTGTTGATGCAGTGTCTACCTCTCAGTGGCCGCACAGTCTTCAATGCTCTGTCTCGTAATAAGACTAGGAACGGTCTGACTTGCCATATCCGTGAATGCGCTATGTATTTGCAGCCCATGTACAGTGTCTTAGCGATGTATGGCTTACGTACTTTCCTTTCAGTAATCCATTGTGATTTGCCAGACACTCATTACGGTTCTGCCATTCTTGAATGCGAGTATGGCGCAGACATTCGTCGTCGTCTGTCCCGCGAACTCTTGTCCTGAGGTGAAGAACGAAAGTCGCAGCGACACGAGGACAAGAAATTGGAAGTCGAGCATCGCCGTGCGTGACCGGTTACCGTCCTTCAAATGACTGTTTACTCGTCTCAATAACTCTTATCAAGCATCAAAGTGGACCAAGCCTCCTATCCGTGCTGTGTGCTCGCCATCGACGGGATTCCATGGTTGTGGCCTTCTCCACTATTGACGCACCCGTTTTCCATCTCGAGATCCTCCGTCTCACAGACTGGTTCATCATCCAGAAGCGCGTTGCGCACTGATGTTTTGTAGTCAGCACCAAGAGATATGAGCGCTCAAGGCTTAAGCATCGTCGCTTCACCCCGTTTCATCGCCTTTCATCACGCGAAACGGACCAGAACTTGAGCAGGACCCACCGTACCATACGCCAGGATAACCTGTATGACGTTCCACCTTCGGGGCACCTTGTGTGTTGTAAACGGATCAGACCAGACCCCTCTCAGGACAAATCGAATCGTCAAGTTCACCAAGATGGGACAACTTTAGTCAGTCTGAGTCCAGCTTGGTTATTGACTACACGTTTTCCGACAGTTGCAGTCCGTGCGGAGTACTACGTTGTAATCCATGTCTGTTCAGCGGCTGATCAGGCGTGCGGGATAGCAAATCATCCTTCATAACGAATCTAGGGTAATCTGTATATCGGTGACCTTACATAACAGGTGCAAGAGCCATTTGAAGCTAATTCATCGTCCCAGTCACTTTACTCCTCCAAGCAGACAATGTCTCTCCCCAAGAACACAACCGTGCTTATTGTCGGTGCAGGCCCCGTAGGTCTCATAGCTGCTCCTTCTCTGCCCACCACAGGTGCCATGATTTCGTTGTCGTGGATGCCGTAGCCTGCATCGAAGGTGGTCACTATATTCTGCGTCGGGGTGAGCTACAGGTTGTACGGGGCCTGAGTGGGCTTGGAAGACGATAATCGCATATTTTTGGATGGCTTGGTCACCGTATTTTGTATACCATAATTCACGATATCCGTATTTCAAAGATAGCATGAACGTATCAAAGCAGTGTACTTCCTAGCAGCAGCTATTGGACGAAGTTGAATACATGCTTGATCAATGGCAGGGAGGTAATGAAGACAGCGAGCTCGATTGATACTAGAACATACATAATAAACTTGAACTAGACATGTACGATAATGTGATGTGGCACTCAATTACCTTCATGTGTGGGTTTCATCTTCGCACCCTTAGTAGTTAGCATCCTGTTCAATAAGCTCGACGGCTTTCGCAGAGCGGGGCTTAATAGAACACTTAAAGGGCTTCGGATGGCTGAAATCGTGTCTATCCAGACCAGCGCTGGATGCGATAAGATATGTGACATACCTGATCGTGCCTAATGAGCAATCAACCTCAGGAGTGATCTCAACACCGTTCTCGACAATTTTGGAGATATCGAACACGGCCAGTGACATCACGATGGAGATCCAGATGGAGGCTTCAGCGAGGTGCATACCTATACATCACAAACAAGAAACATCAGAATATTTATCGGCGCTTTCTGTGAGTTGAGCATACCTGGACAGATACTGCGAAGCACAAAGTTAGCATTCCACAGGTAACCAACTCTGTGCTCACCGTCTTCCAAAGCCAAAGCAGATTTTGCGGGGGTCGGTCTCAGGCTTCTTTCCATCATTAGACAAAAATCGTTCAGGGTTGAATTGCAAGGGACTAGGATATGTTTGCGGGTCATTGAGCATGAACCTGTCATTACATTACATTTTGTTAAAATATCAAATGCGGAGAATGGGTGTACCCACCAAATGTTAGGTATTACTAAGGAACCTTTTGGAATGAAATACCCGTCATGAATGTCATCCTCAGTGACACGGTGGGGGACACCTGATACCCTTCAGCAACTGAAGAATGTGATAAACAAGATACACGGACCGATAGGGGTGACAACATTCCATCGTAGTACTTCTTTAGCAAGTGCATCAGTATAGGGGAGAGATCCTCTGTCAACGAAGGAGGGAAGACGATCAGGACCGATGACAGCATCTATTTCGGCCTGAGCCTTCTTCTGTACGTCATGGAATAGTGTCATGGCCAGGAAGAACGAGTAGATCGCAGAAACAGTCTGAGGAAAGCAGGGTAGTACTCTGATTAGCAATAGATAGGGAAGGACTAACCGTGTCGGCACCGCCGGCGTATAGAGATGCAGCAGACCACTTCACAACATTCTCATCTTCTATGGACAACGTACGATTTTCCAACAGATTCGAAGTAAAAGACTCCGGGGCAATTCCAGCAGCCTGTAAAAATTAAACTTCTACACATGATCGCAAAACTACAGATGTCGATCACCATTTGATCCTTGACGAAATTGTACGGTGTAAAAGCCATCTTTTCGACGGTCTCGCGCCATTCACGGACTAGGCGCTTGAAGCCGGCACCAGGGAACCATTCGGGGGCTTTGATCACTACAAATGGTGAGGGAAATAGAAGCAAACATCTGGATGATATAGCTTACAAAATGGCATAGAATCAGCCACAAAGGCACCAGGAAGAGTGAAACGCGAGAATAGAACTACAGCGCGATCCACAAGGTCAACGAAAGGATCGTCATTCTTCATCACTTCGTAACCATAAGAGATGCGCAGGATGATGGCACCAGCGGTGCTATAGAAATCAAGATCACGTTGATGCAAAGACAAATAATACATACTGTCGGACATGTGCCTGTAGTTGACCGGGTTTTGTGAGCACACGCTTAAGGAATCGGCGAGTCTCGACCTCTTCGATCTGGCTGTATATGCCTACTGCGGCTCGGCTGCCAATCACGCGATGGATGTTCCTGCGGTACCGGCGACAGCGGTCACCGTCAGGGACAAGGGCTAGGCTGTGTTTCCAGCCAACAAGTTCACCGCCAACAGGAAAAATAGGACGGTCAGAGTACAGTGTGCTCTTCTTGTCCAACATATCTATCGCAGCCTTGACGGAGTTCAGCACCACGGTGTGTTGACCCATAACTTGGATGTGCGAGATATTACCTGCAGACAAGACCTTGAAATGCATGATATCGGTGAAACGGTATGTACTCACCATACTTCTTGCCCCACATAGCGAAGGTGAGCCAGGGCTTGACTCGGATGTGATGCATGTCTAAGATGTTCCCGATGAGAGGCCACCCCGGGGGACCAGGAGGATATGGTGCAGGGTGCTTCGTGTTAAAAACCCACTTTAGCAAATACACTCCGGCACAAGCAAGACATAGTAGTATGTCGAGCCAAGTGACGTTGGCGAGTGTCAACATGATCTCCTAGGAGAGGGCAAGCAACTACAGAGTATGGTTGTGTAGTGCGAGTGAAGGATCATATGAGCTGAGTCCTTTCGGCTTATATACCATATCTGAACTCTGCATAGACTTCATTGTTTTGTCTGGGATGGAAGAGACTGGTTTATTTTCAGCAAGTAAGTTCACTAGTGTCGCAGCACCTTGTCACGGGCGTCGCGGTCATCACGGGTGTCGCGGGCACTATGTCGCAGCACCACCCAAATATGAAAAGAAGGTGCCCGCGACAGATCAGTACTAGTGTCTAGGCTCGTGACCAGCCTGGCGTATACTACCACGGATACTTGAAGCTTGAGTGGTGTAGCCAGCTGGTCGATCTCGGAGTGGCGTGGCAGGCGAAGCGAGGAGTTTAAAATTTGATAGGTGCAGGTCGTGCCGGAGGTAGTTCCGATCATATAGTACAAGTTATGCGTCTGCTCTCGCTCAGACTGTACGCTATATATGTGAGTACGAACGAAATAGTTTGCGTTGTTAACAAGTAATGTTACCCAAAGCGGCATACTGGCATCTGCCGAATTTCAAACTCCTCGCTTCGCCTGCACTCCGAGATCAACCAGTCGACTGGTTACGAGTCTAACTAGTTACTAGTGCCAGAATGTCATTCCAACTCAAGCTAGCTTTCTGTTATCGATGGTTTGAGCAACTGTGTGCGAGGCCGCCTGGCAAGGACAACAGGGCTTAATCCAGCACATTTATAACTACTATTATCCTACTAATGCAGCGCCCTCAACATGTACCTGTACAAATTCCGAACCACTACCAGCCATGCCTGTGTCTGGACCACATGCACCTAATACGTCACCCACCTCTGCGGCCGTTGCACCAGTACTATCCATGCAGAGCTTTTTGCCTGCCGCTGCAGGGAGTATTCCGACATCTTACCATTCGTCCCCATCCTCATATGTTGTCATCAACTTTAACATACCCTCAAGCTCACTCCTTGCTTCAGCTCGTGATCTAGCCAGGCTCAGTGATGCGGCACATGCCAATCGATGTGATACTGTGCAGGTCAGTTCGTGTGCCCCATCCGACACACTTGTCACACACTCACTCTCAGCAACCCAGCCAGTCGTTGCTAACCGGAAAGAAGTTCGGACCACTGCCGCCACTCAAGTACTCACTGTTCGGTTCGTGCAGGGTCCAGACGTGTCTGATTGTCGACTTTCAAATTTGAAATCTAAAGGTACCGACTCATCAGTAGCAAGGTGCGCCCACGATATTAATACACATCTTACCAAGCTCCTGACGCAGTAAAACAGCAGCAAAGTTCACTTCGATCATCCTCAAAATCATCGACGACTAGAAGGTGAGGGAGCTATTAAGGGAATGTACATGATTGGCAGAGGGTGTACGGCTATGGGTGTGTTTGATCATCGAGTGATGTTGGGTGGTTTTGCGCTACTTGGAGATTGGCGTTTTGTGTACTTCTTTGTAAGTTGTTATTTATGCAATACCCGAGTCTAATTATCATAAGCTCTAGGACATCACTGGACTCCTATGCCATGCCAACATATAATCTGCCCTGCTACACATTCGTATGCTAACCTCGAGAAGCTCTGCAACTCCGGAGCAAGATAGAGTTAATGCTAGATCAGGGACCTTACTGGAGAGAACTAGCATCTTTGAAGCGAATCTAGGGCACAACACTAGCCTCAGGCGCATAAACAGAATCATATTGGTTGTCGACTTGTTACAATTGAAGATTGAAATATAAAGGAACCAACGCATAGCTGCAAGGCGCCTATGATATTAGTGATACCATATCTTGAGCGCCTAGCAGCATAAAACTAAGGATCCCTATGACAATCTCCCCGTGAAGTCCACTTCGATCATCCTCAAAATCATCAACTTTTAGAAATGGCGCAGCTCATTCTAAATCCCACACCCTTTCGATTGTTCGAAGATTATGCACAACACGATGAGTACGGTTTAAAGGATAGACTTCGCACAAATGCAATCGCAGTTTCCCCTGACGGGCGACGCATGATCACGGCCTCGTGGCATATGGTTCGTCTGTGGGACATGAAGGAAGGTATTCTGTTGAAAAGGTTGGAGGGACATTCGTGGAGCATCGTGAATGCATTGGCAGTATCGCGAGATGGGCACATGATAGCAAGTGGTGATGAACAAGGGATGCTCATCGCGTGGGATTTAAACATCGGGGAATCTCTCACTCAAGCCATCAAAGCCCACTCCGGTGGGATCCCATCGCTGGCCTTTTCTCCCGATAGCTCAGTGTTGGCGACCGGGTCAAGAGACGGAACGATAAAGCTGTGGTGCACAAAAACCTGGGAGCTGCTGGGAAATCCAATCACTTGCGGTCATAACTTTCAAAAGACAAATGTCCGCTGCATCCGGTTTTCGCCGTCTGGCGAGCTTCTTGCGATTGCAATACAGAACACTATCAAAATCTATAATTCGGGCACGAGAGAACGCGTAGCAAACTTCCTAACCTTTAAGGGTCCCACTGAAACAAGCAATGTAACCAATGAATCACACAGTAACTCGCTTGCCTGGATGCCCGATGGTACACGGCTTTTTACAGCGGGTGGTGCCACGGATCCGACCATACGCGAGTGGGATACATCGACCTGGACGCAGGTCGGTGATCCCTGGAAGGGCCATTTCAAGAATATTCAGGCCATTTCCCTAAACTCTAACGGCACTCTCCTTGCCTCCGCATCTGATGACAACCGTATCCGACTCTGGCGTGTCTCAGATCGACGAACCATTGTCGTATTCAAACACCCTAGCGAGGTGCAGTGCGTCGCCTTCTCCGCCGATGACAGGCGAATCCTCAGCGGAGACCAGGATAAGAAAATCTCAGAGTGGCTAGTATTTGAGGACGCTTTGCCAGAGGATCGTCCAAAGAATGTTCTCAAGGATGATTCAAAGGATGACCCCAAGGAGCAGCTAATGCACCAGGTAATTTACCTTCATTTTTGTGCCTCTTCGTCATCTAAACCTCTCTTTTGATGCTAAGGCCCAAGCCTACTCTGATTTCAAGGCATGTTCTCACCCTTTATCTCTTATATTGTGATACGAACAGACTGGATGCAGGTCCTCACTATGAACTCGGACGTTCGAAATGCGTGCATAGCTGGTGATTTGCGCGCCGCTGAAATAGCGCTAGATCAAGAGATTGACAATGATGCCTTTAATTACACATCCTATGCCAACCGCGCATTTGTTATGGCACGAGAATCTTACTGGGACCGCGCGCTCCATGATGCAATTAAGGTAAACAACTTAACCATCATGTTCTCCTTACAAAGGCTAACTTTTATGGTGACATAGTCCGTCAGAATTCAGCCCTCGTTTTCAGGCCATATTTCCAAGGGCATTGCCCTCTGCGGGAAAAGGCAAGTTTTGGCCGCGAGGACAGCATTTGACCTCGCGTCAGCGTTCACCAACGGAGATTTGAAGAACACTCATTTCCTTTTCTTGGTCAAGGCAGGTAAAAAAAATCTTACATCATAATACATGCTTCATTGCGATTTTCAGACCATCGCGTTGTTTAACGCGGGTGAACATGAAGAGGCAATGCTGCGCGTCGAAGAGCTAGCTATCTCTCCCGATGTCGATACTCTTGCTTGTCGTGTCGTAGAAGTGAGCATCGTTTATTTGACGAGGTAGTGTACTTGCACTGATCTCTCTGCTTTTCCGTATCAGGCCTCTCTACGTGTTCGACTAGGAAAAACAGCCCTTGATAACATACGCTACAACGAAGCTGTTCACCACTTCACTGCCGCCGTCAATGCCAGTGCTTTTTTTTATAAATTGGCAATTCATTCTACATACGAGGAATTTGTCATAGTATGTTGATATGATGCAACTGAACAATATTGTGCTTACCTGCTTGTTTTTGCAGCTCTTTGGTTGGGACCTCGAGTCCTTGTGGCAAAACGCGAACCAGCAACAATGTCAGGCACTCTTTAGGGCGGGTAGAATTGGAGCAGCCGTAGAATCTTACCAATCCACCATGGACAAAAGTGATGAGGAAACGAAGGCCCGCCTAAGTGCTTGGTTTACTGGTAAGTCTTCAGTAATACCGTCCAACCTAATAATCCTGATCCCCAACCGCACTTTACTTAGCTCTCCAGTAAGAACTAAGTGTCTTCTATGCTTCCGATGGATGCGCTGCGCTCGCAGTGCGCGGCTACTTGTACAGTTCAAACACGGAGTTTTGAGCAGTTTTCGTTTGCACCTTGACAGTATCTGCACTACTTTTGATCTGAGAACTCCGAGTCGTAGAATAACACCTAGAATGGCTGAAGAAATGACAACCTAGTTCCTCACTATTCGGTTTGCCAGAACGCAAGTGCTACATAATCAAGTCAAACGACATCTTGTTTTGGTTCACACTTTTGAAGTTTTACATAATCAGTCCTACTGCACATGTCACGTACGCATCCGTCGTAGCATACAAGGCGCTGAAGCTTTGAAGCTTGAGCTTGGCGCGGACGTGTGATGCACATGTCTTTTGCTGATCACACAATCTCGAGTCTCGTTCAATCGCGCGCCACTGGCAGGCAGACAGTGAAACTCAGACCATTATCAAGAGCGTTCCACTTCGTCTGGCTCGAATAGGCTGACGCGATCTAAGATGTGCTGGTCCGATTGTCCAGTGATCGCTGACATGCTTAACTATAATTTACACTTGATAATTGACGTCTTCATCTTGTCTAGACGGCATCGCTCCCCATCACTCTTGAGTTTTATCATCGTCACTGTTCTTCGTCATCGTTCGTCATCGTCCATAGCACTTTCCTTCTTTATATTCGTCACGTGGATTACATATATAATACGCACCTTCTTCGTTCAGCCATACCTCAGTCGTTGTCTTCACACACTGAGGTATGGTTCATTGTCTCTTATCTTCCCGCCGTCTCTTACTACAACTTCATAGCGTGTTTCGTATCTTAGGTACTAGCAATGATTAGTCGTTGTCTTCACACACTGAGCGTGTTTCGTATCTTAGCTTCTAACAGGTTATGAGCCGCGATTTCTGAACGAAATCTTATCGAGCTATATACCGCCACGCGCCCTTGTTTCAGCGACTCGCTGTAACATTTTTCGTCTTTCTTCGACATGGGAAAGCTCGACCATATCCCAGAGTTGACTGGACCCGATACGTACTTTGCGTGGAAGCGTGAAGTCTCTTATGCCCTTGGTATCGAGGACCAGTGGTGCCATGTCACGGATACTGTGGACCCAGATGATGTTCTAGGTAGTGCATCCTATAAGCCCGCCCCGGTTAATCCTCTACTCCTGACTGCTGATGAAACTAAGGCCATTCGGGAATGGCTTATCAATGACCTTAAGGCCAAGTCCATCATCACGCGCCGTCTCTCCACTTCCATTCAGCAACTGATCTCAACCAGTCACAAGGTGACCGCTAGAGACGCTTGGAAGACTCTCGAGGACCATTTCGGTCGGGTGGACATGGGATCGCAGCATGTCATTCGACAGAGCATATATGCGCTCCAAATGAAAGACGCTGCTGATGCATCGAATTATGTAGGGCAACACTCTGTGCTGCGCGAGCGTATGCTCCGCATGGGGGTGGTTTACACCGACGCCGAGGCAGTATTTCAACTTCTTAGAGGTCTACCTCGCACAGGAACTTGGCCACAATTCAAAGCTCTCTTAACGCTGACCCTCCCCATGTCCACACCCGTTGTCACTGCTGCTGCATCCACGATGACTACTGCTTCGGCATCTACGGCTGCTACTGCTGGAACTACCACCGCCGTTAGCTCATTCTCCCTCCCCTCTGGCTCCACCTTCGACACCTGCGTTGCCCGCATCTCAGCAGAAGCTGCTCGTATCATCGACGAGCATTTGCTAGCTGGCGGGGCACCGGGTTCGGAATATGCGCATGCTGCCACTTCATCATCTTCTTCCACGACCACCGGCAATATTAACAGCATCACTGGACTTCGTAAGCATCGCCATAACCCAGAGGGAGTCTTTTGCACCACCGTTGGGTGCAATAAGGGAGATCACGACCACGCGCATTGCTACGCAAAGGGCGGCGGGATGGAGGGCCAAGCTCCATGGATGAAAGGCAAGAAGAAGGAGAGAGAGAAAGAAACGACTGCCGCTGCAGTCATCACTCCTCCTCCTCCCACACCAGCTGCTCTACCTTCCTCCAGCGTTATAGCTGCTTTTGCTGGCACTGACATCGCAGCTGAGTCATTTCTCGCGGACCTTTCATGCGCCTCTATCGTCGAGGCTCCCGATGCTCCCGATGTAGACACGACAGTCCTTTCTTGCATCATCACTGCAGGCTTTAATACAATTCTCGATTCAGGCACTACGACCACTCTCATCCAAGACCGTTCTTACTTCTGGTCTTACTCTACTGCTGACGCCGTTACTGTTCGCACTGCGAACCACGGCAGCTTAAGTACCTCTGGTCATGGCGACTGCGTCGCTGTATTGACAATCGGTAGCAGCAAGCACCGTGTCCATCTTTCAAATTGCCTGCACGCGCCCTCTGCGATGCTGAACCTGCTATCCGTAGGTTGGATGCTCAGTAAAGGTTGGGATTGCATCTTCCGAGCCTCACCACCTCGGTGCGAGCTTGTGTACAGGGGAACTGAACTTGGGGCAATCCCCATGGCGAACAATTTGTGTTACGTCAATCTAGAGTTCTTACCTGCCCCTACAGCCAGACTCGCGAGTCCCCACATCCCGCCGTCTCCACCTGATCTCTCTGCGTTCGCTCACGTCACACCGTCTCTCGACCTATGGCATGCGCGTCTTGGCCACATTGGCGGAGAAGCTGTTCGTCGACTCCCACTCTTTGCCTCGGGTGCGACAGTGTCAGCAGACTCCATATTATCGAAGTGCGAATCCTGCATTATGGGGAAGCATCCCCGTCGTCCTCATCCCCCTTCCTCATCTCCCTGGGCTGCTCACTTTCTCGATCTCATCCACTCCGATCTATGCGGTCCAATTCCCGTCCTCACACCGCACAACAAACGCTACTTCATCGTCTTCCTCGATGATCACACGAACGTCTTGAACCTTCAACTTCTCTCCTCGAAGGATCAAGCACTTGATGCCTGGCGTATTGTGCGTGCTCGATGGGAAACGCAATCCGGACGACGTGTTAAAGTTTTCAGATCGGACAACGGTGGTGAGTTCTTGAACGTGGCATTCACTTCGGAACTCGAAGGGGCTGGTATCATCCGTCAACTATCCGCGCCATACGCACATCAGCAAAATGGCAAGGCCGAACGGGTAATACGCACGATTGAGGGGAGGATGTATGCCATGCTCCAGCATGCTCGTTTACCCCGCGCCCTTTGGGGCGAGGCGGCGTTATGTGCGGCGTACCTTTTCAATCGCATGGAATCACATGCCCTTCAGCCTGTTATGACTCCATACGAGATGTTACATGGCACGAAGCCGGACATCTCACATCTTAGGGTTTTTGGGGCTCGTTGCTTCATTCGGATTCCACCCGAACTGCAGGAGAAACTAGGACCACGCTCTCGTGAAGTGATATTTGTGGGGTACCCCCCAGGTGTTAAGGCGTGGCGTTGCCGTGACTCAGTCACTGGCACGTTTTTCAATTCGTGCGACGTCATCTTCGACAAAAGCTTCTCTAATCGTCCTTTCCCTGTTACAGACAGTGACGACGAAGATGATGACTATAGTCCCACGCCCACCTTTGTTGGCCACGCTCCCCCATCTACAGCTCCAATCGTCACACCTCCTACTATCCCTATCAGTCATTCTGCCGCACCTGTCCGTCGTTCAGCTCGATCTCAAAATCCCACTGAACGTGGTCGCCTCTTTCAAGCACAACTGTCACGAGTACCTCATACGAACCATTATTCTTTTCTGAACTCTAAGTCATTTAAGCGCTCAGACAAAGCGCCTGTCCATAAGAATGTATTTACGGTTGAAGATGTGGAAGAGGATGCACCTGTGGTTGCGTCTATTGTAGAATTACCTAACGAGCATGTGATTGAGTCACGTGACTTATCGGAATATGCCGGACTAAACTTTATACCACGTGCACCTGATGCGATGTTCCAGAACCTGTCGGTTGCTGCGGCACGTGTTATGACATCATAGGTTATATATAGAATCGTACGATACTGGCTCTTATTATTTGATTGGTAGTTAGTTTGAACTCAGCTTCAGTCTCCGACTTAATATATGTATATAGGTAGCTAGTTTGTAGTCGGTAGTTCTTTAGTTCAAACCTCTCGTCTGTACATTGTGTACCAGCCCAGACGTACTTGCTCAATTCTATCTTCTTATTTGGTTTATCTTGTTGTTTGAGTCCTAGTCTCTGCCCAGCGTTAATTCGTTATTGGGTTGTGACATTAGGTTTGAACTATAGGAGACTCCGACTCTTGCGTTACACTCTCGCACTTCTCTTTCTTTGCCTGGCTATATTGGAAGTCATCCATATCGTCACACAAACAAAGCCGTTTATCAATTACTCTTTGACCTCTCGCTATTACGTGTCTCCAACAGCATATTGCCTCGGACGCACGTACTAGTAAGACGTTACACGTTTTCCATTGCCCGGTCTAAACAACCGCGACCAGTCGATTTTCGAAAACCTTTCCCTTGCTCATTTGAGCGTCTTCGTACTTTACACCGTTCGTAGTTAGTAGTCCTATACCAGGCCCTGCCTTACATTGCAGCCGCCAGTATACGGAGGTGTTGACGACATTAGGTGTCTCGCTACAACTTGGAGTGCTGGCCCAAAACCCTGCCTGCTCCACGTTACTATAGTTTCCTTTTATGAATACCCTTTTCTTCATACGCACGTAGGCATCCACTTTGAGTAAATAGCGGAATTGTCTAGTGGTTATGTATTGAATTTGACCTAAGAGGATTTAGAGGCATTCCCTAGTGAGACTCGCACTTGTAGGCTCCGGCCGGAAGAGTGATAACTTGTCCTAGGTTTGCACCCTCGAAACGGAGATTGCAGTGACCCTAGTTTTTCCCACTCAAACGGGTATAGTTTACGTACTCCCGTTTTATAGTTAGTAAAATAGAGGAAGTGTCAGTGTGGGATATTACCAGAACCCCTTGACCCTGAGCCAGTGGTAGATCCGATCAGATATCGGGGACCGCTCAGTTTTCCTTTACATAGACCTTTTCACATTGATCTTTATCACCATTTTCCTTATCCGGAGTAGCCCTTACGAGCAGCTACTCAACGACATCAGTGAATCGGGTTCCAGAATACAACTGGCACGATGTCGTCTACTTCTCGGATTCCATGCAAGTTCTTGAGAGATATTGGCAATTGCTGGTTCGGTGC